CCATAGCAGAATCTTCTTTAAATTTTGTCTTTTTTAGGACTCTGGTTGCCTTACCTCTCAAGTCTTGTGTCTCACTACTTCGTTGGTTTCTTTTAGGTTTTGAGCATTTGCTTTCTCTTTCTTTTGCAGAATTCCTCCATCCCCTGGTTGACCCCTGTGTTCTCAAGCTGTTAAGACTTTTAGTGCAAGCTCAGAGAGATCACTTTGAGAAAAGGCTTTTATTTTCCCCTGCCAGGAAGGGAGAAAACAGTTTAGAACAGCAGGGCATCTTTATTCTTTTGGTGACATTTGAAAATATTTACATTTACAGTGATTTGATGCTTATGAAATGTATATGTTGGGTCATGACCTGTGTTCCTTTTAAGAGAGAAATAGTAAGAAAATGGGTATACTGTTTATTTTTTAAATCTTAATCATCTCCCCAACAACTGAATTGCCTCTCAGGTAGTCCTTCAGTTTCAGAGAAATGAACTTAAGTTAAACAAGATTAGCAACGACCCTTCAATCACACTGAAATCCCCAACTTTTTCATCCTTACTTCTTTGTGATACTTATTTATTTTAAGAATCCTCTCCTGCCTCTAAAGTTTCTTCTGTCTACTTGTACCACCTTCTTTTTCTTTAGAGTCAAGTTTTTGGAAAAAGTAGTTTGTATTTAGTATCTTTATATTTATGTTTTTCCAATCTTTTAAAAAACATTTATTTGAAAAGCTGAGTGATGAAGAGAGAGGGAGAGACAAGGAGAGAGGTCTTCTATCTGCTGGTTCACTCCCCAACTGCCCATAACATTTGGGGCTGAGTCAGTTCAAAGTTAGGAGCCAGGAGCTCCATCTGGGTCTCCCATGTGGGTGCAAGGAACCTAAGACCTTGAGTCATTTTCTACTGTATTGAGGGAAGATGGAGTGGAAACAAAGGAGCAGGGACTTGGACTGGCACTGTGATACGGGGTTCAGGCATTCCAAGTGGTGGCTTAATCCACTATACCACATTGCCTGCCCATCCAATCATTCCTTATTCAAGTCTGAATTCATTTGCATCCTGTCCAACAAATGACTTTATTCTAAACAGATTATTATCTATTGCTGTGTAACAAAATATACCAAAAAAGGTAAGAACCTAAAGCAACAGCCATCATCTTTTATCTCTCTTGATTCTGTGGGTGACTGGACTCAGCTAGGTGGTTCTGCTGCTGGCTGGCATTGACTGAACTGTTTACATTGATCAGAATGTCCAAGATGGCTTACATATGTGGCTGAAAGTTGGTGTGTCAGCTAGGAGGTCAGCTGAAACTGTTGCCTAGAATGTCTTGGTTTTCATTCATGTGGTCTCTTCATATGGCTTCGACTTACAGGATGGTGGCTGAGTTCCAGGGAACATTCTAAATATAAACACAAAAGCTTCTGATGTCTTATAAAGTAGCCTAGGAAGTTTCACCAAGTGATTTACCCCCAGATTCTTTGGGTTGAAAGTAGTAACAGGGCCAGCCAAATTCAAGGGGAGGGGAAATTCAGTCTCTCTCTAGATAAGTTAGTGGCATGGTCACATTGCCAAATAGCTGTGGAATGCCGCATTCACCTTATGAATACAATAGCTAAAGATATCCTAATTAACCCATTTAGTTCTCTATGACGTTAGTACAATTGGGCATCTTGTGGTGTATAGATGCTGCTGTCTCTGGGTTCCCTCTCCACGTCCTGTGCACTCATGGTCAGCTCTCCACATTTGCATTTCTTTCCTTCCTTGCTCCTGACTTATTAGTGTTTCTCAAGTTTCTTCTTATCTTTTTTCTCCATATCTTTGTTAGAAAGCCACATTCTAACTTGTGATTTATTCATTTTGCTTGACACATACGACTTGCTGGGTGAAAGGGCTATTGCATGCTCTTTTGCAGATTTTGTACTGCATAACTGCACATGATACCATGCAGTTTTTTATACTGCAGTCTTATTTATCTCTATCTCTGTCTATGTGTATATTATATTGATGGTTCTCTATGGTGGGGAGTAGTGTTGGTAATTTTGTCACACAGGGAATGTTTGGCAATGTCTGTGGACACTTTTCATTCTTAAAAGCTGGTAATGGATAGCTACTAGTGTCTACAAGCTGGGAGACCAAAGATGCTGCTAAATACACCACCAGGCACAGACAGAACTGCAGAGGACAAGACTGGTTGGGCCTACAAAGTCAGTAGTGCTGGGTTGAGAACCTGTGCCCATATCTGTATCTGCAGTGTGATTTTCTCCAGATCCGTGTGACAGTGGTCTACCTGCCACTTACCCTTGTATATTGAACCATCCTTGCATCCAGCACACCCAGAAGCTCAACCTGTGGTTGTGCTGCTTCCACCTGTTCCTCTGATGTGTTCCTTGTCTCAGGAATGCCAGCCACCATGATCCCCTTGGCTGCCTCTAGGCCTATGTCACTCCTGTCCACTTTCTACTCTTGTCAGAATGGTGGATTTTTTTGAGATGCACATATACTTTAATATCTATCTCTCCTGATTTGAAACTCATCAGCGATTCTTCATGGATTTCAGTGGCATTTAAATTTTCTTATGCAGTCTTTCCCAAATGGCTTATGATCTGACTTCTTTTTTTTTTCTTTTTTTTTTAACTTTTATTTAATGAATATAAATTTCCAAAGTACGACTTATGGATTACAATGGCTTCCCCCCCATACCGTCCCTCCCAACCACAACCCTCCCCTTTCCCACTCTCTCTCCCCTTCCATTCACATCAAGATTCATTTTCGATTATCTTAATATACAGAAGATCAGCTTAGCATACATTAAGTAAGGATTTCAACAGTTTGCTCCCACACAGAAACATAAAGTGAAAAATAATAGATGATTTTTTTTAAATGATGATGAAATCAAATCAGACCTATTGTCATGTTTAATCCCAGTGAGAGTCAAGTTGGGAATTGATAATTTCTTTTTTTTTTTTTTTACAGAAGATCAGTTTAGTATGCATTAAGTAAAGATTTCAACAGTTTGCACCCCCATAGAAACACAAAGTGAAATATATTGTTTGAGTACTCGTTATAGCATTAAATCTCAATGCACAGCACATTAAGGACAGAGATCCTACATGAGGAGTAAGTGCACAGTGACTCCTGTTGTTGACTTTACCAACACTCTTGTCTATGGCATCAGTAATCTCCCTATGCACCAGTCATGAGTTTCCAAGGCTATGGAAGCCCTCTGAGTTCTCCGACTCTTATCTTGTTTAGACAAGGTCATAGTCAAAGTGGAGGTTCTCTCCTCCCTTCAGAGAAAGGTACCTCCTTCTTTGATGGCCTGTTCTTTCCACTGGGATCTCACTCACAGAGATCTTTTGCCAGAGTGTCTTGGCTTTCCATGCCTGAAATACTCTCATGGGCTTTTCAGCCAGATTATGATCTGACTTCTTTCTCATATCCTATTATGTTTTCTTAGTCCTTCATAGTTCAATCTGGCTGTCTTATAGTTTACCAAATGTGATTTATTTTCTTTTTTTTGAAAGATTTTTATTTATTTTGCTTGAAAGGCAGAGTTGCAGAGAGAGAGAGAGAGAGAGAGAGAGAGAGACTGAGAAATCTTCCATGTGCTGGTTCACTCCCTAAATGGCTACAATGGCCAGAGCTGGGTCGATCCAAGGCCAGGAGCCAAGAGCTTCTTCCAGGTCTCCCACGTGGGTACGGGGCTCAAACACTTGGGCCATCCTCTGCTGCTTTCCCAGGCTATTAGCAAGGAGCTGGATTGGAAGTAGAGCAGCTGGGACTTGAACAAGTGCCCATATGAGATGCCAACTCCACATGCAGAGGGTTAACCTACTATGCCACAGTGCCTGCACTAACATGTTTTCTTATGCCTCTTGGCCTTTGCATGTGCCCAAACTCTTCTATTCTGGGGAGTGTGGTTAACTTTCCTTCGATCTTGGCTTATGCTGCCTCTTCCTGAAAGCTCTACTGTCACCCTAGGAAAGGGTGGCAGATCATCTTTTTGCTCTTGTGTGAAAACCCATGAATACTCCTGCATTTAGGGACTCATAAATCTTAGGCCTCTGTAGCAACTGTTGTGCTGCCTTACCATGGTCACCTGGCCAGACTCTTAGCTTTTTTGAGGGTTCTGGGTAGTTTTTGCATCTGTAGTGCTGGCACACATTTGGAATTTATTGAATTTTTCTTGATTAAAAGAAGGGATCCAGATGGGTCAACTTTCTTCCTAGTGGGAGCAACTGGTTGTCACTAAGGGTAATGTGTTTATTTTAAGAATTGCATTGGAAGCTGAATCTCTAATAGTGTCCAAAAGTTGATTAAATTATGGTACTTCCCTGTGGAATGCTTTGCAGCTGTTATACAGGTTGGGCTGGTCTGAATTAAACTAGAGAGAAGTCCATGATACATTGTTAAGAGAGAATATAAATGTAGATTGTGTATTTGTCATATTTGTATGAGCATAGAGCATATGGAAAGCTATGTTTCAAACTTCCCACACTGGTATGTTGAATATACCCTGTTATTTCAATTAGCAACCCATACTCAAAAAGTGAGCAGTGGAACTCATGAATTAGTTTCAAGCCCAAATATGAACCTGTATATAGACAAGAAAGATAGGAGTTGGGTAGAAGAATATTTCTCTAATGGCTTAGCAAAGTGTTCACAAAAATGGAAATCTCTCTTTTTGTGTATCTGTTAAATGCTCACATGTGTGTAGAAATAAGTCTGTAAAGATTTAGAACAAAATGTTAGTGTAATAATTTCTGTTTGGTAAATTATCTATATTCCCTCTTTTGGCTTCTAAGTATTATGCAGTTTCAAAACAGGAGCACACTTTATTTTTCATGGGAGAAATAACATTTTTCTAAAAATAGAAGATAGTATTTAAAAACTGGTACCATTAAAGTTGTCTGTTATCTAAATACGTAAGACTTGAAAAAACAATAGTATGAAATGATTATACAAAATTAATCCATTTGAGAACTGTGTTTTGCATACAACATTTTTATTCTTTTCTTTTAGCAACGATTGAAGGAAGAGAAGGAAGCCAAGCGGGCTCATCTGGATGGGAGGCATGAGTATTTATTTGCAATTGTAGCTTCCTGTTTGGACCTGAACAAAACTGAAGTGGAGGATGCCATTCTGGATGGCAATCAGGTGCGATGTGTGGGTGTTGTCACTGACTTGATCATGAGGGGTATGGATGGCCCATGGACACTGCCCTGTGGTGGTGGCTGAGTGAGTTAGGGCTCTCCAGCTGTCTAGGTTGAGAGGGGAGATTATAATATTACTTGAGTTCCACTGTTCTGATGGTGTGGCTGACATTTCTACATCCAAAGATGTTGGGCTTCTGCACCATTTTAGAACGTGAGGAAGGGGAATGCAATCTCCTCTCAAGGTGCTTGCTTATCTTTTTCTTTTCTTCCTTTTCTTTTTCTTTCTTTCCTTTTTTTTTTTTTTTTTTTTTTTTTGTACTGATCCTGTCTTCCAGGCTTGGCGACTGAATGGTGTCATGGTTTTGTGGCTTTAACTTTGGTTGTGCAGCTAACACTTTTGTTCCTGACTTTGAATTTATTTTCTGCTGTAATTTCTCTTCAAAGCCTGTGGTTTGGTTGGTGATTTGTGCTTGGATGGAGATGGCCAGAAATGGGAAGATACCATTTCCTGGGTATTGAGGATATCAGAATTTCAGAAGCCCTATGATAATTCTAGAAGGTTTTTTTTTTTTTTTAAGATTTATTTATTTTACTTGAAAGTCAGAGTTACACAGAGAGAAGGGGGAGCAGAGAGAGAGAGAGAGTTTTCCATCCAATGGTTCACTCCCCAGTTGGCCACAATGGTTGGAACTGCGCCGATCTGAAGCCAGGAGCCAGAAGCTTCCTCCAGGTCTCCCATGTGGGTGCAGGGGCCCAAGGGCCTGGGACATCCTCCACTGCTATCCCAGGCTATAGCAGAGAGCTGGATGGGAAGTGGAGCAGCTGGGACTTGAACTGGTGCCCACATGGGATGTTGGCGCTTCAGGCCAGGGTGTTAACCTGCTGTGCCGCAGCACCTGCCCCTAGAAGGTGTTTTTTTAAGACTAGGCATTAGACGAAAAAATAAACAAACAAACAAAAAAACAACAACACAACAACAAAAAAACCCCAAAAAAACAAAAGGTGGAGGGAAGGAACACAGATAAGACATGAGGCAGTTAAGAAACTATCCTATGCCTTTCTGCTTCTCATCATTGCTAACATTGTTTGAATGTTTACCATGTGTCATTCCCTGTTCTAAGTGACATTTTCTATGATTTCATTCAATATCTGGAGGTAGGTAATATTATTCCCTCCAAAACAGAGGCATGGAAGGAGAAAGGGCCACATAGATGATCCAGTCTTGGGGAAGTTATTCTAGAGATGAAATACTTCACTTCTTCTGCATCCCAATTCACACATCTGGATTTGGGATAATATTGGTGGAATAAAGGGGCAAAGATTCAGTACTGTAGGAATCCCAAGTCAAACTGCTATGGCAACCTTAGGATGTAGAAATGTTAGAACCTAGGAGTTTGATGAAACCAGCTGGCCCCAACTCTAAAGCAAGGCTAACATGGCAAGAGTAATATTCCTGGCTGTGATGGAAGTGATCCTCTACTGCTTGGGCTGGGAGGTGAATCTCTCATTCTCTCCTTGCTCTTGCAGCATTCTCAACCAAGGGAACAGGCCAACTTTTTTTGCTTTAGGTATAACGGTTTAACTCTTGTCTACAATGTAGTGGAAACTGAAGGGGGCTTATTTTCACACTTAAATGTTCAGGCTAGCTTTTATCCTCTAAAATGTTTTCTTGAATTATGACAAAATTTGCACAGCACAAAATTTACCAATTTAACCACTATAAGTGTTCAGTTTAGTATTAAGTGAATTCACCTTGTTGTATGAAAGTCCCTAGAACTCTTTTTATCTTGCAGAACAGTAATTCTATTTCCATTAAACAACAACTTACCAATTCTCCTTTCTCTTCAGACCCTGGCCACCACAGTTTTAGGAATCTGAGCATGCTAAGTCCCTTATATAATTGGAATCATAAAATATTTGTCCTTTTGTGATTGATTTTGTTTCATTTGGCGTAATGTTTCCAAGGTGTAAAGAAGCACTGTGGTAACATATGTTAAAATTGCCTTCTTGGGCTGGTGCCGCAGCTCACTAGGCTAATCTTCCGCCTGCGGCGCTGGCACCCAGGGTTCTAGTCCTGGTCGGGGTGCTGGATTCTGTCCTGGTTGCTCCTTTCCAGTCCAGCTCTCTGCTGTGGTCCAGGAGTGCAGTGGATGGCCCAGGTCCTTGGGCGCTGCACCCACATGGGAGACCAGGAGGAAGCACCTGGCTCCTGGCTTTGTATCGGCGCAGTGCACTGGCCTCAACGCGCCAGTCATAGCGGCCACTAGGGGGGTGAACCAATGAAAAAAGGAAAACCTTTCTCTCTGTCTCTCTCTCTCTCACTGTATAACTCTGCCTGTCAAAAAAAAAAAAAAATTGCCTTCTTGGGGCTGGCTCTGTGGTGTAGTGGGTAAAGCCACACCTGCAGTGCTGGCATCCCATATGGGTGCCAGTTTGAGTCCCAGCTGCTCCACTTCCCATCCAGCTCTCTGCTATGGCCTGGGAAAGCAGTAGAGGTAGGGTTGCTGGATTGTATGGTAATTCTCTTCTTCAGTTTTTGAGGAACCTTAATGACATTTTCAACAATGGCTTCGCCATTTTACTTTCCCACTGACAGTTCACAAGACTCCCAGTTTTTCCACATTCTTGCTATATTCTGCTTTTTTGATACTGGCTTTTCTGATATGTAGATATCAGAAAATATGTAGATATCAGAAAATATGTAGATTTTATCCTTATTCTTCTCATATGAATTCGAAACTGTGCTATTGACTGTTTAGAAGTTTGTAAATCAGAACAGAACTTACTCTGCCTTTTTTTTTTTTTTTTACAGATTGAAAGAATTGATCAGCTTTTTGCTGTTGGAGGTCTACGTCACCTTATGTTTTACTATCAGGATATGGAGGTAGCAGAAACAGGTATACAAATTTGATGTCAAATGACCCAGTAAGATGTCCTCAGATTTGTTTGAGATTGGCACAAAGAAGAAAGCCACTGTGGGCACTGAGCAAACCTCTTACTACTTCAGGGATGGGGGTGGGTAGAGGAGCAGCAGTGGGGTAGATATGGGGATGGAAAGTGATGTAGGGGAGCCAGAAGTATGGTGGATGTGGTCCTGGGAAGAAATTTTGTTGGGACTAGGCTGTGGCTTAGTGGGTAAAGGCGTCGCCTGAAACACTGACATCCCATATGGGCGCTGGTTCCTGTCTCGGTTGCTCCACTTTTGATCCAGCTCCTTGCTAATGGCCTGGGAAAAGTAGCAGAAGATGGCCCAAGTGCTTAGGGCCCTGCTACCCACATGGGAGACCTGGAAGAAGCTGTTGGTTCCTGGCTTTGGCCTGGCCTCTCTGTGACTGTTGTGGCCATTCTGGGGAGTGAACCAGCTGATGGAAGATCTCTCTCTGTCTCTCTATCTCTGTACTCTGACTTTCAAATAAGTAAATCTTATAAAAAGAAATTCTGTTTCCATCTCAAGCATAGAGCACAGATAATGCTGGTCATTTAGCCTGCCTGCTTGGACTCTGTTGGAGGTGGTTTGTTTTCTGTCTCTTGCTGTGCTGGCAAGAGGGGAATAATAAAGGAGATTATATATGTTCTGGAACTTCTAATGGCCATCTGTTCTCATCTGGATAGGCACTATTTCTTGCTAACATAGGAATTATTATCAAGAAGCATTGCAAAAAATTTTTAGCTATTATATTATGCTTATTTTTTTATTGATTCTGATTTAAATGTGTAATATTGAATGACAAGTTTAGTTCTTTCATTTAGGAAAAATTTGCAAATCTTTCTGTGGACTCAGCTGGACTTCTGCTTTCCAGTAGATTGATTTATATTTTAAGGCCTAACTAGAGACATATATGAATATGTTACAAAATATCATGGGGTGTTTATTTAGCCTAGCAGTTAAGATGCCAGATAAGAGGCTCACATTCCATTAGAGTACCTGGATTTGCTAGGCAGCTGCAGCTCCTGACTCCAGCCTCCTGCTATGCAGACTCTAGGAGGCAGCAGTGTTGACTCAAGGAATCAGGTTCCTGCCACTTATATGGGAGACCTGCATTGAATTCCAGGCTCCTGGTTTTGACTTGACTCAATCCTGGCCATTGCAGGAATCCATTCCCAGCAGATGAGATGTCTTTCTCTGTGTCTCTATGTCCCTCAAATAAAAACATGCTTTATTGCCATTTTGAGGAGAAGGAAAAATAGTTATTGCTTTTGGCATAGAGTATGAATATACTTGTTTAAAAACTAAAAGTTGGGGAGAATGTTTTGGTGCAACAGATTAAGGTGCTGTTTTCAATGCCCACATCCATACTGGGGTACTGGTTGGATTCCTGGCTGCTCTGTTTCTGATCTAGCTGCTTGCTAACATGCATTGGAAGCAGCATATGATGGCCCAAATACTTGGGTACTTGCCAACCATGTGGGAGACCTGGATGGAGTTTGGAGTTCCTGGTTTCAGCCTGGCCCAGCTCTGGCTATTGCAGCCATTTGTGGAGTGAACCAGTGGATGAAAAATTAAGTAACTTGCCCAATATCACATGGCTAGGAATTTCAGCTGTAGATTGAAGCAATTGGAGTCTGACTCCAGGGCCCACCACATTAATCACCACATGGTTTTACCTCTGCACCATCTAGACTTTAGCAATGTACTAAAGGACTGGCCAGCTACACTGACTATGACAGTGTAAATACAACATGGGGAAGTGAGAGTAGTGAGTTTTGGAGCCAGAACTGTATAAATAAGCATGGTGAAATGAGGGTGTTGAGTTTTGGAGCCAGAGCTGTGTTTTTTAAGTTTTTTATTTAAAGTTTATTTATTATTTATATTTATTTGAGAGGGAGGAAGGGGGAGAGAAAGAGAGAAAGAGAGAAAGAGAAAGAGAGAGAGAGATCTCTGACTGTTGGTTCATTCCTTAAATGCCTGCAAAAGCTAGGACTGGCTACACTGAAGCCAGGGTGGCTAGGACTCCATTACTGGGGCTTATCTGCTGCCACCCAGGGTGTGCATTAGCAGGAAGCTGGACCAAAAACCAGGAAGAACATAATCCCAGGTACTCTGATATGGGATGTGGGTGTTCCAAGTGACAGCTTAATCCACTGTGCCACAGCACCTGCCTCCTGAGCTAATTATTTTTAAAGATTTTATTTATTTATTTGAGAGGTAGAGTTACAGACAGTGAGAGGGAGAGACAGAGAGGAAGGTCTTCCTCCTATTGGTTCACTCCCCAAATGGCCTCAACGCCTGGAGCTACGCCCATCTAAAGCCAGGAGCCAGGTGCTTCTTCTTGGTCTCCCATGTGGGTACAGGGGCCCAAGGACTTGGGCCATCTTCTACTGCTTTCCCAGGCCACAGCAGAGAGCTGGATGGGAAGAGGAACAGCTGGGACTAGAATCGGCACTCATATGGGATGCCAGCACTGCAGGAGGAGGATTAACATACTGCGTCACGGGGCTGGCCCCTGAGCTAATTTTTGACCATGGCTCTGCCATCTGGTGGCTATGTGACCTGCAACAGGTCAGAGCTGTATCACAGTTGTGAGTTTTAGCAATGTGGAAAAGGTTCCTAGCAAAGGTCCTGGAACAAGCCACACCGATGGATATTTTCTACCCCTGATTCTTCCTCACTGCCCTGCTCTGAGCAACAATTTTGAAGTGAATCTGTGATCTGGAATCAAGCCAATCATTTTAGATCTCTTTAGGGCTCAAGCTGGAGATTGTTCAAGGGGTGGCCCCAGCCAGGGCACATAAACCAGTTAAAGATGATGGTATTTTAACAGGAAATATAGACTACAAATAGGATCTGTGAAACTACGATTCTTTTGCATTGTAGGACAGCTTGGCTCTCCAGGAGAGGGAAATCCTGTTTCTGGAAAGATAAAAAAAACTAAGGTGTTCGTGACCGAGGGAAAAGATGTTGCTCTTACAGGAGTGTGTGTGTTCTTCATTAGGCCTGACCCTTCCAAAGCCATCACCCCTGAGAACATCCATCGGGTAAGGGCAGCAGTTAATATTAACCCCAGATTTCCAAATTCATGTAAACTGCACAAAAATGTCCCTCCTTGTGGAACAACCGTCGTGTTCATTACAATATCTAAAACTACTTCCAAAGAAATAGTTTTAAAGCATTTAAAGTAAGCAATTAAGAGGACATTTCCCTAAAATGTTCTAAGAAGGCTTAGTATTTATTAACAAAATTGATTTAACATTGTGTATGTGTATACAGTGAGGTCCCTCCTTTTCAGGAGAATTTTCCATATACAGTTCACGTAGTGGTAATTTTGGTACATTTAGAATAAGGTTTCTACAGGTGCATATGTAACTTTTATGTACAGTGAAGTACATCCATAAAAATCTCCCCAGTCCTTGTTGGGTACATTGTCTTTTTGGAGAAAATAAAACAGAAAATATCTGGTGTTCTATTAATTTCTTGCATATATTCTGTTAATTGTATTTGAGGATAGTCTAAAGCTTATTTTTTAACCAGAGTATCAAAATGGCAAATTGTTGGGCAGATACACTTGAGATTTGATTAATTAACAATATTTAGAAATGACTTAGAAGCTATGTTGCAGTTGAGGATAATTTTTGCAGTGAAGAATATACTAATTGCTTCCCAGGAGGTGAGCTTCAACATGTTGGATACTGCAGATGGGGGCCTGTTGAACAGCATGAGACGGCTGCTGTCAGACATCTTCATCCCTGCACTCAGGGCCACGAGCCATGGCTGGGGTGAGCTCCAGGGTCTTCAGGAAGCATCTAACATCCAGCAAGAGTTCCTGAACTCTCTGGAAGGTTTTGTGAATGTCCTGTTGGGTGCACAGGAGAGTTTGAAGGAGAAGGTAAGGATGAGTAAGTTGTCCCTTTAAAATGACCAGATGGTCAGCAAATGTAATATACAAGTGGATGATATTTCTTTCGGATGGTCTTAATTCCACCAGGTTGAAAATCTTGAAAAAATTCTCTTGACAATTATTTTTGCCCTCTCAAGATATGGTGGTGACTAGATTTAATCTAAAATGCGTGTGATGAATGCATTCCAGGGTTTCATAAGATTGTTGGCAATGATTCAAGATTTTTCTCAGTTAGATGTGTTGAATGTTTATGAAGTCAAGAGTATGAAATGCTCATGGCATTGCTGTGTATCCTAGAATGAAAGAATTTGGAGCAAGAGTGGTGTGTGTGTGTGTGTGTGTGTGTGTGTGTGTGTAGGGGTGAGAGGAAATCATGAAGAGATAGGAAGAAGGAAAGGAAAATTGATGAGTTTGGGGAGAGAGTGTTGATCCTATGGTTCCGCCAGTGTCTAAAAGGGCCTTTAAGTGTATGTATGGCAAATGTGAGATTTTATTTCCCTGTGTTTGTGATCACTTGAGGCAGAGGGTGAGAATACAGTGTGTGTGTGTGTGTGTGTGTGTGTGTGTGTGTTTTGGGGGGAGGTGGGAGAGAGGATAGAGGAAATAAGGGAACTGGAAGGTGACAGAGTTGAGATCAGGTGTGTATGGGGGTAGAGAAATGGCTCCAATGATACACATGGCAAGTGACAATCTGCCCTTCTCTCTAGGGGACACTGATTCTCTTGGGATGCCGAGGGGGAGTCTTCTTCTTTTTGTATATTTGTTTATTGATTTGAAAGGCAGAGATAGAGAGAGGGAGAGACAGACAGATCTTCCATCTGTTGACTCACTCCCCAAATGGCTACAATGACTGGGTCTGGGTCAGGCTGGAGCCAGAAGCTTTGTACTCCATCTGGGTCTCCACATGGGTGCAAGGGTCCAAGCATTTGAGACATCTTCTATTGCTTTCTCAGGAACATTATCAGGGAGTTGGATTGGAAGTGCGCTGGGACTTGAATTGGCACTCAGTGGGATGTTGGTGTTGTGGGCAGTGGCTTAACCTGCCAAGCCACAAGGCCAGCCCCAAGAGGGGAGATTATTCTTGTCACCAAAGTATATGTGGTTGAGGAGTTGAGCAAATTTTATCCAGACAGGAATTGTATGACCCCTGCCAACAGCTGAATTATGTTTGCAATTTACTATGATGTAGGCCAATCCAGGTTGTACCAAATGAAATTATTGACATTCTATTTAAAGATCAGTGTTTTTTGTAGACTTCTACTTAATAGTATAAGAAAAGAATTACAGGAGCAGAAGGGATGTCTCTTCATGGGAGAGGTACTCCACTGAGTGGGAGAGGTCATGGGTTTTGAGCTGGCTCCTTAAGGTTTCTGGGACCCTAAGGGGGAGTTCTGGAAGGCCCATCTGGGCTGCTGTAGCCTGAGCTTAAGGCACGTGGAAATGAGTGGAGGTAGGTTGGCCTTGGTGTTTCCCAGTGAGAAGCAAAATGAAGAAGATAGAGAATGGAGGCTGATTCAAGGAGGAAAGAGTAGCATCTCTGAGCCCCATGGGGAAACATCAGATGCAGAGCCTGGGCTCTGAATGGATTGCAGTCACTTCTGAGCAGTGATGAGCTTGGGAGGCAGGGCCAGGAACCATCAGGGGTCAGGGCTTATTGGAAAGCTGACCAAAGTAAATGGAAAACCTTGAGAGAAATGTTCTGGGTGGTTGTGTTCCCCGGGGCAGGCCCCAGTAGCAGGGACACTTTCACCCAACAAATGCTTTTCTCTTCCATTTCCCCTAGGGCACTCTTTGGTTTACCAGGGGTGGGACCTGAGCTTTGAAAAGTGGTTCCTTGGCCCTGCTGGGGTTTGAGGGTGACAAATAGCTATGTCTCTTCTGAACACATTGAAAGACACAACAGAGCTGGACTATAGGTAAAGTTAGATTGGGCCTGAGAACTGAAGGTACCAGGTGTACTTTCGCCAGGAAGTCCTAATCAAATAGAGAAGTCCTTTTTGTGAAGTTTGTGTATTTTGTGTATAAAAACATATTAGGTGTCTTTGGCAAGTCAAAGTGCACTTTCCTGTCCCCTGAACTGAATCCAAGTGTTTACCATTGAACTTTCCAACTGTAAGGATGTGGTTGACAGGGATATGAAAGTCTTTATCTTTCCTTAGTTCCAAACAATAAACAATAGATTTAGCTGGCACAGTGGCTCACTAGGCTAATCCTCTGCCTTTCGGCGCCAGCACCCCGGGTTCTAATCCCGGTCGGGGCACCGGGTTCTGTCCCGGTTGCCCCTCTTCCAAGCCAGCTCTCTGCTGTGGCCAGGGAGTGCAGTGGAGGATGGCCCAAGTGCTTGGGCCCTGCACCCCATGGGAGACCAAGAGAAGCACCTGGCTCCTGCCATCGGATCAGCGCGGTGTGCTGGCCGCGGCGGCCATTGGAGGGTGAACCAATGGCAAAAGGAAGACCTTTCTCTCTGTCTCTCTCTCTCACTGTCCACTTTGCCTGTCAAAACAAAACAAAACAAAACAAAACAAAAATAGATTAGGAACTACCCTTTCACCCCCTGCCCTGCTAACTCTCTGTTCTGCTTTATAAATTGACTAGATAATTTTCACATTTCCTATTAATTTCCTAATCTTGTGATGTTTTGATTTGTCCCCCCCCCTTTCTCTCTCTTTCTTCTCTAAATTTGATGCAAGAATCAAACATCTTAAGTGCTATTCAATGCATAGGGGAGATTGGTCATTATATATTGTACACCATACTTCCAAGTATCTTTGTTGATGGAGATAGTTTAGATTAAAGGATCCCTTTAGGATCTGTCTAGACTTAAGGGTTGACCAAAAAATGTGTGTCTGGTTTTTAAAACCATTATCTTACTATTTATTTTTTGTTTTAATTAGGTGAATTTTCAAAAGTGTGAGATATTTCAACTGAAAACCCTGAAGGAACCAATAGACTACTTGACTCTGGCTAATAATCCTGAGACTTTGGAAAAAGTAGAGGGTTGTATGAAAGTATGGATCAGACAGACTGAACAGGTAACTTTCAGAAACCAACGTCCATTTCAGATTCCCTGTTACTGAACCAGTTGATAGATGAAGTTATATGACATTCTCATTTGTTTTACTGCAAGTCCTTATAAAGATGAGAGGTTCAAGGTGGAGATTACTTGTTAGTTAGGAAGGGAGTAAGAATTGCAAGAGATCATAATAAGTGACTTTATATACTTATGTAACTGCAATCTCTGTAGACATATAAGGAGTTTTCTAATTGAGCATTTTCTCCAAAAGGGAGATTAAGGCTTATAATAAAAGATTTTTTTTATGAAGGTGGACATTTCACCAAAAAGTAAGTGTAATTAGAATTTTTTAAACTTTTATTTAGTAAATATAAATTTCCAAAGTACAGTTTATGGATTACAATGGCTTTCCCCCCCATAACTTCCCTCCCACCTGCAACCCTCCCATCTCCCTCTCCCTCTCCCATTCCATTCACATCAAGATTCATTTTCAATTTTCTTTATATACAGAAGATCAGTTTAGTATATATTAAGTAAAGATTTCATCAGTTTGCACCCACACAGAACATAAAGTGTAAAATACTGTTTGAGTATTAGTTATAGCATTAATTCACATTGAGCAACATATTAAGGACAGAGATCCTACATGAGGACTAAGTACACAGTGACTCCAAGAATTTTTTTTTGACAGGCAGAGTGGACAGTGAGAGAGAGAGACAGAGAGAAAGGTCTTCCTTTTTCCATTGGTTCACCCCACAATGGCCACTGTGGCTGGAGCACTGCGCTGGTCTGAAGCCAGGAGCCACATGCCTCTCCTGGTCTCCCATGAGGATGCAGGGCGCAAGGACTGCTGGACCATCCTCCACTGCACTCTTGGGCTACTGCAGAAAGCTGGACTGGAAGAGGAGCAACCGGGACAGAATCCGGCGCCCCAACCGGGACTAGAACCTGGGGTGCCGGCGCCACAGGCAGAGGATTAGCCTATTGAGCCGTGGCACCAACCAATGTAATTAGAATTTAATAGCTGTTGGGGCTGGCACTATGGCACAGCAGGTTAATGCCCTGGCCTGAAATGCCGACATCCCATATGGGCGCCGGTTCTAGTCCTGGCTGCTCTTCTTCTGATCCAGCTCTCTGTGATGTCCTGGGAAAGCAGTAGAAGATGGCCCAAGTCCTTGGGCCCCTGCACCCGCGTAGGAGATCTGAAAGAATCTCCTGGCTCCTGGCTTTGGATTGGCACAGCTCCAGGTGTTGCAGCCAATTGGAGAGTGAACCATTGGATGGAAGACCTCTCTCTTTTTCTCTCTTTCTCTCTGCTCTCCTCTCTCTGTAACTCTGACTTTCATATAAAATAAATAAATCTTTAAAAAAAAAGAATTTAAGAGCTGCAGACATAGGATTATCTATTGTTATAGTGCTCCAAGTTTATATAGTAAAGGAACAGTCAAGATTTACAAAATTAGGGCCTTCAAAAGTTCATTAATGAAGTGTTTTTCAATGAGAAAAGTCAACTCAATTTTTGTTGAAGTTTTGAAAATGGAGACAAGTTAGTAAGAAACTCATTCACAGTTTGTAAATGAACAAAATATACCATGATTTAGATAATACAATTTTTTTCCTTATTTTGCTTATATAGCTTATATATAACTTTCACGCCTCTAGCCCCTCTCAATGGCTCACCCCCCCCCCCCCCCCCCCCACGTTTTGCAGGTCCTTGCTGAAAACAACCAGCTGCGGAAGGAGTCAGATGACGTCGGGCCCCGAGCAGAGTTGGAGTACTGGAAAAAGAGATTATCCAAGTTTAACTATCTTTTGGAGGAGCTGAAGAGCCCTGATGTGAAGGCTGTTTTGGCAGTCCTTGCTGCTGCAAAGTCAAGACTTCTGAAGGTTATCAGCCCTTTATTTTGGCTTTTGAAATATAATTGAGACTTCTCTATGAATAATTTCATAGAGTAATTATGAACAGAAAAATTTTATTATATCTTTTTTTTTTTTTGACTGGCAGAGTGGACAGTGAGAGAGAGAGAGAAACAGAGAGAAAGGTCTTCCTTTTCCGTTGATTCACCCCCCAATGGCCGCTGTGGCCGGCGCATCACGCTGATCCGAAGCCATGAGCCAGGTGCTTCTCCTGGTCTCCCATGCGGGTGCATGGCCCAAGCACTTGGGCCATCCTCCACTGCACTCCCTGGCCATAGCAGAGAGCTGGCCTGGAAGAGGGGCAACTGGGACAGAATCCGGTGCCCCGACCGGGACTAGAACCCGGTGTGCCAGCGCCTCAAGGTGGAGGATTAGCCTATTGAGCCATGGCGCCAGCCCTTATTATATCTTTATGATAAGCCTTTAAGATTGGATATTATCCTTATATAGTTTTGGATGGTGTGGAAATAGACTTTGAATTAAAGAATTTGTTGGCTAGTGTATATGTGTGGATATATATTATTAGAGGGCATTGCAAGTAATTAAGATATAACCTGCTAATATCAATATATATATTATGAATTTAGGCTAGCTAGAAGTGGTAATAATGAAAACTTATCTGTGCTTATTTTTTAGTCCTAATATATTAGTTTTATACTACAAAATAAATTACCCCAAGACTTAGCAGCATTTTTATCTCACAGTTTCCAGGTCAGGAATCAGGGTACAGCACAACTGAGTTCCTCTGACTCGGGGTCTCTCATGAGGCTGCCGTCAGGAGGTTGGCACATCTGAATGCTCAGCTGGGGAGATCTGCTTCCACATTTGTTACAGGTTTCAGTTCCTTGCTGGATGTTAGTTGGAGGCTCCTTTCAGTTCCTTTCCCTTCTATAGGGCATCAGTATGGTGGCTTACAGCATAGCAGCTGACTTCCCTTACAAGGAGCAAGGAAGAGAGTATGAGAGAATTCAATAGAGATATCACAGTCTTTTCATAAACTATTCCTGGGAGTGATAGCCCATCAATTTTTAAAAAAGATTTATTTATTTTATTTGAGAGGCAGAATCACAGAGAGAGAGAGAGAGAGAGAGAGAGAGAGACAGGTCTTCCACCTGTTGGTTCACTCCCCAGTTGGCACAACGGTTGGAGCTGCACCGATCCAAGCCAGGAGCCAGGAGCTTCTTCCAGGTCTCCCACATGGGTACAGGGTCCCAAAGACTTGGGCCATTTTCTACTGCTTTCCCAGGCCACAGCAGAGAGCTGGATTGGAAGTGGAACAGCTGAGACTCGAACCAGCGCTCATATGGGATGCTGGCACTGCAGGCGGTGGCTTTACCCGCTACACCACAGCACCAGCCCCAGCCCATCACTTTTGTTACATTCTTTTTAAAAAGCAAGTCATTACATTTAGCATGCAAGGAGAAGATATGATGCAAGAGTATGAATACAAGAAGTTGGTGATAATAGGGGCTGTGGTAGAGGCTGCCTAACTCACCTGGCACTGCTGCCATAAAGATCATTTTTGAGCATTTGTTGGATGTTTCAATCCAGCTAATAATTTTAATAGCAATTTGTATCAATGAATGTGATTTAGATTTACCTTAAATCAAGGCTCGATGAAATATGAGAGGTGAGCATGTTATACCATTCAGAAATTTGCTCAGTAGGACTTTCATAAAGTCAACTGAATGTGTTGGCTTATGCTAAGTCATTTCCTTTTAGTGTCCCCAAGTTTTTATATTATCTTTTCAATTTTGAATTTCCCAAATTATATTAAAGTCCTGGCATATAGCTGGTAATTATCAACAATTGCTGTATCAGTGGATAAACACAAGTATAGGAGTTTAGGGAATGGGAGTTTGGGCTATAAAAGGGAAGACAGAATAAATGGAAGTTAGGCAGTTCAGGGGAGAAGACGTGGGTTTAAGGGGAGGGTCTGCCCTCTTGGTGCTCTGTGCTTCTTTGTAGCATAGGTTTTTATAAGAGAAGGCTTGGACGAGATACTTTTAAAATTGTAGTAAAATATGAAAAATCGCTCTTCAGAGTAGCATTCTCCTTCACCCCTCTGGATTCAGTTTTAGGTAAGACGCGGAGAACACACTGAAAATCTGAGTGAAGGGCCTTGTGGCGATTTTAGGAGTTGTTGCAGGGGAAGTGTCTCTGTGAGTGATTGCATTAAAATTGCTTTCCTGTATTGTGCATAGATATGGCGGGAGACGGATATTCGAATCACTGATGCAGCTAATGAAGCCAAGGACAATGTCAAATACTTGTACACCCTTGAGAAATGCTGTGATCCTTTGTACAGCAGTGACCCTGTGAGTTGAGGATTTCTACACCTTTAGCCTGCAGATGATGCTCTCTGCACCAGTGGGACTGAATGTTGACATTGAGTTCATAGATGATACAGTCTGGTGGGCAGATTTTGAAGCTCCTTTTCATTCTTAATGAAATTATTCACATGCCATATTTCTAATCTGACTCTATGAGTAAAGATGTCTATGAGAAAAAGCACTTATTATGTGTTACATTTTCCATACATATGAAGGCACTTCAAAAACTTTGTCAAAAAAAGAATATAGATTTATATTGATGCAAAAAATGTTAAACTCTGTATATTTTCCTAGTAAAATACATTTTTCCATGAAGTTTTTGAAGATCATTTGTATTACAACTGACATTCTGGACTATACCTCAAAGAACAATAGGATAATTCATCCTTGGTTGTTTTTTAAAATATCTTCTACCTTTAGGAAGTGTTGACTTTTATTTTTTTAAAAATTAACTTATTGACAGATCTGATTTCATCATCATTTTAAAAAAATCATCTATTATTCCTCACTTTATGTTTCTGTGTGGGAGCAAACTGTTGAAATCCTTACTTAATGTATACTAAGCTGATCTTCTGTATATTAAGATAATCGAAAATGAATCTTGATGTGAATGGAAGGGGAGAGGGAGTGGGAAAGGGGAGGGCTGTGGGTGGGAGGGACGGTATGGGGTGAAGCCATTGTAACCCATAAATCGTACTTTGGAAATTTATATTCATTAAATAAAAGTTAAAAAAAAATTAACTTATTGACAGTTAATCATTAATAACTGTTAACTTTCTGTTGCTTGTCATTAACAGCAAGTTTATAGATTTTGAATTGAAATATAATTTGATTAATCATATAAGAAATACAATTTGATTAACCATATATGATTAATATATAAAATAAAAACAATTATTGTTAAATATATTCATGTAAAACATTAGGTAAAACTTTAAATAAAATTATGTTAAACTTTATTCTAATGAAGATGGAATGATTAGACTATTCTAATTAGAATTTTTCTGAGTATGATTTTTTCCTTGAAAACTTTGTGATATCTTCCAGATATCCATGATTGATGCCATTCCTACCCTTATAAGTGCGATTAAAATGATCTATAGCATCTCTCATTACTACAACACCTCTGAGAAGATCACATCTCTGTTTGTAAAGGTAAGTGCATAGAGCAGAATCCATTGTCACTTGTATTTCCTTGTCAATGGTCCATCTGTTGATAATGAAAAATTATCATGTTGGCACAGTCCACTGGATATGTATCTTGCAATTTAAATAAAGCTTAGTCTATCAATAGAGAGAACTAAAGTTGTATGAGAGGCTATTTCTAGCCGTTAAAGCATTATTTCCCCAAGTAATTATTACAATATTTTATTTTTTATATAATAAAAATAAAAAGATTCACTTTTGAGTTTCTTTCCCTATGATATTTTGAGCATCACTTATTCCAGTCGGGTAAATTTTAATTAAGAAAAACTATATTTAACTGTCCCCTCTTTCAAATTTTATATGCCACTGTTCCACATTTATTTGATGCTGCAGTTGTTTACTTGGTGTTATTAGAACAGTAATCATGGTAACAAAAGCCGCTTGCAACATTCCAGTAATGTATCAAGCAAGTATAAAGGTCTGCCAAACACATAGTGATATTTAAAACTTAGGTCTTAATTTGTAAGTGTTCATGGTGAGTACCATGGCTGTTCCCCCTTTTGAACCACCTCTAAGAAGTCAATGACTTTTTCATCATCAAAGCAGACATTCTTTGTTTCCCTAGAAGAAACCTTTGATTTAAGGAATACGAACTTCGTGCATTTCACTAGTACAACTCTAGGAATATAGTGATTCTTCCCACTGTACCCACCCTCCCACCCACTCTTCTACCCCTCCACCTCCTCCCTCTCCCATCCCCAGTCCCATTCTCCACTAAGATCCATTTTCGATTAACTTTATACACAGACCAACTCTATAATAAGTAAAAAGTTCAACAATTTGCACAGTTAAAAAAAACCAAAAACCAAAAACCAAACTAAACCGAACCAAACCAAAAACTGTTCCTCAACAGAAGAGACAAGGGCTGTTCAGTTATTGAATCTTTAAGTTAATTTTGCCTTTTTTTTTTTTAGAAACTTAATAAACTTTAAAGAAGCACCCAAGAATGATACACCTTTTTTTTTTTATTTTTTTAAACAGGCAGAGTTAGACAGAGAGAGACAGAGAGAAGGGTCCTCCTTTACCGTTGGTTCATCCCCCAAGTGGCTGCTATGACTGGTGCTTTGTGGCCGGCGCGCTTCGCCAATCCAAAGTCAGGAGCCAGGTGCTTCCTCCTGGTCTTCCATGGGGTGCAGGGCCCTCTGGGCCACAGCAGGGAGCTAGACTAAAAGAGGAGCAACCGGGACAGAATCCGACACCCTGACCGGGACTAGAACTCGGTGTGCCAGCGCCGCAGGCGGAGGATTAGCCTATTGAGCCATGGCTTCAGCCCAGAATGATACATCTTGCAAGCACTTACACTTAATTATAATACAACTCTTTGAGGACAGAGGTCCTGCATGGAAGTTAGTGCACAGTGATTCCTGTTGTTAATTTTACAATTAACACTCTTATGTATGATCAGTGATCACCTGAGACTCTTGACATGAGCTGCCTAGGCTATGGAAGCCTTTTGAATCCAAAAACTCTGTCAGTATTTGGGCAAGGCTATAACAAAGCAGGCATTTTAAATGTTGTATTAAAATGGAAGATTTTTTTTTTTGACCCACCAGAATTGTTTTGTCAGTAATAGGAATTAGGAGGTGTAATTCTTACTGGGATTAGAGACCCTTAGGCCTTGAGAGGTAAATGGGAAGCATTTTTTCTCTGCTTTTGTGTTGGTAATTTCAGATGGAGATCAGGGACATCCCAAACAGCCTTTCCCAATGTCTTCATGTTTTAAAACCATATTAGGCCAGCGCCACGGCTCAATAGGCTAATCCTCCACCTGCGGCACCAGCACCCAGGGTTCTAGTCCTGGTCAGGGCGCCGGATTCTGTCCTGGTTGTCCCTCTTCCAGTCTAGCTCTCTGCTGTGGCCCGGGAGTGCAGTGGAGGATGGCCCAAGTCCTTGGGCCCTGCACCCGCATGGGAGACCAGGAGGAAGCACCTGGCTCCTGGCTTCGCATCAGCGTGGTGCGCCGGCCGCAGCGTGCCAGCGCAGTGGCCATTGTGGGGTGAACCAACGGAAAAGGAAGACCTTTCTCTCTGTCTCTCTCTCTCACTGTCCGCTCTGCCTGTCAAAAAACAAACAAACAAACAAACAAAAAACCATATGTTAGCGCCAGGGAGATATTCCCATGTAAATGAGACTCAGAAATCAGTTTGCATTATTGATATAGATTTCATGCATGTTATTTGCAAGATTTGATTGAGAATATTATTGTGGAACCACCACTTGTCGAGTTATCAAAAGCTTCATTATGGAAAATTTGACAGGTACAGAAAGAGAGAGGGGTGGGTGTTTGTGAGATTAAGACACCATAGAGCGAGACACCTGCGTCTATATTGGAGTGCCTGGATTCAAGTCCGAACTCTGTCAAATGTTAGGTCCCTGCCACTCACTTGGGAGACCCAGACTGTGTTCCCAGCCCTGCCTGTTGCAGGCATTTGAGGAGTGAACCACTGGGTGGGAGAGCTCTGTTTTTCTCTATGCCTTCCAAGTAAATAAAACAAATAAATGAACATAAAAATAAAAATGGAGAGAGAGAGTTGTATGCCAAACTCACACACAGGCATGAGTGGTCTTGTTTTACCAACACCCTCACCCTTCATGCCACAGGTCCCAGAGAGAGCATCATTCTATACAGCAACACCATCGTTTAATTTTCTTTTTACTTTATTTAAAAAGCCAAGACATTCCTGACAGATGTTTTAACATTGGAAGCGAGAATAAAATGTTAATCATTTCATATGTTAGCTTCACTCTTCTTTCTGTAGTCTTCTTTCCCCTCCCTCCCTCCCTTCCTTCCTTTCTTCCTTCCTTTCTTCCCTCCTTCCTTTATTTTAAGATTTATTCATTTATTTGAAAGGCAGGGTTAGAGGGAGAAAGGGAAAGACAAAGAGAGTGATCTTCTATCTGCTGTTTCACCCCCAAAATGGCCACAATTGCCAGGACTGGGTCAGGCTGAAGCCAGGAGCCTGGAACTCCATCCCATGTGTGTGGCAGGGGCACAAGCATTTTGGGCCATCATCTGTTGTTTCCCAGGTGCATTAGCGGGGACCTATATCAGAAGCAGAAAGCCAGGACATGAACCGGATGCTGGTATTGTAGGCAGTGACTTAACTTGCTGTGCCACAATGCTGGTCCTTCTGTGGACTTCTTGTTTTGACATTGCATGATGGCCTGAAAAGATCATGGTGCTTATCAACCATGTGTGAAATGTTAGAGCAGGCAACCAAAGGAGGTCGAGGAAACTCTCATCAGCTCTTGGTTAGGGAAGTGCATGTTTTGGTTAGGACAATTCATCTTGAGTAAATGATGTGGTCCAAATTATTGATTTTCCATAGTGCTTTCAACTGTGTAACTTCACAAGTGATTTAATATTATTGTTTATTTTCATTTTATTTGAAAGGGAGATGGAGAGAGATAGAGACAGACAGACAGACATATCTTCCATCTATTGGTTTATTCAAGTTCTTGCAACAGTCCGGCTAGGCTAGGTCAGAGTCAGGAGCCCAAAACTCAATCCAGATTTCCCATGTGGATGGCAGGTACCCAAGTACTTGAGTCATCCATCACCAGCTGCCTTCCAGGGTGCACATTATCAAGAACCTAGATTAGAATTACAGAGGTTGAGACTTTAACCCAGGAACTTTAACACACACACACACACACACACACACACCATATAGCTATGCATACAAACATTTTACCTGCTGTGACAGAGGCTCACCTCCACAAACAATTTTATTTTATTTTATTTTTTATTTTTGACAGGCAGAGTGGACAGTGAGAGAGACAGAGAGAAAGGTCCTCCTTTACCATTGGTTCACCCCCCAATGGCCGCTGTGGCCGGCGCACTGCAGCCGGCGCACCTCGCTGATCTGAAGCCAGGAGCCAGGTGCTTCCTCCCAGTCTCCCATGTGGGTGCAGAGCCCAAGGACTTGGGTCATCCTCCACTGCACTCCCGGGCCACAGCAGGGAGCTGGACTGGAAGAGGAGCAACTGGGACAAAATCCGGTGCCCCGACAGGGACTAGAACCCCGTGTGCCTGCGCCGCAGGTGGAGGATTAGCCTATTGAGCCGCGGTGCCGGCCCACAAATGATTTTTGACGATAGCAAAGGGTCAGTGCTTAATCATAGTTTTTTATGGAAAAAATAAACCCAAAGCTTGTGTTCCCAAATGTTGAGCTCTGAGAGGTAGAAGAAGATTCTCACATTTATAATCCAGGCTGTTTTCTGCACTTAACATAATTTTTCTGGAAAATTCCAGGTGACAAATCAGATGATATCTGCATGCAAAGCCTACATTACCAACAATGGAACTGCTTCCATCTGGAACCAGCCGCAGGATATTGTGATGGAAAAAATATTATCTGCAATTACACTTAAGCAGGTAATGGATGTTTTATTTTTTTTATTTATTTTTTTTTTATTTTTGACAGGCAGAGTGGACAGTGAGAGAGAGAGAGACAGAGAGAAAGGTCTTCCTTTGCCGTTGGTTCACCCTCCAATGGCCGCCGCGGCCGGCGCGCTGCGGCCGGTGCACCGCGCTGATCCGATGGCAGGAGCCAGGAGCCAGGTGCTTTTCCTGGTCTCCCATGGGGTGCAGGGCCCAAGCACCTGGGCCATCCTCCACTGCACTCCCTGGCCACAGCAGAGGGCTGGCTTGGAAGAGGGACAACCGGGACAGAATCCGGCGCCCCGACTGGGACTAGAACCTGGTGTGCCGGCGCCGCTAGGCGGAGGATTAGCCTAGTGAGCCGCGGCGCCGGCCTAATGGATGTTTTATTTTTATGTTATTTTTGCTGATGCCATCTTAAATCATTAAGCAATTGTCTTACTATTGGTTACTAAAAATGCTGGTAATTTTTTAGTGGTAAGAAAATTGAGTGCTAATAAACCTCCTAGAAAGGTATTCACTTATTCTTTCTCGTTGGGGGCCTACCATATCCAGATAGTACGCTGAGTACTGGGGATACAAGAATGACCCAGGGAAGGGAGTTTTCTTCTCACACTTTATAAATGAATCTCAAGACAGACACAGAGTGGTTACCAAACATCATCAAGCATCAAGGTGGCAAAGCCACACCTTTGCACTACCTCATGAACAAACAAGAATTTGCTAGACTGGGGGATAGGAACAGATAATATTCCAGGCTGATGTATGAATATTTGCAAAGGCATGGAACTGTAAAATGTTGCAAATTCCATTCTAATTTTGCTGTTGTCACCTTCACTGAAGAAAGGTTGATACCTTTGTTAGGGGCCCTTTCTTATATTTTGGATTTTGATTTTCAGGAATACCAGCACTGCTTTCATAAGACAAAGCAGAAGCTTAAAGAAAACCCACATGAGAAGCAATTTGAATTTAGTGAGATGTATATTTTTGGAAAATTTGAAACTTTCCACCGACGTCTTGCCAAGATAATAGACATCCTCACAACTTTCAAGACCTATTCAGTCCTGCAAGATTCTAAGATTGAAGGGCTAGAAGATATGGTCACTAAATATCAGGTATTATGCTTTAAAACCGATTTGCTACTGTTACCTGTAACTGAACTTTAGAATTTTATACAAACAACCATATTTAGAATGGAATCCTGAGTCTATGATATGAAATTTGATCCTATGACATTTTTTAAATATTTATTTTATTTATTTGAAAGACAAAGTTAAGTTAAAGAGAGAGGTAGAAACAGAGAGAGAGGTCTTCCATCCGCTGACTCACTCCCCAGATGACCACAATGGCCGGAGCTGTGCCGATCTGAATCCAAGATCCAGGAGCTCTTCCAAGTCTTTCACGTGGGTGCAGGGGCCTAAAGATTTGGGCCATCTTCTACTGCTTTCCCAGGCCACAACAGAGTGCTGGATCAGAAGAGGAGCAGCCAGGACTAGAACCGGTGCCCATATGGGATGCTGGCACTTCAGGCCAGCGCTTTAACCCGCTGTACCAAAGTGCTGGCCCCTAATCCCATAGCCTTTTAACAGTAACTTAGATTTATTTGGGCAAAGTATAATGATGACAATATGTTCTTTTCAGGTGTGTGGTTTTAAGAATGACTTCTTTCAGTACACCAGCAGATTCATAGAACGACAAATGCCCTAAACATAATTCTGACCTCAAAATCAGCCCTTAAGGCATTCAGATCTGGCTTAAAAGCCCATGAGAGCATTTCAGGCATGGAAAAGCCAAGACACTGTGGCAAAAATGAACTATATGAAATATCTCTGTGATTGAGATCCCAGTGGAAAGAAGGGGCCATCAAAGAAGGAGGTACCTTTCTCAGAAGGGAGGAGAGAACTTCCACTTTGATTATGGCCTTGTCTAAATAAGGTCAGAGTTTGTGAACTCAGGAGGCTTCCGTAGCCTTAGCAGCTCATGACAAGAGCCTCGGGTGATTACTGACGTCATAAATAAGAGTGTCAATTGTTAAATCAACAACGGGAGTCATTGTGCATTTGCTCCCCATGTGGGAACCTCTGTCCTTAATATGTTGTACTATGAGAATTAACGGTAAAAGTAGTCTTCAAAGAGTACTTTATACTTTGTGTGTCTGTGTGGGTGCAAACTGTTGAAATCTTTACTTAGTATAGAGTTGATCTTCTGTATATAAAGATAATTAAAGTGAATATTAATGAAAAATGGGATGGGAGAGGGAGTAGGAGGTGGGATGGTTTGAGGGTGAGAGGGTGGGTATGGGGGGAAGAACTGCTATAATCCAAAAGTTGTACTTATTAAATTTATATTTATTAAATAAAAGCTTTATATATATAAGAGAATGACTTATCAATAGAGTAAAAATTAATCTCTATTAAGTAAAAGCATTTTTATTAGTTGTATAAGAAAAACATTCAAGTTATTATTTCATTTATTCCTGTAAATGTATTTAATGAAGAACATACTGTGTATCATGCACTACCTGATAGCAAGTTCTGAATGGCATTTGATGATCTCTGCCTTTAAGCTTTTTATTTGGACACAGATTTAAAAACAGCAGGTTTTTTTTGGCTCTGATTTTCCTAATTCCCTTGATTTTCCTTTGGTTTATTTTGTGAGGGTACCTCTGTGACTCATTTTACTTTGAAAGCGGGCATAGTGATGAAATAGCATTTTGAGGATTTAACAATGACAATTTATAAACAAAATGTGTTTTTAATTCTTTATATGGATGTCATCAAGATTTTTCTCATTTGGGACAGTGATAATGAAATTTTTTTTATGCTTGAATTTGATCACATAATTTTTGTACACTGATTTTTGTACTCTAGCAATTTAGGCAATTTAGAGAAAGTTCTCATTTCCTGAACTCTTGGGTTTTGGGAAAGAAAAAGAAAACATGTTTTCAAGGTGTGTTGTGTGTGAACAGCAAAGTGGATAAGCTGTACTTTGACGGGTTTTCAAGACAAAGAGGGACTTTGTCCATTTATTTTTCAGTTTGGAATCTAATGATTTTCTGTTTTTAATAAAAAATAGCATAGGAGCATATTTCAAAGTTTATTTTCAAATGAGAAGTTGAACTGAGTCTGAATAAATGCAGATAAGAAGTCTGTTCTAACCTGATAAAAATACTAGAATTGCTTTGAAAATTTAAAGTGTTGGTTAAAATGTTTATGCCAGAGGGTAGTGAGATAAACTGTAGAAGGTATGTGAAAGCCATAAAGTGAGGATTTCGTGTATTAGTGCCAATGTTAGTGGCTCTGAGTGTTGTCAACGGAATTGGACCTCATATTCTCTGCATGACTGTCAGGCCCTGCTTGCCCCATCCTGCTTGCTCCTCTCTCGTTTCCTCACTGTTATTCTGGACACAGGATAGGTTAAATTCAGTCTGTTTAGAGCATGCAGAGCCTTTTGTTTTCTTCTCCTGAAAGCTTCTATCTGTGGATTATCACATGGTTGTTTACTCTGTGGTTTCCAGATCTTGATTTAAATGTCCAAGCTTCTCAATGAAGTTTTCTTTGGCCCTGGTTCACCTCAGTCACTCCATGTCACCTTATCCATTTTATCGCTCTGTCATTATCACCTTCATTTGTTGTGACTTAACACATGTTCTGACTCCGTGTCCTCATCCAGGTCTGTGAGTCAGCTGAGAGCAGGGCCATCTGTTCTGTTCCTGCCTCTTCAGAGTTTATTGGCACATAATAGCTGTGCAGTAGGTATGTTTCAAGTGAATGGTTAAGCAGATTGAATTTGATTAGGTAGATTAAAGATCATGATTAATTATTTCATTTATTTAACTTAATCCTCTTAAGTGAATGTTATATCCTTTCACAAGGCAGTAGGAGTTATTCAGGAACCAAATCTTTTAAAATTAAAAAAATTAAAATATTTGAGAGAGAGAGAGAGAGATCAATCTCATCTACTGGTCACTCCCAGATTCCTGCAATGCTGGGGTTGAGCTGGTACCTGAAGCTGTGATCCAGAAATGCAGCTCAGGTCTCCCACTTGAGCGGCAGGAACTCTGCTACTTGAGCCATCACCCCTGCCTCCTGGGGTCTATTTAGCAGGAAGCTGGAGTTAGGAGATAGAGGTGGGTGTCTAACCAGTCACTCCTTTGTGGGATGTGGACATCTTTATTAGGCTAAATGCCTGCCCCCAAATATTTTTAATTACTACATAAAATGTGCAATGTAGCTTTTCTATACTTTTTAAAGACATTTTACATAAAACTGTGCATGTGTCTCTAAATCAGACTGCCTGTTATTATATCGAATGTATAGGTTGTTTAAGCAGTAAACTTGATTTAAGAAGTTAACGCAGTCTATAGATTTTTGTCTATTGAGAGATTTGATGTTTAAATGAAAATGACTTTGAGGCAGAGATTGTTGGAGGCCCAATATTCCTCATAAAAATTATATGCCTCTGTCAACAGTGTGGGCACCTGGGTTTGAGAATGGCTTAGTACTCGGTTAAGCATGATCACAGAGCATTAAATCTCATTATTCAGAGCAAACAAACTTCTGATAATAGTATTTTCAAGGAGATGAATAGCCTAATTTGTACTTCTGTAGTCACAGTCTGTAGCTATGCAGGGCAGAAGGAAGCAATTAATTCTGGAGTTTGTAAGTGGTTGATTGTGGTTTGACATTTTATTTAAGACATTTGAAGCTTGGAAGGTAGCTTGTTATCTGTAGACACAATAACAGCATTATTTCCTTCCTTCCCTATGTTCTATTAAAGCCTGTTGTTTTTGCCTGAGATTAAAAAAATTTTATTTATTTATTTGAAAGTCAGAGTTATAGAGAGACAGGGAGAGAGAGAGAGAGAGAGAGAGAGAGAGAGAGAGAGAGAGAGATCTTCAGTCTGCTGGTTCATTCCCCAGATGGCTGCAATGTCTGGGGCTGGATGAGCCTGAAGCCAAGAGTGTCTTTCAGGTCTCCCACATGGGTATCAGGGTCCCAAGCACTTGTGCCATCTTCCACTGCATTTCTCAGTCCATTAGGGAGCTAGATGAGAAGTGGAGCAGCCAGGACATGAACTGTGCCCATATGGGACCTGGCGTTGCATGTGATGGCTTTACCTGCTATGCCACAATGCTGGCCCCAAGATTTAAACCTCTTAACAAAAATATTTTAGTGAATTGCAGTCTGGGTTTCTTTTTTTTTTTTTAAAGATTATTTCAGTTGTGATCACTAAGAAATTTTTAGAGAAAACATTTCTCCTAATAATTTTAAGATGTGGTTTTTATTTTATTCTTCAAAAATATATCAAACATGATGAAAATGCTTTCTAAATGATTTTTTTGGGTGCAGTATGGCAACATTACAGTGCCTGTAAAGTAATAAACACTGAGTAGTGTGAATAATTAGAGAAGTAATTCTTCATCTTTATTTTTATTTTGAGGGAGGAGTGATTTTATTGGTTCTGCCAAATTTAGGTAAGCAGTACAAGAATATTGAAATGTTGTCTTATTTCTTTTATAATATTTCAGGGCATTGTTGCAACTATAAAGAAAAAGGAATATAATTTCTTAGATCAGCGGAAAATGGATTTTGACCAGGATTATGAAGAATTTTGCAAGCAAATTGATGACCTTCATGTAAGTTGTATAATAAAACTTCCATTGACAGTCCTGTGTTTGTTTTTTTCTCATTGTGCAGTGTTGCTAGTCATTACCCATTCGTAAGGGATGGGCATCTTCACCAGGGAGGTGGCCGACAGCAACCTCGGCTTACATTTTGTGATTTCAGATGAATAATTGAGGGCTCTTTTTCATGGATTAAAGGGTCATAAATATAGCTTTGGATACTAATGTGTAATCACAGCCTTCTGCAGGTGTTCCATCTTAGTTCTTAGCAAGTTAACTTTCACCTTCTGTTGAAATGTTGTAGCATTGTTAGAATGGAGACCTTTGTTTCCCTTTGTTTTATTACTGTACAGCAATAACTATCATCGGAGATAGCCCAAGTACAGGGTGGAGGATGTCTGGTAAGGCCCAAAGGTTAGATTGCAGCTGGCTTTAGAAACTATGGTTCCAGGCCTGATTCAAGTGTGTACCCAGTTTGGCCTCAAGATCCCTTTCTCTGGCCTCCCTCTATTCCCTGCAGATCAGCCAGCCTGACTTTCAGAAGGAATTATAGTCAGTTATTCAATTCTCAGTTTAGGAGTGGTTCCTAGCATACTGAATGTGCTAATTCATTGAACAATCAGAAGAATCCTTTAAAGTGAGACTCTTAATCCTCATATTTTGCAGAGGAAGAAATGGGAGCATTATGATTTTTTGAAAGATTTTATTTATTTATTTGGAAGGCAGAATTACAGAGAGGCAGAGGCAGAGAGAGAGGTCTTCCATCTGCTTGTTCATTCCCCAAATGACCTCAGTGGCCAGAGCTGGGCTAATCTGAAGCGGGTTAATCCAAAGCCAGGAGCATGGAGCTTCTTCTGGGTCTCCCACATAGGTGCAGGGTCCCAAGACTTGCTTTTCCAGGCCATAGCAGAGAGCTAGATTGGAAGTGGAGCAGCTGGGACCCAAACCAGTGCCAATATGGGATGCTGCACTGCAGCTTTACCTGGTATGCCACAGTGCCAGCTCCCCTCCCTCACCTTTTTTTTTTTTTAAGATCATTATGATTTTTTATTTTTATTTTTTGACAGGCAGATTTAGACAGTGAGTGAGAGAGAGAGAAAAAGGTCTTCCTTTCCGTTGGTTCACCCCCTAAATGGGCGCTACGGCCTGCACGCTGTGGCTGGCACACTGCACTGATCTGAAGCCAGGAGCCAGGTGCTTCCTCCTGGTCTCCCATGGGGTGCCGGGCCCAAGCACTTGGGCCATCCTCCACTGCACTCCCGGGCCACAGCAGAGAGTTGGACTGGAAGAGGAGCAACCGGGACAGAATCCAGCGACCCAAACAGGACTAGAACCTGGTGTGCTGGCGCTGCAGGCGGAGGATTAGCCAAGTGAGCTGCAGAGCCGGCAAGATCGTTATGATTTTTAAATGACTAGCCCCAAATCACAGACACAAGAGTGTGGATCCGTGGGGTGAAGCCCAGGCAGTCTGGTTTTCAAGTTCAAGTTTTTAGCCACTATGCTCTATGGCACATTTCATTTGATTGGAAGCTGTGATGCCTATAATAATGTAAGCAATTACACCTCTTTCTGGGGTTAACTCAGACCCAGGGACAATGGATCTTGATCTCTTTTTATTGGAACTTGATGGATGGTGGTAGATCTTGATTCTGTGTTCTATGGTCAAGTCCATTTGTTGAGTCTCCATCTGTGTTTCTTGGTGGTTTCTGATCACATTGTGTTTTTATGTGTGGAATGAAGATTGATGCCAAGCACTTTGAGGGCAGGGTTTTCTTCCTATTTGTTGGTAAGAAGGTGTGAATTAATTTTAATAAAACAAGCATTTATTGAACAGCAGTTATATAGTCACCTTCTATGCTCTGGATTATGAGTACAGAAATAAATCAAGCAGATTTATCCTTGAATTCATATGCAGAAGATGACAGTGACAGGACTGAAATGTAGATGTGTAGGTGGCACAGAAGGACAGATAGGGGCCATACTAATGAGTGAGATTCTGAAAGTAAAAATTCAAAGATAAAAAAGACCTAGTCCAAGTCCCCTAGAAACTTATGGGGAGTATAGGTCTGCAAAATATTAAGTAGATTCTGATCATTGCTACAACCTCTAAGAAGGATTGAAGCATGGAAAAGTAATACTGTATTTCTGCATGGCTAGGGCTAGTGAAGATTCGAGTGGGAAGAGTATTTTTTTAAAAAAAATGTTTTCTATAATTTATATAAAGGAAATACATTTAATTATACCATTTTAAGAGCACAATAATACTTCTCACCCTACCTGCCCTCCCTTCCTCCTCCTCCTTTTTTTCTTTCTTTTTATTAAAAAATATTGTTTATTTATTTGGAAGGCAGGGTTACAGAGAGAGGGAGAGAGAGAGAAAGAGGGAGAGAGAGACAGAGAGAAAGAGAGAGAGGTAGATAGATAGATAGATAGATAGATATTGATTGAGAGAGCTTCCATCTGCTGGTTCATTCCCCAAATGTCCACAATGGCCAGGGCTGGGCCAGGCTGAAGCTGGAAGCCAGGAGCTTCATATGGGTCTTCTAAGTGGGACAGAAGCCCAAGTACTTGGACCATCTTCCCGTGCTTTCTTAGGCACATGATCAGAGAGCTGGATTGGAAGTGGAACAACCAGGACTTGAACTGGCACACATATGGGTTGCTGACACTGCAGGCAATGTCTTAACCTACTGTACCGCAGTGCTGACCCCTCTTTTTTATTTTTCTTTCAACTTTGACAATGACATATTTTCAATTTACTTTATAATCACAAGCTTAACCACCCACTAAATAAAGAATTCCACATGTAGTAGGTAGAAAAACCATTGTTCCTTAATAGTGGTGACAAAGGCTATAAACAGTAATAAAATCTCAGAATGTCAATTTTGCTTATATACATTATATTTTCTTTTGCTTATATACATTATATTTTCTTTCTTTCTATATTATTTTGTGATTAGTTACCACAAATCAGGTAAAAATGTGATAATTGTCTTTTTGGGAGAGGAGCATATACTTGATGTTCAAAAGATGTTCATGTTTTTAAGTAAAAGGAGTGGGACTGAATGAGGTGGGGGAGACCATGTTAGTCCTGTGCTCACTTCTCATTGTACTGAGAATATAATTTTATTGTTGTTCTGCAGCTCGGTTTCAAACCACTAATTATTGTTATTAGCTCCTATTTTCATTTACTTTTTAATTTTAAATCTAACGCTATTATGTCAAAGGGATCACATAAACAAGACTAGTGTCTACTAATACTAACTGATAGAATAAAAAGGGAGAGAACAATCCAACATGGGAAGCAGGATATACAGCAGGCTCAGAATGGCAGATGTCCTAAACAGCACTCTGGCCTCAGAATCAGCCCTTAAGGCATTTGGATCTGGCTGAAGAGCCCATGAGAGTATTTCAGGCATGGAAAGCCAAGACACTGTGGCCAAAAAAAAAAAAAATGACCTAAATGAAAGATCTCTGTGAGTGATATCCCAGCGGAAAGAACGGGCCATCAAAGAAGGAGGTACCTTTCTCTGAAGGGAGGAGAGAACTTCCACTTTGACTATGTCCTTGTTTAAATAAGATTGGAGTTGGTGAACTCAAGAGGCTTCCATAGCCTTGGCAGCTCATGACAAGAACCTTGGGTGATTACTGACGCCATAAATAAGAGTATCAATTGTTAAATCAACAACAGGAGTCACTGTGCGCTTACTCCTCATGTAGGATCTCTGTCCTTAATGTGTTGTACTATGTGAATTAACAGTATAACTAGTACTCAAACAGTACTTTATACTTTGTGTTTCTGTGTGGGTGCAAACTGTTGAAATCTTTATGTAGTATCTACTAAATTGATCTTCTGTATATAAAGATAATTGAAAATGAATCTTGATGATGAATGGGATGGGAGAGGGAGTGGGAGATGGGATGGTTGTTGGTGGGAGGGAGGTTATAGGGGGAAAGAGCCACTATAATCCAAAAGTTGTACTTTGGAAATTTATATTTATTAAATAAAAGTTAAAAAAAATAAATCTAACACTATTATTCATCTTACCTTCCATATAAAAAAATGACACACTTCTGTCCTTGGTTCACTGATACATTTTTCTTTGACTTTCTTTGTCCCTTTCTTCTTTTTTTCTTTTAACCAACTGTTCTACCCTCTCTCCATTCAATACTCATCTTCTCCCATGAATTCAGCTTTCATTTCTATAAAACTGGGGCAAACATAGTGATCTTCCTAAGACTCAGGGTGGACTAAGGAGGAGGTAAGTTTTTGAGACCAGGAAACTGTAACTCTGAAGGCTGAAGCGAAAGACTGAGGCCCACAGGAGCTTTGGATCAGGGTTGTGTCCAGGGCTCCACTGGACAAAACCTGGAATGTTATCCAGATTTGGAGTTCCTACAGGCAGGACCAGGCCACAGGGGCAGTGTGAGGGACCCTGGTGGGCTGTTGAATCCAGAAGCACTCTGATTCCAGGGGGAAAGTCAGGCACTATTTACTCACTGCCAAAGTGAGAGACCAAGTTAAAGGGAAATGCTTACCTGGAGTCCCTTTCAGACTTTTCTCATCTCTACCTTTTTTGGAATAATTTTAGGCATTCTGTTACTCTATTAATCTCCTTTCCTTTGTAGTTTTCAAAAAGAATTTTGAGGTTATCTTCTTTAGGAGTCACTTATATTTTTCCTATAGGAGTCTTGAGGCCCTGGGCTTTTGGGTTGCTTCTGGTTTTGCATTATTTTTCTGCTGGGTGCTACTGGTTTTACCTTTCCAGATACCTTTTGTGTTAATTTTTTGGGATACATGCCCCTCATATCATATGTGGGATAAACTTGGACCCATTATCTAGAGGTGGCCTAGGTGCAGGATTTCAGCTGCTCTATGATAGGGGGTGAAATCATGCCCTGCCTCTGTGTTAATGCACTATCTATTGCTGTGTTGGCTACTGTGGCACAGCTGAGCAGATGTTAGACTTAGCAGATGCCTCACAAGGTTGTGGCCCTTGTCAGAGCAGTGTAGGTACCCTGTTCCAGGTTGGCTTTCCTCCAATTCATGATCTAGGCAGATGGCAAGCCTCATTGCAGCTTTCTGAACTTGAGAATAGTCATTCAGTCCCCTCTGCTTGCACTTGGCAGTGCTTCAAGGATCTTGGTTTTCTGTGGGATCTGTTGAGAGTGTTAGGGCCCTTCTGCTTCTCTCCCACATAGTGATGGAGCCCCAGTGCCTCACCCCCAGTCCCTGAGTTTGGTCCGATACTCATGGAGCCTGCCAGAGAGCCAACTCCCAATTATGTGCTACACAGTTATGGTATTTAGGAGGTAGGACTAGTGAGAAGTCCTTTGGTCATTGGAGGTGTCCCTTGGAAGGTAGTTCTTGCCAGAGGGTTATAAAAGTCTGAGTTTGGGCCTAACTCCTTTCTCTGCTTTCTGTCCCACGATGTGATCCTTCCTCTACACACATCCCCTCACAGAGAGAAGGCAGTGGGATCACCTGATCTTTGGACTTTGAACCTCTAGATCCATGGGCCAAAGGAATACTCTTTTTGTTATAAAGTTAGGCTACTCAGGTATTTTGTTATAGTAGTGACAGATTACTAAAACAGAGCTTTTATCTTTCTTTTAAGCTCATTAAATTTTGTCTCATTTTATATGTGTTTGTATACAATGGAAATCTATTCTGTCTTGCTTGTAAATAGGAAAGTCCCAGTGCCAATTCATTGTTCATAATCATATTTTAATTTATTTTTAGAATGAGTTACAGAAGTTCATGGATGTTACATTTGAAAAAATTCAAAACACAAATCAAGCTCTAAGTATGTTAAAGAAATTTGAAAGGTAAAAAATTTGAAATAATTTTTTAATTTCCATTTTCTAACATTAGGGTAATATAAACATAGTTTATATTTTGCTGTTATTATTGCTAATATTATTATTTCATGTTTTAGTGGAAAGAAAATCTCTTTTGACTATCTTGGTACCAAATCATAGTTTTCATGTTCTTCAAAGGAATAAGAAGATTAGTGCTCATTAAGATTAAGGATTTATGTTATTTCTTCACAGAGAGAATACTCCTAACTTTGAAGTGCCTGTAACTGCCTACAGTGATATTTCCTAATGTTTAAGTAATTTGAAATAATTCCTCCCAGGTTAATAGTTTTGCCTACATTTTAAGGATTGCTGCTATTTGTATTCTTTTACTTCCATAGAATAAACTATTAATATATGTTTTAAAATATTAAAAAAGAGATTATTAGACCTCTTCCCATTAATTCAGGTCTTTTACTTTTTTTTCCAATCAGATTGAACATACCTAATCTTGGTATTGATGACAAATACAGGCTAATCCTTGAGAACTATGGGACTGACATTGATATGATTTCAAAATTGTACACAAAGCAGAAATATGATCCTCCTCTGGCTCGAGACCAGCCTCCCATTGCTGGGAAGATTTTATGGGCCCGTCAGCTCTTCCACAGGATCGAGCAACCCATGCAGCTTTTCCAGCAGCACCCAAGTGTGCTGAAGACACCAGAAGCCAAGCCTATAATTCGCAGTTACAACAGGATGGCCAAGGTCCTCCTGGAATTTGAGGTCCTCTACCACAGGGCATGGCTTCAACAAGTGAGCCTCCTATTTTTTTCAGTGTTATTCCTATAGACAGTTGGATTTGTGGGTGTTTTCTCTTACTAGTTGAATCTGTGTAGGTATATGCCAGTGAAGTGAAAATAATGATAATCATAAGCCATGTAACAGAAACTCATTCTTATTTAATTTAGAAACTTTTGAGTGAGAAGATCCTATTTGTGTGTTCCTCTACTTTGTTGGTTAGGATTTCCTTATTTTTTTCAGTTCAGGAAGATCCTAAATGGGTCACTCAATACTAGTCTGTTAAACAGCCTTAAGTTTTCTTTGACTGTACTATTGGCTTATCAAAGGTGTTCTAGTACATAGCAGGGTGACTATATATGAAGTACTGTCTACTTTCTATTAAGAAAAAAACAGAAGAAGGAATTTTGAATGTTTTCACAACAAACAAATGTTTAAGGAGGTAGATACTCTGCTTTGAACATTTCACAGTATATACATGTACTGAAATATCACATAGTACTCCATAAATATGTACAAGGATATCTCAAAAAGTTCATGGAAGAATGAAATCAAAGATAAGCTTATTTTGGTGCAAAAAGTTTTGAAATCTATGCATAGAATGGTATACAAAATGTTCATGGAAAATGTGTATTGTGAAAAACTGCATGGATTTCGAAAAATTTTTTTGCACCACAATAAAGTTGTCTTTTGATTCCATTTTCCACAGACTTTTTGAAGTATTCTCTTAATTTTTTGTGTATTTAAATTTTAAAGAGAGAAAGGAACATAACAGTAGCCAATAAAAAGCAAAGCAAATTATACCCTTTTAGTACATGTATTTCTTTGTAGATTGGCAGGAAATGATGTCTCCATAGCTGTATCCATTGTTTTTCTGGATAGCTGAAAACCAAGTTTAATAAGTTTTATGAAACTTTTCTTAGGGATATAATTTAGGAGGCATAAATGTGTCAAGGAGCTAGATGGGTTTTGAGAATTCACCACTATTGCAGTGCCCACTTACCTGTCAGGTGTGAGTCATGGCTGAAATGTTTTATCAAATTGACTCGGCAGTATCGCCACTAAGAACTTGGAGGATATTTTCTGAGTGTGAATTTAGAAGAGTAAGCAAGTGCACTGCCTTTAACTTAGTAAGAACATGTAAGAATTTTCCTTCTCAGGAAGGACTGAGCTGGATTCTCTGTATGTACTGGACTTTCTAACGGTGATAATGTTAATTCACTCCTACAGAGTGAAGCTGTTCACATAGTTCTTGAGGCTTCTTTGTTGGTGAAGGCTCCAGGCACAGGCGAATTGTTTGCAAACTTTGACCCTCAGATATTAGTCTTATTTCGAGAGACAGAGTGCATGTCCCAGATGGGTCTGGAAGTCTCACCCCTAGCAGCTGCCCTCTTCCAGAAACGGGATACCTACAAAAAGAATTTCAGTGACATGAAGGTGAGGTCCCTTTACTCTTTCCTTTCCTGGCCAATTCTAAAATGCATTTAAAACATGGTGGTATGTCCCATTGAAGGAACAGAAAGTCCCCCATGTGACTGGGGTAGAGTGTGTGAGGGGGCAGTTCAGATGCTTGTGTTGGCTGAGGCTAGACCATTCCGGATCATGTAAGCCAAAGTTAGAATTTGGGTTTAATTTTGAGTGTACTGGGAAACTATTGAAGGATTTTGAGCCGGAGAAAAAGGTGTGAGGTCTTTTACAATTAAATTGTTCTTGCTGTTGGGCTGAAATAGGAGTTTTAGGAGGACAAGTGTGTTGGTGGGAAGCCAGTGTGTGGGCAATTGTACTGGTTTCTGGTGGAGATAATGGTGACTTGAACAAGAAAGGAAGCAATGTTGATGGGAGAATTATTTATGTCGGTCAACAGGCCAATTATGGGAGAACTCAGGATAATTTCTGTGTTTTTGGTGTGAGCAGCTCAGTGGATTAAAATAGAGCCACCATGTATTGCTGTGCAGGTTTCATTCTGTGTAATTTGCATGATAATTTACAGTGGCCCTGATTGCAGGTTCCATTTATGGAGTTGGCAACAACTGGAACTAATTTATTTTTGGGGCAGGAGGCAATCAGTCACTCCCATCTTAAATATGAGGGAGCTTTTTAGAAATCTAAATCCAAATATATATGCCTGGAGTTAAGTGGCACAAAGCTGGGAATATACTTTTCAGAGTTATCAAAATATAGTTGCTGTTTACTGCCATAGTCCTAAGTGAGATCTCTTAGGGAGACAATAAAGAGAACAGAATAGTGGGCCATTGGGCCAAACACCAAGTTGCTCCAGTATTGAAACATCAGTTGGAATAGCACAGATACACAAATAAATTGGCTTTATAGGTGGGAAGAAATCAAGTGTCCAGGAAGCCAAAGGTAAGAAAAGCTGCAGGGAGAATGAGGGGTACCAGTGACAAAGGCTTCTGCTCAGAGTACGGGAAAGACAAGGTCAGAGAGGCAGCCATGGTATTGGCAATACGGAAACTGTTATTAAAATTTATAGTGGCTACCATCTGATGATGATGCCAAGGTCATGTGTATGCATAGTGTTTTACATTTTCAGCTTTTTCCCATTGTTTATTTCATTTTGTTCTTTCTACCATGTTAGGCAAATGGAATAGGATGCTGTTATTTTGTTTTATAGATGATAAATCTGTGGCCCAGAGAAGTTAAATGACTTAGCCAACGTCTTGTAGTTTATAAGAGCAGAATTAAGACCCCAACTCAGACTTCTGGTCCACTGTTTCCCACTGCTTTGTGGCATAGTAAAAAGTTAATATTGGCAGGGGACTGACATTCTTCAACTGTGGAATCATAAAATAATATCAGCATGTTTGATGTTCCCTTTTGACTCTTCTTGCTTGTGAGGAAAATCACTAATCTATACATTTATAAGAAAATAATATTTTTTACTAACAAATCCTATTTATGAGACCATGTACTTACCAATGATAATTTTATCCAGAGAATAATTTCAAAACTCCACAAACTGTAGTGACTTAAAGCAAGATTTCTTATATCTTTTGATCTTGTGGGTAATGAATTTGAACAGCGCTTGGATAGGTGTTTCTTTTGTTCCATGTGGCTTCAACAAAGGTTGTTTAGTAGAGTTGAGCTGGCAGATGTTTGATCTGCTCGTCTGTACATGGCCTTCTGAATGGAGGTCTTAGGGTAGCAGAATTTCTTAGAAGGCAACTCGGGAGCAAGCGCTAACAGTGAACAAGGAGGAGCCTGAGATGTTGCACAGCATCACTTCTGTTGTTCCCTGTCAGGATCCATACGCCCATCCAGATTCTAGGGGAGGGTACATAGACACTACCCCATAAGGAAATACAAAGAATATTTTCAAGCCACCACCCTTATAAATGATAACTTGATCTAGGAAATTATCATCTAATTGAAATTTATATGTTGGAGATTGAAAGGTTTAAATGTTTCCATTCAACACGAGTAAGAGTAGATCTGTTGGCAGGTGTAGGGGACTATCTCAAGTTCTGCAGAGTAACTGTGCTTAATATTTAACAGATTTTCAGATTTGCCCAGATACACCAAAGTAGCTGAGAGTTGGTTTTATTCATCAAATTGTTGGAAAGTTGTTGAAACTAGAGTGTGGAGCTAGCATAGGCTAATAGTTATGACTTTAGATTTTAAAGTCAACTTGATCAGGATTTAAACCATTATCTTTGGGTAAATTACTGTCTAAGCCTTGCTTTCACATTTATAAAATGGACAAATAATACCTGCTGAGGTTAAAGGATTACAGGAGAGAAGTAGAAAGCCTCCTGGAGGTAGATTCTAAGAACTTCTTGCCAGAAAAAACAAGAGTTGGGTATTGCAAAATAGGCAAGCAAGTGGATACAATCTTTGGGAAATATATAAGGAGCTGCTAAAAGATCCATCAGATTTGTGCTTTTCTAAAGTGGCTGTCATGGAAATTGAAAGGGAATTAGAGGAACTGGAAAAGTATTATATGGAGAAAGGATTATATACCCTATTTGGGAATGTTGGGTTTAACAACATTCTCAAAGCCCCTAAGGACTTTTCATTTCCTTACTGCATGTTTTTCAGTTATTAATTATCAATTGTGACTGTTCTAGAGAGGAGGTATTATATATATAGTGTTTTTAAAACTTACCCATCCAGGAACTTTCTTCTCATAGAGTCTCAGGCCTAGTACTCCAAGGCAAAGACTTTCAGAAGCAGTGCCTTGATATTAAGGTAACACCAACAATTGTATCTTATTATACAACAGGTAAATTTCAATGGAGTACCAAAACCTATGAGTTTTAGATCATAAGTGCTCCTTCTGATAACAATTAATTGATTAACTGGAGAAATGTTGATTGATCATCTCCCATGTGCTACATACTGTTTCAGGCTCATTGAATGAAACAGGCCTAGAACTCAACATAGGTGTTCCTTGACTTATAGTGGGGGTTGCGTCATGATAAACTTAAGTTGAAAAGATCCTAACAGTGCAGTTAATACACCTAATTTATATCCTAGCTTACTCTAGCCTACTTTATGAGTGCTCAGAACACTTGCATAATCCACACTTGGGCAAAATCACTAAGCAGAAAGCCTAGTTTGTAATTCAATGTTGAATACCTCTTGAAATTTACTGAATACCTATCTAAAAAATGCTGACAACACAGTACGCAGCATAGTATTGTTTACCCTGTGATTGTTGGGCTAACTGGGAGCTGTAATTCACTGCCACCACCCAGGATTATGAGAATATTCTACACTTTCTAGACCAGAAAAACATGAAAATTCCAAATTCAAAGTAGTTTCTATTGAATGTATAATCTTTGTATCATTGTGAAATTAAAAATTATAATGTTTTTTTTTTTTAAATTTTTAAAATTTATTTGACAGGCAGAGTTAGACAGTGAGAGAGAGAGACAGAGAGAAAGGTCTTCCTTCTGTTGGTTCACTCCCCAAATGGCCGCTATGGCCGGCGCTGCGCCGATTCGAAGCCAGGAGCCAGGTGCTTCTTTCTGGTCTCCCATGTGGGTGCAGGGGCCCAAGCACTCAGGCCATCCTCCACTGCCCTCCTGGGCTACAGCAGAGAGCTGGACTGGAAGAGGAGCAGCCAGGAGTAGAACCTGGTGCCCATATGCGATGCCAGCGCCGCAGGTGGAGGATTAGCCAAGTGAGCCATGGTGCCGGCCCCATAATAAATTTTTGATTTTGTTCTAATTAAGTAAGGCAGAAAATAGGCAATGGCCATTTAAAATAGGTAAATTTAGTCTGTTGGATAGATGCTAGGGAAAAAAATAGAGCAGGACATAGAATGTGTAAGTGGCTTTTGGTGGTAGTTTATATCTTCTAATAGATTGTCAGAATAGGCCTAATTGAGAAGTTGGCATTTGAGTAACTGTTTGAAGGAAGTGCAAACGTCCTGAGGCTAGGGACCATGAATGAAGGAAGACAGTAGGTCAGGAACTAGTCAGAGCAGGTAATAGTGGTTGGAGATGAGATCAGTGAAATAATTGGGGATAAAGTTGGGTAGGTCTTTGTAGACCAAGGACCTACATAATCCTTAGTTATGAGGACAAGCAGGCCTAAATGAGATAAGAAGCCATCGAGCCCTGAAGTAGCCAAGTAGTGGCATGATAAGATTTAATATTATGAAAGGTTCACTCTTGCTGCTAAATTGAGTGTAGACAATAGGATGGGTGGGTAGAAGCAGGGAGACAAAAGTAGACCATTCTGATAAAGTAGATGAAAGTCAGTAATAGAAGCAGCAATGGATAAAGTAAGCAGGTCAGATACGGAATGCGTTTTGAATATGGAACAAACAGGGTATCCTGATGTATTGCATGTGGGAGTGAGAGAGAGGAGGCAAGGATGATTCTGAGTTTTGGCCTGTGGATTGGAAGGGTGGAGGTGCCCTCTGGTAGGTCAGAGAGTGCTATGAGCAAAGAAGGTTTTGGGAAAACAGCAAATTTTCAGTTTTGGACACGTGAAGTTTCAGATGTCTGTTCAGTATCCAAATGGAGTTACTGAGTAGTCTGTTGCCATATATGAATCTAGGCTTCAGGAGTGAGAACTTGGCTTGACATGCAAACTTGTCCACCTTTGGCATTTGGATGATACTTAAAGCCATGACACTTGATTAAATTAACACTGATTCCTGATTCTGTCTCTGAGTGCAATGAGTTTGCATCAAGATTTGGCCAATAATCCTTACAATGGGCTGAGGTAGACCTCTGGTGTGTGATTGGTGACTTGGTGCACAGGAGATGCCTGGTGGAATAGGATGCATATGGTTGTATGAATGAGCCCAGTGGTGCACAGGTGGAGGCATTCTTCCCTGACTTTCCTTAGCTTAAAAATGTACATTTTTTTCCCTTTTAGACTGCAAGAGGATGAGAAACTCTACTCTTAAATTCTTTATTGTTGTTTCTTTGAATTGATCTTTTTTTTGTTGAAAATCAGTTGACCATCTATGTATACATTTAAATTTCTGAAGTTCTTTTTCACATTCAGTTATGTTTTATTGAACCATCAGTTTGTACCTATGGAGAAATTCTGTGTTGTCTTTTCTTAATTTTTTACTCTCTCTACCTGACAAGTTCTTAGGACGCTATAGTTTTACTCATCCTTTATATAAAAATGATATTAAAAGTAAGAGATATTAAGTGATTATTTAGCCCCATTTAATTGCAGATGATGCTGGCTGAGTATAAGCGAGTAAAGTCAAAAATGCCTCGGACCATTGAGCAACTGATGGTCCCACACTTGGCTAAAGTGGATGAAGCTCTCCAGCCTGGTTTGACTGCCCTGACCTGGACATCCCTGAATATTGAGACGTATTTAGAAAATGCTTTTGCAAAGATCAGTAAGTTTGCCTAAAGGATTATTATTTCTCAGTTTTAAATGCTTGCTTCTTAGTACCTGTTGTATAATTTCTTACTGATACTTTGATATAAATAATGAAGAATGTTATTTTTAATCTGTTCCATAAGAAATTGAATTGAAGTATTATCAAAGTATACAAATTCAGTAATTTTCTGGAAGCATTAAGTATTTACTATTTAGTTTTATCTAAGTATATTAGTCACATATTTAATTCTCATTTTTAGACATTAAGATTTAAAGAATCTTTGGAATTATTCAGCTTTTTATACTAATTATGTTAGTATTTTTTTGCTAGCATGTTTTGAGATGCTGGCTTAAAAGATGTGGATTTGGACAGAGTAGAGGGCTGAACAGGGGGGTAAATGGGAAGTTTAAACAAACAAAAATTGTATTTAATGTGTTGTATAATACTCTTTCAAATATATGTATGGAAATATATTCTATAAAATATAATTTCCCAGAATACAGATGTACAGGTATGCTATAAAGAAGAGTCTAAGCTCAAATACATCTAGGAAACTCTGATACAGCAGTCAGGTAAGTTTCTTTTCTGGAAGATTTGAGAATCAGGGTTTTTCTTATATTTTTTTTGTATTACTCATACTTCATTCTGCAATAGTGAACTTACATATTTATAATTGTCTTAGCTTTGCGTAATTGTGCTCCTTCATTTCGTTATCTTCCAAACTCCATTCCTTCCCCTGCTATCATCTCATTTCTGGATTACCTCTTCTATGATCGCTTTTCTAGACACCACCTTTGATATCTTCTTTTATTCTCTCTCTGTCTCTCTCTCTGTGCTTGTGTGCCTGCTGAGGTAGTACCTAGTCTATAACCTAAATAGTTAAGAGCTGGTCTTACCAGTACATTTTCACTGTACCTCCAAAATAACTTGGTGCTCATAGTGTCGAGCTGTTTAGCTTACCAGCAAGAATTCTGAAGAAGTTCTGGGTTGATGGTAGGGAGTTGGGCAAGGAATGATGGTTGCCACCTCCACCATCTTGTTTTGCTTTACAGATTGGGAACTCAATTCAAAGACAAATTATATGGCCGGAGCCGCGGCTCACTAGGCTAATCCTCTGCCTGTGATGCCGGCATCCCGGGTTCTAGTCCCAGTTGGGGTGCCGGATTCTGTCCTGGTTGCTCCTCTTCCAGTCCAACTCTCTGCTGTGGCCTAGGAGTGCAGTGGAGGATGGCCCAAGTGCCTGGGCCCTGCACCTGCATGGGAGACCAGGAGGAAACACCTGTCTCCTGGCTTCGGATCAGCACAGCGTGCCAGCCACAATGCGCTGGCCGTAGCGGCCATTTGGGGGGTGAACCAACAGAAAAAGGAAGACCTTTCTCTCTGTCTCTCTTTCTCTCACTTTCTAACTCTGCCTGTCAAAAAAAAAAAAAAAAAAAAAAGACAAATTATAAAGGGTTCTGGGATATGAATGAGTTGCATTTGTGGCTAATTACAGTTTGAAACCTGAATACTATGAAATCCATTATTAGCAGCATTTAGGGATATGGAGAAAAGTTTAGAAATAATCTTAAATAAGATTTTCAATATAAGGGCTGGAAAACTATGATCCCAAGATGTTAAATGGCTTCTGTTTCAGAGAAGTGGTGAGGATGAGTTTTAGGGCTTAGTTTCCTGTTCTCTCTCTTTCTCTTTTTTAAAGATTTATTTATTTATTTGAAAGGCAGAGTTACAGAGAGGAAGAGAGAGAGAGAGAGAGACAGAGAGATGTCTTCCATCTACTGGTTCACTCCCCAGATGTCTGTGATGGCTGGAGCTGCGCCGATCCGAAGCCAGGATCCAGGAGCTTCTTTCGGGTCTCCCACATCTCCCATATGAGATGCTGGCACTGCAAGCGGAGGCTTTACCTGCTATGCCACAGCGCTGGCCCCTCGGTCTCTCAATCAATCTTATTTCAGAAACGTATCTTCTACAACATGAGGAAATTGACTAAAATTCTCTAAGGAGGAGTCTATAAAATGTATAAAAAACTTTATAATGAGTTTTGATGAGAAAATCAGAACAGGTAACAAAGGTAGACTTTAGTAATGTTCTCCCTAGAGAGTATGATTACAGAATAATTTAGCTGTTTTAATAGAGCATTGGCTGGAAATAAGGAAATAATTTCTAATGAAATTCTTCTTAGTTCTCCCATTCTATTTTTGTTTTTCTTTTTATAATTAAAAGAAAGGGCCTAAAGTTGAACAAAAGTTAAGTTTCTTTGGAAGATAAGCAATGTTAAATCTTGGGCTCCTTGTTGGATTACTGAGCCAACTCTTCTATTTAGAGATGATTATTTGTGTGATGTATTTCAGAATCACTCTGCCCAATAATGTGCAGGACTTTTACAGACATGATTTTGTACAGTCTATGCACAAATGTTGTGTCAGTTCCATGCTGCTGTGACAAGTTGCCACAAATCTAGCAGCTTAAAATAATATAATTATGGAGGTCAGGAGTCCAAAATGAGTCTCATCAAGGTGTCAACAGGGATGGTTCCTCTGGATGCTCCAGAGACGAATCCTTTTTTTAAATTAATTTATTTGACAGGTAGAGTTATAGACAGTAAGAGAGAGGCAGAGAGAAAGGTCTTCCTTCTGTTGGTTCACTCCCCAAATGTTCACCACGGCTGACGCTGTGCTGATCCTAAGCCAGGAACCAGGTGCTTCTTCCTGGTCTCCCATGTGGGTGCAGGGGCCCAAACACTTGGGCCATCCTCCACTGTCTTCGCAGGCCACAGCAGAGAGCTGGACTGGAAGAGGAGCAACCGGGACTAGAACCCGGCATCCTTATGGGATGCCAGCACCATAGGCAGCGGAGGATTAACCAAGTGAGCCATGGTGCCGGCCCAGAATACTTTTCTTAATCTTAGTCTTTTCTGTTTTCCAGAGATTACCTGCATCTATTGGCTTATGGTCACTCCATCTTCAAAGCAAACAATAGAGCATCTTCACAATTTCGCTCTGCTACTCTGCCTCCATGGTCAACTTGTCTTCTATCTGACTCTGACCCTCTTATATCCCTCTTCTAAGGACCCTTATAACTACGTTGGTCCCATGGGATGATCCAGGACAATACTTACGTTCCAAGATCTTTAACTTGATCACATCTACAAAGTTCCTTTTGTCACACAACTAACATTCACAGGGAATTAGTATATGGACATCATTGTGGAACCATTTTTCAGCTTGCCACAAATGTTCTTGAAAATGCTTTGAAGAGTTCATTAACTAGAAATAGCTAAGAATTTTGTTGAGCATACATGCTTGAATAAAATATTGGCTCTCCTTTAGTAGTGAATAAGATTGCCAGGCAGAACTCTTTGGTATATTGAGTATCTTCTTTCATAATTAGCATAGAAATAGTTGAAAGATTTTAGACTTTTATTCTTTAGTAAGTAAAGGTATTTATTTAAGGCAGTGTTTATGTCTTTGCTATATCATGAATATATAATATTGACTTTTCTATATTCAGTTTCAATTTAATTTCCAAAGAGAAAGTAGTACTAGAAAAATAGAGATTTTACTGTATGGTATATGTTTAAAAATGTATCATCCCTTAGAAGGGTACCCATTAGCCCTCATTCTTAAAATTTTTTATTTGTTTATTTATTTAGAGGCAATGACTAAAGCTGGGCCAGACTTAGAATAGGAACTTGGAACCCAATCCAGGTCTCGCACATGGGTATCAGGGACTCAGCTACTTGAGCCATCACCATTGCCTCCTGGAGTGTACATTAGCAGGAAACCAGAGTCAAAGGAGGAGCCAGGGCTTGAACTCAGGCACTCTGATATGGGATGTGGGCATCTTTTTTTTTTTAAAGTAATTTTTTAAAAGATTTATTTATTTATTTGAAAGTCAGAGTTACACAGAGAGAGAAGGAGAGGCAGAGAGAAGAGAAAGAGAGAGAGAGAGAGGTCTTCCATCCACTGGTTCATTCCCCAAATGGCTGCAATTGCTTCATACTGTCTTCCACAATGGCTATACAGTTTACACCCCTAACAACAATGTATTAAGGTACCCTTTCCCCCACACTCTCACCAGCATTGATTGTTTGTTGATTTCTGTATGAGAGCCATTCTAACTGGGATGAGGTGATTTGCATTTCCCTGATAGTTAGTGACTCCCAGCATTTTTTCATGTATCTTTTGGCCATCTGAATTTCATCCTTTGAAAAAAATGCCCATTCAAGTCCTTTGCTGATTTCTTAACTGGATTGTTTGTTTTGTTATTGTTGAGTTTCTTGAGCTCTTTATATGTTCTGGACATTAATCCCTTATCAGGTGCATAATTTGCAAATATTTTCTCCCATTCTGTTGGTTGCCTCTTCACCTTGTTGAGTGTTTTCTTTTTCATGCAGAAGCTCCTTAGCTTGATGTAATCCCATTTGTCTGTTTTTGCTTTTATTACCTGAACTTCTAGGTTTTTTCCAAGAAGTCTTTGCCCATGTCAATGTGTACCCGGTCATAGATTTAGACCCTTGATTCATTTTTAGTTGATTTTTGTATAAGGAGGAAAGTAAGGGTTTATTTTGTAGTTTTGCACATGTAGATCCAATTTTCCCAGCACCATTTGTTGAAGAGTCAGGCAGCATCTTCACAGGAGACCAAGTACTTGACCACATCATTCCTATTTTTGATGAAAAATCATTGTTAGTTCTCCTCAGAGTTGATCTTTTCATTGTTGAAACTTGGCATTCAATATTACTTCTGTCCAACTTCAAAATGTATGTTATAAAAATAACAGTGGAAAAAAATAGGGAAATTATACTTTAATAATATTTGTTGAATAATTCCTGTAGAATAAGCATTGAATTAAATATTGGAAATGTAATGTAATGTAATGTAATGTAATGTAATGTAATGAATTCTAGAAGAAGGTGAGCTATATGGGTAGACAAGCTGGTAAGCACAATATGGCATGCCTGAGTAGACAACATGGAATATGCAGTGTAGCATACATGCATAGATTATATGATATACACGATGTGGCATGCCTGAGTAGACAACATGGTATATGCAATGTGGCACACATGAGTAGATTATATGATATATGCATGTGGTATGCTTGAGTAGACAACATGGTATACACAATGTGGCATGCATGAATAGATAATATGAGATGTGCTGGCCACCATGGCAGCACAAGAGTTGTGGGACTACTTGAATCCATGCAGATTTCCAGAAAGCCTTCTGCAAGACATGCATTTAAGCTAAGTCCTCAAGTACAAGTCAGACCTAGTCATACTAAAGCAGTTGGGAACCTGGTGAAAGAAGAAGTAACAACAAGGGATATGCAGATGTGGAACAGCAGTATGATGGTGGTGGTGGTGGGTAGGCATATGTAAACTGAAAAACTTTAATTCTGATTTTACCACTATTTTTTAAATCAAGTGTTGATGTTTTAAGAACAAAAAACTTTACCTAACTCCTGTATTCACTTTATTTTTTTCTGAAGAGGACCTGGAGTTGCTTCTTGACAGGGTCAATGACTTGATTGAGTTCCGCATTGATTCCGTTCTAGAGGAAATGAGTGGCACACCGCTGTGTCAGCTCCCCCAGGAGGAACCACTCACCTGTGAAGAATTTCTCCAAATGACAAAGGTTGTTAGCAGATTGATACTTTTTATTAAAACATTTGGGGGGCTTCATTATCCTATAAAGGATTTTTAAAAAAGATTTATTTATTTATTTGAAAGGCAGAGTTACAGGGAGAGAGAGAAAGAGAGAGAGAGAGAGAAAGAGAGAGAGAGAGACAGAGAGAGAGACAGAGAGATGGAGATCTTCATCTGCTGGGTCACTCCCCAAATGATCACCGTGGCTGGAGCTGGGCCAATCCGAAGCCAGGAGCTGGGAGCTTCTTCTGAGTCTCCCACTTGGGTGCAGGTGCTCAAGTACTTGGGCCATCTTCTGTTAGGTTCCCAGGCCATTAGCAGGGAGCTGCATTGGAAGAGGAGCAGCCGAGACTCCAATTGGCACCCATGTGGGTTGCTGATGCCACAAATGGTTGCTTTACTTGCTATGCTACAGTGCCAGCTCCAGGATTTTTTTTTCTTTGAAGAACAAATTAGATATTTTTTCTCTCCACTTGTGATTTCTGTATGATAGATGTGAGTCAAACACAGAACCTTCTGACAGTAATTTGGAATGAAGAGAAATACAGCTAAGCAGCCACAGGGAAATGACGAACAGATCAGTTTTTTCAGATCTGTGTGTGTGTGTGTGTGTGTGTGTGTGTGTGTATGTGAAATTTCTGTGGAGCACATTTTTGATTTTTCCACATTTTGTGAAGAGTAGAGCTATTTCACAGAAGAGTTCTGTGTTGATTGGGCCTCTTTAAGCATTTCTGTGGAGAAGTGTTTTCCAGACTGGTGTTCCGTGCCATAAAGATCTAGAACCATCTCTAGGATCTGTGTTCCAACTGCTTAAATATTCTACTTAGAGATTCACTACCCTTTATCATATTTTTTCTAAGATTTATTTATTTGAAGGTCAGGGTTATAGAGAGGCAGAGGCAGAGAGAGAGAGGGAGAGAGAGAGAGGGAGGGAGAGAGAGAGAGAAACAGAGGGAGAGGGAGAGGGAGAGGGAGATATGCCTGGAGCTGGGCCTATCTGAAGCCAACAGCCAGGAACTTCATTCAGGTCTCCCACCTGGGTGTAGGAGCCCAAGGACTTGGACCATCTTCCACTGCTTACCTAGGTGCATTAGCAGGGAGCTGGATCCAAAGTAGAGCAGCCAGGACTCGAACTGGCATTCGTATGGGATGTCATGCCACAGTGTTGGCCCTCCCTTTAACATATTAAAATAAAGGACTGTAGCTTTCTGTAGACCATTATTTACGAATGGGTCTCTTTCTTCCCTGTGCCAGGGTGGTGCTCCTGGAAGTGGTGCTCCATGCAGTGCCCCATTGGGAATAGTTACTTTAGCTTCATATGTAATATTCCTGGTGGGCATCCTGCTGATAAGAACTGTCCAATGATGATGTTTATGTCTTATGGAAGGGACCCCCAAGACTACCCCCTCTAGGAGGGTTCATGGAACTCAGCTCATAGTTGTATTGAAACTTATTACTGTGACACAGCCAGTGTTTAAGGAAAAATATAAGTGGAGTCTAGAAGAATCCCTCATCCACTCTCCTGAGAGCTCACATGGATCTCAGTTCCCTCCACCCCCCAGTGAAAAGGCAGCAATCTGCGAGCAAATGTCTGCCCAGGGAAGTCAGTTGAAGACTCTGTGCCAAGGCTTTTATTGGGTCTGCCACATGGGCATATTCTGCCTAGCGTGGACCAAAATCCCAGACTCCCAGAAAGAAAGCAGGTGTTCAGGATAAACCACACTGTACAAGCAGCCTAAGCACAGTGAGTCATCCTTATCAGCTGAGCAGCAGACAACCTCCTGACAGCCAAACTCCCAGAGGCCAGTCTGGGTCCAATCTCGAAAGCAGGTCTTTTACAGAACACAATCTCGGGCCTGCTGTGTTGATTCTGTCCTGCATTTTTGGTAATCTTCAGTTTATATTAAATCATTATTATATTATCACAAGAGGTCTAAATTAAATGTTTTCTGGAGTTTTGGTTGTTTTGTCAAGAGGGATGATGAATATATTTGTGTATCAAGTCTTTTCCCCATTACTATTATTTTCTCTTTGATTATTGAGTCAAAGACTCTGGCTCTATTTGTTGGCTCTTCAAATTTGTCACTAAATTGCTTTTCAAAAGGATGTTAACAACTTACAGTGCAATGCTCTGGTACTGATTTCACCTTCCAATGCACACTTTTATTATAATATACTAATTTTAGTTTAGGTAAAAAAGAAGTCATGAAGCTTAATGTTAATTTGCATTTTTGGTTATTAATATAAGTTAATAATTTCTCTTGAATTTATTTACTTTTCATACTTCATTTATTCCTTCAACAATATTTTGTGGAACTCCTACCTGAACCACTGTTGGGGATTCAGTAAAAAAACAGGTGAAATTCCCATCATCATTGCACCCACTTTTTTTTATTTATTTGACAGATAGAGTTAGTGAGAGAGAGAGACAGAGAGAAAGGTCTTCCTTCTGTTGGTTCACCCCCCAAATGGCTGCTACGGCCGGAGCTACGCCGATCCGAAGCCAGGAGCCAGGTGCTTCCTCCTGGTCTCCTATGCGGGTGCAGGGGCTCAAGCACTTGGGCCATCCTCCACTGCCCTCCCGGACCATAGCAGAGAGCTGCACTGGAAAAGGAGCAACCGGGACTAGAACTCGGTGCCCATATGGGATGCTGGCGCTGCAGGAGGAGGATTAACCAAGTGAGCCACGGTGCCGGCCCCTGCACCCACTTTCAAGAGGGAGAAACAGAAAAATAAATCAACAGACCAATAAGCAGGTAGCATGCCAGGTGGTGATAAGTTCATTGGAGAACAATTAAGTGGGCAAGGGAGAAAAGAACCACTTGACACAGAGTTCTGTTTTTATGCTGTTGGTCCAGGGTGACTTTGGTGATGATATTTGAACAGAGGAAGTGAGAGAGCAAGCCCTGTGAGTATCTGGAAGAGCATTTCAGGCAGAGGGAACAGCATGTGCAGCAGCCCTGTGGTAGAAGCAAGTTGTTATGATAGCAGGAGGAAGGTGCTGTGCTGAGGTACAGTTCATGTGTTCATGTGCTGAGGATAAGGTTTAACAGAGAGGAAGAAAGGTGGTGGTTGGTAGGTAGAGTCTCTGGGGAAGCAGGACAGGCTTGGGAAACTCAAGTTTGAGATTATTTTGTAACAAAAGAAGAACCCTTAAATTCACTGAAATAGAAGGAAAAGGGGCTCAAGACAGCCCATTTTGCCTTCTTGGTGAGAAGGTGGAATCAGAGAGTTGGATGAGTCACCATGTCATAGTTTCTTCTTAATTGTGTTTTAATAATCAAGGCCATTAGCTGAGTGTGATAGAAGATGACATAAGCTTTTTGGAGATGCAGCAGTTATGGGGCCTTGGGAGAGGAAAGTGACTGTGATCATACAGAATAATTCCTGGGTAGCACTTGGGGCCATGAGTTTGGGGACCATGAGTTCCCAGTGCCAAGCATTAGTGTGGCCCTGGTCTGTGTGTGCAGGTGGGGAGGGTGGATCACCCTTTGGGATGAGCATCTGGGTGGGGCAGGAAGAAGCTGAAGGAATGACCAAATGAAAGATATCAGTAGTAGAATAGTTGAAGTGAGGAATCATGTAATTAGGAGAGGGCATGACTAGGGGTTAGTAATGAGCAAACCTGGAGAAAATGGAGGATCTAGAAGATTATTGATCTCCCATGTGGGGGTCAGGGGCCCTGGCTTCAGGCTGACCCAGCCCCTACCGTTGGCAGCCATTTGAGGAGTGAACAAGTGGATGGAAGATCTCTTTTTCTTTGTGTATCCCTTTTTATGTCACCTTGTCTTTCAAATAGAAGAAATAAATCTTAAAAAAATACCCAGTTCTTGATTGACCAAAGCTGAAGCATCATGGGAATGAAGAAATAGTGGAGGCTCATGTGAATAGCAAATGAGAGGACTATGCAGCATTTAGAGACAGATCCTTTTGGTCAGTTTCAAAGTCCCAGTGTCACTTCTGGGAGTGAGTTGTTGGAATGAAGCAGGGTGAGTGGCAGCGGCGTCTTTGATTTATTCTGTTTGGCAGAGGGGATGTTTTCATGAATCTAGTTATTACTACTTTGCCTCAATCTGCTCATACCCTGTTTCATTAATCTCTATGCTGTTTACATTCTTATGATTATATCCTCTATTAGTGAAAAAGGATTAAGAGATTTAACAATCCTGTTAGAACTATACTAGTTTTTTGAGAAGTTATAGATCTCATCTTTGAGAACTTTCATATAAAGGAATTTTATGCTTTCAACTGTATGTTTATATTGCTGAGAGGACTGAAAGAACTACTAGAAAGTAAATTGAGGGATTCCTATAAGAGCTGGCCTTAAGGATGGGAGACATCATGGTCCATTTGTATTTGTCCCCAAGGTAGAGTCAGGGGAGTTAAGACACAGACTTTAAAAAATATTCGTCATCTCAGAGAATGAGGAGCTAGCTTACATAGGATGAGGTGGACAAGGCTGGGGTTGTTGTTTGTGATTTGCTTACAGATTATAACAATAAGCAATTCTTCAGTACTTACTTTATGCCAAGCTCTGCTTAGTTTTTATAAGCATTGTCTTATGGAATATACACAATAACATAACATGAATTCTCACATTATCACCATCGCAGGAATATGCACAATAACTTAATGTGGATTCTAACATTATCACTATTTCATGGGTGAGGGAATTGAGGCTAAGGATTTATCTTAATTGTGTAGACCTAGGATTTGAACTTAGGAAATTAGGCACCAGAGTCTATATTTGTTACTGAATCATGTTACTTTCACTCTATCCCTTACCTAATCTCTGACCTGCCTCTTGGTCTTAACTGTCTCCATCTTTTTTTGTAATGGTCTGTGAGCCACAGGTAGAGATTGGGAGTTGTGTGAAGTTCTGAGTTGAGAGAGTGAAGTTAGATTGAACTTTATGTGATGATAGAAAAGTTCAGTAGTTTGTTTTAGGTCACATCAGATTGCTCCTGTGTAAATGCATTAAAATGCCTCAGGCTCTGGAGGTGAATGTCAAATTGCAAGGTTGATGTTTGAAGGAGATGGTCCCAGGGCAGATTACTCTCAAGATGCCTGACAATGGAACTTAGAATGGAGCTCTGTTGTTTTATGGGCTCATTTTCCAACCACTTGGTAAAGAACTGATACTGTGTCTATCTCCCTCATGCACCACTCTCCCATTCTCTGTCTAATTGCCTGCAGAATTGATCACAGTAGTTAAAATCATATTAATTTATGTATGCTAAATGTCATTCCTAAGAAATGTGAGGGAGGGAGGTGACCATGTCTGAGAATCTGCTGGGCAATGACCATGACTTGTTGACAAAGATGAGGCGAGAAAGAAGGTGGTCAGAGCGGATGTATGTGCTCTCTTCATGGGGACAGAGGGTGCTGGTGGCTTTGGGAATTTTTTGCTCCGTGCTGGAGAAGTAGGTGCAATTTGACTCAATTCACTGTCTTCCAGTTGGTTCCCTTGTCTTTCATGCATTTCCTAACAGGACACCTGGCCTGGGCAGGTGTGAAGGTTGTGGTGAACATCACTGGAGGCTGCAGGCTCACCTGGAGGTTGAATCTGTGGTGTTGCTGTTATTACTGATATGCTCTTAAGATAAACGAATATGATACTGTCTTGTTTTTTTTAAATTAGGATCTTTGTGTAAAAGGTGCTCAGATATTACATTTTAAAAGCTCATTAGTAGAAGAAGCAGTCAACGAGCTAATAAATATGTTGTTGAGTGTGGAAGTACAATCTAAAAAAGACAGTGAGAAAATATTGAACAAAATTTGTGCTGATTCAAAAAATGTAACTACAGGTGAGTGATATGGTAATATAACGGTTTTGTTTCTCCAGGACATTTATCGATAACTACAATTTAATTTTCTATTTATCAGTTAATATCACAATTCTGTCAACAGTCTCCCAGTTTTCGGATGATATTTATAAACGTGTAATTTGTAATGGCTCCACATTGTTAATTCCCATTACTTTTTGCTGAGCTCTACAAACATATACTTTGCATAGGCCCTTGTATGTGTATGGAGCATTTTATTTCATTTTATCCATGGAGCTGAATGGATAATGAATCGGAATTCCCATTACAGGGTATCTAAACCAGAGAAAAGCTTTTGTGGGAAAAGGAATACTGAAACTTGGGCGAGGGAAGTTATTCCCCTAAGGCATTAGGGTACGGATGGCAGAGAAGTCTGTAAGAACCCACCTCCCTGGGACCCTGTGTGGATTTTTAGTCATAGCTCCTGCTTCTCTCATACACGTGTTTCCTCACACTAGGGAGGAGATTAGTCCATTAGTCCACTTGGTCCTACTCTTTGATGGCCTCACTTTGACAGAGGTGTGCTGTTTAAGTGATACTGAACTTGAATGCAATTTATCTTAACTTTCTCCCCTTTAATTGCAGTAGATGAATGGATCTGTCTTTTTGTCTTTCCATCTAACTTACCTCTGTGTCTCTCATCCTTTAATAGCCAAAAGAGAAGAAGGAAATTCTGACACCCTGCCTTTTCCCCTTAATGCGGAGGCTGGCTCCCTGCCTTTGATGACAGTCACGAGAGGGAAGAAAGGGACAGAGATGCTGGAAGAAGCCTGCGAGTTGCTCTCCCATTTCAACCATCAAAACATGGATGCTCTCCTGAAAGTTACAAGGAACACCCTGGAGGCCATCCGCAAACGCATTCACTCCTCCCACGCAATTAACTTCCAGGGTAATCTGATTCCACACAGTTGCCCACCGACTGATCAGGCATAGTTGCTGGTGTGTGTGTGTGTGTGTGTGTGTGCTTGTGCACACCCATGTATAGTACTATCAAATTAAAATAATTTTATTTAAAAAGTTTTATATTACATGTAGTACTTTTACATTTTTGAGGGATACAGTGCAGAATTTCAACCTGTGTACACATTGTAAACCCTGCACACCAGGCAACCAGCTTCTCTGCCTTGTTCTCCTTTTTCTGTGTTTGGAGCCTACTAGTGCCACTCTTCCAGATCTCATGCAGTAAATAGTACATTGGTGTGACCTGTAGCTGCCCACTGTGCAGAGGAGCTCTAGGACTGTGAACTCTGTGTGACTGTTTTGGTACCTGTTATTCAACCTTCTTCTACCCCTCAACCCCTATCCTTCCCAACCTCTAGTAATCACTGTTTTAAGTTCAGATTGAGAGAGAACCTGTATTTGTCTTTCCGTGCCTTCTTATAAGCTTAACCATGATGGATGCTGATTATCCAACAATTCTGTGAATAGATGCATTCTCATCACTCTCATACTAAATTGGAGATAACTGGAACAGAGCGGGTTTCAGTAATTTGCCTTCAGTTGCTAAGCTTTTGTTGATAATATCAAAATCTATATCACTTTTCATGATCATGGTATTTCCCCTTACAGACAAGTATCACATTTAATCTGTTTGTTGTGAGATGAGGACATAGAAAATGAATTATTTAGGGCCAGGCATTTGGCACAGAGGTTAAATCTCCACCTTTGTTGCCTGCATCCCATGTCCAAGTGCTTTGATTTGATCCTCAGCGACTCTGCTTCTGATCCAGCTTCCTGCTAATGTGCACCCTGGGAAACAGAGGTGATGTCTCCAGTACTTGTATACTTTCCACCCACATGTGAGACCAGGATGGAGTTTTGGGCCCCTGGATTTGGCCTTGCCCAGCCCTGGATATTGTAGGCATTTGGGGAGTGAGCCAGCAGGTGGAAGATCTTTTTCTGTCTGGCTTTGTTTTTCTGTTTCTCTGTCTTTCAAATAAATACAAGTTAAAATGAAAAATTTATAAAGAATAATTTTAATTAGAGAAAATATACAAACTTTAAAAATAAATGTATGAATAAGATTATCTCATTGTTCAATTAGGTTATTTACCAGTCTTATAAAGTGGGAATGATCTTATTAATGCCATACTCTTCAAATCAGCACTTGTTTTACTATTTTCACGTCAACCTAGTACTTCCCAGTCAGTTTCCTCTAAACCATCATCTCTTCCTTGCATAGTTCAGAACTAGGTGTTGAGTTCCTCAGGTTGACCACAAAAATCCACCAAAGTACGAACATTCTCAAAAAGGATAAAAAAAATAAGAAATAAGAACGATTAATTAAAGCATCAAAAGTATAATAAATTCTTATTTATTTTAAATACTGACATTTAAGGGAAAACATATTTAATATTGAGGAAATGTTGATAAATAAAAATGGACATTTTAAAAGAATTTTTTGTATGGTACCATGTTTATGGTGTTTCATTTCACTTCAGAATGGAAGATACTCCTTTTCATCAACACAAGGTTGCTGTTAGAAGTGATCAAATGTTGGTCGATATACTAAATATTAAATCTCATTTGATTTTCAACTTTATGTATTATAGGTAATTCCAATGATATAAATTATGACACACACACATACATATACCATACGCCCATATCTGTATACCTACACTTACAATCTATATCCAACTTTAAAAGCCCCCTCAATATGAATGATGAGTTACAGTTTCTTTTCTGTTTTTTGATTCCTTTGCATTCTGATTAAACACATATTAGGAAAGTCATATGTTTTATTTGAAATTCCAGACTGAATTTTTGTTCTCAGTTTGGCTTGTTCTGGTGATTATTCTTTTTATTTATTTCTTTTTTTAAAAAAGATTTGTTTATTTTATTTGAAAGTTAGAGTTAAAGAGAGGAAGAGGCACAGAGAGAGAGATCGAGTTCTTCCATCCACTGGTTCACTCCCCAAATGACTGCAATGGCCAGGGCTGAGCCAGGCTGAAGCCAGGAGACAGACGCTACATCTGTATCTCCCATGTGGGTGCAGAGGCCTAAGGACTTGGGTCATCTTCTGCTACTTTCCTGGGAGCATTAGTGGGGAGTTGGATTGAAGTGGAGCAGCAAAGCCTGGAACCAGCACCCATATGGGATGCCAGTGCTGCAGGCGGCAGCTTTACCTGCTAAGCCACAGTGCTGGCACCCATTCCTTGCTATCTTATTCTGCATTTAACTAATTTGTTTGTATCCTGTTATTTGGACTCTGTCACCTTTGACATTTTATGTAAGAGTTTGTAATTAAGCCTGGTTCTTTATGCACAGTGTATCAACCAATTGTAGTCAGCAGAAAATTGCTTGGTTCTACTGAACTGCTCTGTTACACTGAGCAAAACTAGATATTTCATTAGTTTCCATTTTTTCATTAAACAAGTTTTATTCGATTATAAATTTATTGTATATTGTTCTAGGTACTTTAATTTTTCTGATGAAAATTTAGTAAGATCTGTTTTATATTACGAATACTAATTCTTCCCTGGTTTGTGTTAACTCAGACAGGAACAGTGTGTCTGTGATGAAGCTGAGCAGTGTGCCCATTTTCCGGGCAAGCATCACTCTGGCCATTCCCAACATTGCCATGGCTCCTGCCCTGGAAGACATACAGCAGACACTGAACAAAGCTGTGGAGTGCATCATCAGTGTGCCCAAGGGGGTCCGACAGTGGAGCAGCGAGCTGTTGTCCAAGGTGGGTGTGGGAGGAAGACATTGTTTCTTATGGAAGCTGACTTATTTACAGATGGAGCTGAAGAAATCCTTTTATATTGCAGAAAAAGATGCATGAAAGAAAAGTGGCTGCTTCACAGAACAATGAGGATAGTGATTCTGATGATGAAATGGGAGAAAATGAACTTCAAGGTAATATTCTTCTAGTTTTTTAAAAATTTGTTGCAAATCAAGTGAATCAGAACACTTTGTAAAGCTTGCAGAAAAGTGGAATTGCTGAAATATAGTTTTGTAAAACTTTTCTTTTTACTTTTGTGAAACTAGTGGTTAAGAAATTTGTATTACTCTAGTTTTAATAATCTGTGATTACTTTAAAATTTACTGTTTATGGGTAAAATGGTCATTTTCCCACTCAATTATTGTTTATAGCCATTGTCTATATTCCCACTAAACTAGGGTCTTTTTGCTTGTTAAACTTGTTAGCCTTTTTAATGCAATGTAAATTTAAAGTATTATCTCTTAAAAAAAAAAAAGGAGGAGGAAGGGAGGGAGGGAGGAAAGAATATCATTATGTTCTTAGAATTGTATCTACAGTGGCTGGTGCTGTGGTGTAGTAGGCTGTCTGCCTGCAGTGCTGGCATCCCATATGGGATGTCCCATCTGCGCCTCTTCTGATCCAGCTCTCTGTTTATGGGCTGAGAAAGCAGTGGAAGATGGATCAGGAGCTTTATTAAATAAAAAAAAGACAAAAAAGAAAATTCTTAAAACCCCAAGTATGATTCAAATAAAACCTGTGCACCTAAAAAAAGAAAAAAGTGGAATTAAAAGATGTTCAGTTTTGTGTAAAATATTTTGAAATCCATGCATAGGTTTTTCATAATATGCACTTTCACAAGCTTTTTGAAGGCCTCTTTTATTCCTCCCCACTCCCTAAAATTCTCAAATCATTTCAGATCAAAATATTAATCGATGGGTAAATTTTAGGTGTGCAAAATATTAATATCTGTATGTTTTCATGTCACCATGACATACTGTTTACTTCCCATGGGTCCAATGTGATAATCAGAACTGAGGCAAAATTTGAGTTTCATTGGGTAAAGAGTAATATTTCATCATCACAATCACATAATCTACCTATCTTTTGGACCTCTTATGTGGGCTGAGATTTTTGCTGTATAACCCACATTTTTCATTTGTACTCAGTAATATTAGGGACATAAGATGTTCAAGTTATTTGTCCTAATTCCATCTCTAATGAGCCCCACAACAGCAAGCCTTGTATAACTGTGTTGATGTATATCTTCCCTGAGATGACTAACCAAATATCTATGTGGAAACAATGGAGGCAAGTTCCTCTTTAAAATAATGTTAGTGAGGAGGATAAAGAAGGTTCAAAAAACGGGAACTGATTTAGTGTGGCAGTGAAGATACTCACGCTCCACATCAGAAAACTCAGGTTTGATTCCCGGCTCTTGACTCCTGACTCCAGCTTTCTGCTAATGCAGACCCTGGGAAGCAGCACTGATGGCTTTTGTAACTAAATTTTTTCTACCCCTGTGGGAGATCCAGATTGAATTCCTGCCTCACCAGCCCTGGTTATTGGGTGCATTTGAGGAATGAGCCCTTTGCCTGTCTCTTTGTGTCTTTAAAACAAATAAACAAAAAATTTTAAAAAGACATCTCAAAATAAATTTCACCATAGCTTATAATATTATTTGATTATTAATTTAAGGTAAAAAGCACATGCTAATGCTGTATGAATTTCAATTTTCTATTATTTAAAAATAAATATTGTTTTATTTCCTAGAATTATTTAAAATTCAAACTCAAAATATGTTCCAACAGAGAATTATATTTTAAGTTGAGATGTATTGTTGGATTTGATTCGCTAGAATTTTGTGGAAGATTTTTGTGTCTATGTTCATCAGGGAAATTGGTCTATACTTCTATTTCTCTATTTTATCCTTTTGAGCTTTAGGAATTAAGGTGATGCTGACTTCATACAAAGAATTTGGGAGGATTCCCTCTCTTTCAATTGTTTTGAATAGATTGAGAGGAATTGGAGTTAGTTCTTCTTTAAATGTCTTGTAGAATTCAGCAGTGGAGCCATCCAGTCTTGGCCTTTTTGTTGTTGTTGTTGTTGGGAGGGTCTTTATTACTGATTCAATTTCTGTCTTGGTTATGGGTCTGTTTAAGTTTTCTATGTCTTCATTGCTCAATTTAGTTAAGTTGTATGTGTCCAGTATTTTATTTGCTTTTTTTGGGTTTCCCAATTTGTTGGCATACAGCTCTTTTGTAGTAATTTCTGACGATTCTTATTTCTATGGTGTTTATTGTTACATTTCTTTTTTATCTCTAATTTTATGGATTTGGGTCTTCTCCATCCCTTTTTTGGTTAGTTGGAGCAATAGTATTGGGCCAATAGTGTGTCAAATTTGTTTATTTTTTCAAAAAACCAGCTCTTTGTTTTGTTGATTTTTTTTTTGGTTTCAATTTTGTTTATTCTCTAATTTTAATGATTAATTTTCTCCTACTAGTTTTGGATTTGTTTTTTCTGTTATTTTTCTAGATGCTTGAGGTGCATTGATAATTCTTTCTTTTGGTCCCTTTCTAATTTCTTGATGTGGGCACCAATTGCTATAAACTTTCCTCTTAACACTGCTATGGCTGTATCTCATAAGTTTTGTTATGTTGTATTGTCATCTTCATTTCTTTCCAGAAATTTTTTGATTTCTCTTTTGATTTCTTCTATGATCCACTGTTCATTCAAGAGAATGTTGTTCAATCTCCATGTGTTTGCAAATGTTCTGGAGATTCCTGAGTTGTTGATTTTGAGCTTCATGCCATTGTGGTCAGAGAGGATGCATGGTATGATTTTGATTTTTTGGAACATACTGAGACTTGCTTTATGGCCTAGAACATGGTCTATCTGCAGAAAGTTCCATGCACAGGTGAAAAGAATGTGTATTCTGTATCTGTAGAATGAAAAGTTCTGTAGATAGTTGTTAGATCCATTTGGTCTATAGTGTTGATTGACTCTTATTTCCTTGCTGATCTTCTGTATGGTTGATGTGTCCACTGCTGAAAGTGGCATATTAAAGTCCACCATTACTATTCTATTGGAGTCTATGTCTGCCTTTAGTCCCATTAACATTTCTTTTAAATAGCCAGGTGCCCTGTAATTTGGTGTATATGTGTTTAATAGTCACTTCTTCCTGTTGAATTGAGCCTTTAATCATTACATAATGCACTTCTTTGTCTCTTTTAATTGTTTTTATATTAAAATCTATTTTGTCTGGTATTAGGATGGTTACACCAGCACTTTTTTGGTTTCTGTTAGCATGGAATATCTTTCTGCATTCTTTCACTTTCAGTCTACGAGTATCTTTCCTGGTGAGAAGCATTTCTTGTAGGCAGCAGATAGATGGGTATAGTTTTTTAATCCGTTTTTAATCTGTTCAGCCAGTCTTAACTAGTGAGTTAAGGCCATTTATATTCAAGGTGACTATTAATAAGTAACAGCTTGGCACTGCCATTTTTCCATAAATATTCCGATTTTTTTAGTTTGGATTTCCTATTTTGTAGTGATGATCATGCCTGTGTTTCTTTGTATAGTACATCCTTAAGCATCTTTTGTAAGACTAGATGTGTGGTGACAAATACTTTTAATTTCTTTTTATTATGGAAGGTCTTTATTTCACCTTCATTCATAAGTAAGAGCTTTGCTGGCTACAATATTCTGGGTTGACAGTTTTTTCTCTTAAAGCTTGGAATATATCTTGCCATTCTCTCCTAGCCTGTAGGGTTTCTAATGAGAAATCCACTGTGAGTCTAATTGGAGATCCTCTGAAAGTAATCTGGTATTTATCTTGTACACATATTAGAATCTTTTCTTTATGTTTTATTGTGGAGAGTTTGACTACAATGTGTCATGGTAAAGATCTTTTCTGGTTATGTCTATTGGGAGTTCTATGTGCCTCCTGTACTTGGATGTCCCTTTTTTATTTTTAACTTTTATTTAGTAAATATAAATTTCCAAAGTACAGTTTATGGATTACAATGGCTTTTTCCCCCCATAACTTCCCTCCCACCCACAACCCTCCCGTCTCCCGCTCCCTCTCCCATTTCATTCACATCAAGATTCATTTTCAATTATTTTTATATACAGAAGATCAATTTAGTACATATTGAGTAAAGATTTCATCAGTTTGCACCCACACAGAACATAAAGTGTAAAATACTGTTTGAATACTAGTTATAGCATTAATTCACATTGAACAACATATTAAGGACAGAGATCCTACATGAGGAGTAAGTGCACAGTGACTCCTGTTGTTGACTTAACAAATAGATACTCTTGTTTATGGCATCAATAATCACCCGAGGCTCTTGTCATGAGTTGCCAAGACTATGAAAGCCTTTTGAGTTCACCAACTCCAATCTTATTTAGACAGGCCATAGTCAAAGTAGAAGTTCTCTCCTCCCTTCAGAGAAAGGTACCCCCTCTTTGATGGCCCATTCTTTCCACTGGGATCTCACTCACAGAGATCTTTCAATTTTTCATTTAGTTTTTTTTTTTTTTTTATGCCAGAGTGTCTTGGCTTTCTATGCCTAAAATACTCTCTTCAGCCAGATCCGCATGCCTTAAGGGCTGATTCTGAGGCCAGAATGCTGTTTAGGACATCTGCCATTCTATGAGTCTGCTATGTATCCCGTTTCCCATGTTGGATTGTTCTCTCCCTTTTTTATTCTATCAGTTAGTATTATCAGACACTAGTCTTGTTTATGTGATCCCTTTGGCTCTTAGACCTATCAGTATGATCAATTGTGAACTGAAATTGATCACTTGGACTAGTGAGATGGCATTGGTACATGCAACCTTGATGGGATTGAATGTCCCTTTCTTTCTTAAAGAATTTTTCTGTAATTATTTCACTAAAATGTCCTTGTAATTTGGGATGTATTGAAGTGAAGTTTAAAAGTATTGAAATAATAAAAAATGTACGTTTGACCTTGTATGAAATGAAATTAAAAATCAACAATAGAAGGAGACTCAGGAAAATCATAAGTATATAGAAATCAAATATATTCCCAGATGATCAATGAGTCACAGAAGGAATCACATGGTAAATTGGAAAGTGGGCATTTGATTTAGTGGCTAAGCTTCTAGCTGGGATGCTCACATCCCATGTTGGAATGTCTGGGTTTCAGTCTTGGTTCTGCTGTCGAATTTCCTGCTAATGCAGATTCTGGTAGGCAGCAGGTGATGGCTCAAGTGGTTGGGTCTCTGCCACTCATGTGGGGGACCTGACTTGAGTTCCTGGCTCCCAAATTCCCACAGGAATTTGTGGAGTATAATAGCATCTGCTGGGATCTCTCTCCATATTTATATAAAATCAGTCTCTCAAAAAAAAAAAAACCTGAATGAATGTGAAAGAAAATATAAAATTTAGTACTTAGAATAAAACACTGATACTAAAAAAATAAAGATCTCTCCAAACAATAACAGCCTCTGTCTTAAGTGACTTGGGCTTAAATTCACTAGTGAGTTTTTGAACATCTCAAAGCTGTTGTTGAGCCCCACTAGAGAATTTCCATTTCATTTGTTCTTTTCACCTTAGGAATCTGTGTTCTCTTTTATATTTCTGTCTTGTTATTGATATTCTCTATCTTGTAAGGTATAATCTTTATATTTTAATTCTTTAGATATGATTTCTGAAGTTCTTTGAATGTATCTGTAATGGCTGGTTTAAAAATCTTGGTCTAGTGGTTCCAGTGTCTGGGCTTCTTGTATAGTTTCTATTGATTGCTTTCATTCCTGTGTATAGACACTACTTCCATGTTTCTTTGCATGTCTCACAATTTTTTTTTGTTGAAAATCGATTATAAAAATGATCATGTCCCAACTCTTGAAAATTAGTTCTCTTTCCCCCAGCGTTTGTTGTTACTGTATTTCCTTCATTGATTTTCTGAACTAATTTCATAAAATCTGTTTTCCTTGCAGTATTAGCTATTATAGTTTCTGGCTCATTAGTTTAGTGGTCAACTAATGATTGCACAGATTTCTGCTAATGTTTTAAACCAGTAAGTCTTATCTGCTTTTCTTAGATAGCCTATATGTGTGTTGGAAAACCCTGAAGGCTCAGACAGTCCGAAATACTATCCAAGTTGTTATTTATTGATTGTACAAGGACTTAGGTTCAGTCAGAAGTGGAACACTGGGGCATTTGTGTGTCTTTCCTGGGCATGTTCATAGCTCTGTCAAAGTATGTAAATCTTCTAGATCCCCAGGAATGTATCAAGGATTTATAATGCTCTCTGTAGACACCTCATTCCCCAGATATTTAACTTTTTTTGGCCAAAATTACTTGTCCCAACTAATATCATTGTCTTAAGTAGCTGTGATATTAAGCAGTTGTCACTTGATTTTTTTCAAATACCTTGTGGACAGAGCTTTCTGCACTCAATAAGTTCTGAATAGTCAAATAAAGAAAAATTGTTGGAGTGGGACTTTACCAGGGCGTATCTTCCAGGCACGTCAAACAGTGACAGTTCTGGACTATTGGTTTCCACAGCTAAGATGGTTGCAGGGCTGCTGGTTTTTAAGGCTACCACATAGGCAGAGAGGATGTACTGGGAACAGAGCAAGTTAAACACCACAAAACTTGCAACTGTTGTCAAGAGCCAGCATTTTTCTCAAATAAGCACTTTTACATTGTTGCAAGCTTTGGTTAATTTCCAGAGTCCTGAAAAGTTGACAATTTTTAGGGTTGCTTTTATAAGGGAGAAGAAATCCCTATTCTATATTATGAAAAGCTTCTTATTTTTTAAAAATATGTTCTCTATGCTAACATAGACTTTTCTTTTTTTAATTTTAGATACCTTTGAGATAGCATCTGTAAATTTACCCATTCCTGTGCAAACCAAGAACTATTACAAGAACATTTCTGACAATAAAGAGATAGTAAAATTAGTCTCTGTGCTTAGCACAATCATCAACTCAACCAAGAAGGTACGTCAAGAAGGTTTGTAGCAAGGTCTAACATGTGTCTGTGTGATTTTGAACATCACAGGCTTGTCCTGCTTGTAGCCCAAGTCTTACCTACTATGCCTTCAGTGAGCAGCTAAAGGCATAGGTACGTGTTGAGCAAATGTTTGTTTAATTGAAGAGCTTTCATTGTAGAATGTAACTGTCATTCATATTTTCATGTTGTGTTCTGTGTAGTGCTTTTAGTCTTTTTTTTGTACAAATGAAATGAACTTTCAAAAAATTTAATGTGTTCTAAATCATAAGTCAATCTAATGTTGTAATTTACCTGCAAGGAAGAAATGATACAAACGTATTAGAAATAGGGTAAGGTTTACAGTTAACTTTTAATATTTATATAGTCAGGTAAATCTTATAAAATGACAGATAAAATTTCTATGTGTGAATGAGTATATTAAAAAAACAGTGAAGTAGTGGAATTAAAAGATAAGTTTATTTTGGTGTTAACGTTTTTGGAATCTACACAGACATTTTTTTAAATACAACCCCTGTGTTGCCACAAGAAAATTAGATAAAACTAAAGATATAAAAATTGTTACTATCGATACAGACTTCCATTGGATATGGATGTAAATACAGGTTTACTTTGTCTTCCAAAATGTTTTTCCCTCAATTATTCCTTTTTTGTTTAGGCAAATTTGTTCTCAAAGTCAAGACTTTTTTTTTTAACTTTTATTTAGCAAATATAAATTTCCAAAGTACAGCTTATGGATTATAATGGGGTTTTTCCCCCCATAACTTCCCTTCCACCTGCAACCCTCCCATCTTCCGCTCCCTCTCCCATCCCATTCACATCAAGATTCATTTTCAATTCTCTTTATATACAGAAGACCAATTTAGTATATATTGAGTAAAGATTTCAACAGTTTGCACCCACACCAAAACACAAAGTGTAAAATACTATTTGAGTACTAGTTATAACATTAATTCACATTGAACAACATATTAAAGACAGAGATCCTACATGAGGAGTAAGTGCACAGTGACTCCTGTTGTTGACTTAACAAATTGATACTCTTGTTTATGGTGTCAGTAATCTCCCTAGGCTCTTGTCATGAGTTGCCAGTGCTATGGAAGCCTTCTGAGTTCGCCAACTCTGGTCATATATAGACAAGGTCATAGTCAAAGTGGAAGATCTCTCCTCCCTTCAGAGAAAGGTGCCTCTTTCTTTGATAGCCCGTTGTTTCCACTGGGATCTCACTTGCAGAGATCTTTCATTTAGGTCATTTTTTTGCCACAGTGTCTTGGCTTTCCGTACCTGAAATGCTCTCATGGGCTCTTCAGCCAGATCCGAATGCCTTAAGGGCTGATTCTGAGGCCAGAATGCTGTTTAGGACATCTGCCATTCTATGAGTCTGCTGTGTATCCCACTTCCCATGTTGGATTGTTCTCTCCCTTTTTTATTCTATCAGTTAGTATTATCAGACACTAGTCTTGTTTATGTGATCCCTTTGACTCTTAGACCTATCAGTATGATCAATTGTGAACTGAAATTGATCACTTTGTAATGTCAAGACTTAAAACTCCAAAATATTATTTTTTATTTAAGAAAAAGTGTATATTCACGTTGTCGCTAAAACCTGTTGGCTCCATAAAAGTATTTTCCAATGTTTAGGGAGTAACTCTTATTGCATACTAATTTTTTTTACTACTCAATTTTGATAGAATGAATTACATTTGTTTGAAAGCACCCTGAAGAACTACTATTATTCTAGCAATCCAAGGAAGTAGCAAGTTTAATTTCAGTTGTGTTCTTGAGGGAACTGGAAGTCTGTAGTTATGTACTTCCAGTTTTCCTTCTTTAATATATTGAAGGTTCTGTATTTAATTTTCCCCAGGGACAGTGTTTGCATAATTTTACAAATACTTACCCAATGCTTAATTTATCAGGGGTTATAGTAAATAATGAAGGTAAGTATTCTATGAGAATAATAAACATTCAAATTTTCAAATATCTCAGTAATCATAGAAAATATAATAAAATTAATCAGTAGTAAAGTCTATTTCTTTCTCTGAGTAAAATCAGCCACTATTATGGAAATGTAGGGGATAAGACATAGTAGTTGAATCAACATATTGTTGGAAACCAAATTCTTATCTTTGTATCATTTTATTACATTTATTTTTATGAAATATGAAGGAAATAAACAGATATTAGTCTTCTCAAAATAGTACAAAGGGTTGGTACTTAAACTGACTTGAGAATTTTTCCACATTTATGGAAATAGTTTAATAAATAGAATTCACATTTATTGCATTTCTGAAAGAATGTATTAACACTTAATAATAGTTCTGGACTTGGTCAGCTCTGTAGAGCCACACTTCCTTCTGAATGATTCTGTCAGAACCACAAGAAAATCCTAGGATCCCTGCCCCTTTTCTCTTGCCATGGCTGATTGGATTAGAAGATAAAAGAAGCCTACATTCAACACATCTATAAGTTGGCTATCAACTTGTAAAACTGCCTCTCCTGTAAACACTGCTGGACTGAACAAACTACATAACCTTGGTAATTAGAGTAACTTGAAGAGAACAGCTCTGCATATGTCGTCCATGTAATTTTTCCATTAAGGTCTAGGTTGCTTCTATCCTAATACAATCTAGTTTAATAAATAGTCATGGTTATAGGCAAGAGTCTAAAACTTATTTAGAGTGTATTCTTTTTATGTAATTAAAATGTTTTTGATTAACATGTTACACTGTGCACTTTTCTGAGGCACAGTGCAATGTTTCAATACATGCATGCAATATAAACTGAACAAATTAGGCAATCAGCATCCCTATCTCCAGACCCTTCTTCAATACTTAGAGCCTACCAGCTCCTCTCCTGCAGTGCTTTGTGCAGTATAAATCCAATATTGTAATTATGGCTGCCCCACCCCTGTGCTGTGGGCCAGCAGAACCTACTACTTCTATTTAACTGTGCTTTGGTGCCCTTATCTGCCTCTCCACATCCCCCTCAATCACTTCTGTGTACTGCCCACTCCCAGTCTCCAGTAAACACTATTCTGAGTTCATATTGACCTTTTAAAAAAGCTTTCACATACAAGACAGAACATACAGTATTTGTGTCTCTGTGTCTGGCTTAATTCACTTTGCTTAATAACCTCTAGTTCTACCCATTTTGCTCTAAATGTCATAATTTAAATTTTAAAGTGATGAATAATATTCCATTTCATGTATAATATATTTATATATACCAAAATTTCTTTTCTGCATTCATGCATTGATGGACACCTATGTTGATTCCATATCTTGTCTATTGAGAATGGTCTTGCAATGAACATGACAATGTAGGTATCTCTTTCATATGATGGTTCACTTCCTTTGGATATATACCCAGAAGTGGGAGAGTCAGATGATAGATCTATTTTTAGGTTTTTGAGGAACGTGGATACTTTTTTTCTACAGCAGCTGTACTAGTTTGCCTTCCTACCAATGGTGTGTAAGTCTATCCTTTTGTATGTATCCTCACCAGCATTTGTTATTTATTTATTTCCTTTTTACTTCTTGTATCTTGTCTTTTTGTTTTATTTATTTGTTATTTTAAAGGAATTTATTAGTTATTAGATTCTCATGGTCACAGCAAATGTATAATTACTACAATGCAATTCTCATGTTAATGTGATATTAATACAAAGAGAATAGATTTGATGTGATTCAGGAACAATTCAAAGAATATAACATAGTTCTAATGATCTGTGATTACTGTAAAATTTTACTTTATATGAGTAAAATGGATATATTTTCATTTATAACTCTTGCTTATATTCCTGCTGAACTATGGGCTTTTTACTTCTTGTTGAACTCTTTAATTAGTGGAACATGAAGCCTTTGGCTATAATGTAAATTAAAAATTGTTATCTCAAGGTTAAAAAAGAAAGGGAGAGGGAGGAAGGGAAGTATCATTAAATTCATAGAGTTATATTTTTTGTTTTTTGATAACAATTGTTCAAACTGGTGTGGGATGATATCTCATTGTGGTTTTGAATTTCATGACGGCTAGTGATACTGAGCATTTTTTTTTTTTTTTATTTTTTGACAGGCAGAGTGGACAGTGAGAGAGAGAGACAGAGAGAAAGGTCTTCCTTTGCCGTTGGTTCACCCTCCAATGGCCGCTGCGGCTAGAGTGCTGTGGCCGGCGCACCGCGCTGATCCGATGGCAGGAGACAGATACTTATCCTGGTCTCCCATGGGGTGCAGGGCCCAAGCACTTGGGCCATCCTCCACTGCACTCCCTGGCCACAGCAGAGAGCTGGCCTGGAAGAGGGGCAACCGGGACAGAATCCGGTGCCCTGACTGGGACTAGAACCCGGTGTGCCAGCACCACAAGGCGGAGGATTAGCCTAGTGAGCCATGGCGCCGGCCACTGAGCATTTTTAAAATATATTTGTCTCCAATTTGTATTTCTTCTTTTAAGAAATGTCTATTCAGATGCTTTGCTCATTTCTTGACTGGCTTGTTCTTTCATTGATGAATTTTTGAGTTCATTACATATTCTGTACATTAATCCTTTGTCAGATGAATAGTTTTCAAGTATTTTTCCCATTCTGTTTGTTGTCTCTGCACTCTGTTTATTGATTTTTTTTTTTGACAGGCAGAGTTAGACAGTGAGAGAGAGAGACAGAGAGAAAGGTCTTCCTTCCGTTGGTTCACTCCCCAAATCTCCGCTACGGCCGGTGCGCTGCGCTGATCCAAAGCCAGGAGCCAGGTGCTTCCTCCTGGTTTCCCATGGTGGTGCAGGGCCCAAGCACTTGGGCCATCCCCCACTGCACTCCCGGGCCACAGCAGAGAGCTAGACTGGAAGAGGAGCAACTGGGACAGAATCCGGCGCCCCAACTGGGACTAGAACCCGGGGTGCTGGTGCTGCAGGTGGAGGATTAGCCTAGTGAGCTGCGGCGCCGGCCCTGTTTATTGATTTTTTTTACTTTGTTCTGAAGAAGTTGTTAGGGTAAATTCTTAATATTGTAAACTCTTGGATGTTGAAAGAGCTCAGAATTCTGGAATTCTGTCTATATCAGGAGTTTTCAATAATTTGAGATTCATGCTCCAAACTGTCTTAAAATTATGAATATATCTGTGTGATATTTCAATACATTCCTGGAATGCATGTCAACATCATACAGATCTATTCATAAGTGTATTTGTTAATACAAATTATTTGTTGATGATATGATTATCTACCAAGTAAATCCAAGAGGCTAATCTGAATGAAATTATGGTCTGATGAGAGTTAAATTCATTGTCAATTGAAAGATAATTGCAGGCATGTTTCTGAAAATTCTCCTGTTTTGCAAAGTTGCACATTAATATAGGAATATGAGAAAAACAGAGTTGAGTCATATATTCAGAATTGAGACAATTTTGTAAGCACAGTAGTAACAGAAACAATAATAATCATAGTAAAAATTTAAAAGTAGCAATCATAGAAAAATATTCACATGTTCAGTAATACCACAGTAATTATAGAACTTTATAAAAGTGTGAAAACAGTTTGGTGGAAGGTGGTACAAGGAGCAGTTGTGGGTGCTAAGTGGAAACAATGATAAAATATAAAGAAATCAGGTATGCAAAGAACATTCTCAAGAGAAAGTCATGACCACATTGATCCAAAAAGGACTGATTAGTGGGGGCATGGCACACAGGACTGCTCTCCTGTGGTTTCCTACTGTAGCTGGTGCAAAACAAAATGCTGGGATATATAACATTTCATAACGTGATCTCCTCTTAAATGGACTCCATCCCCTATTTACCAATGGTGGGTGAGCCATTTCTTAAAGAGGCACAATTGGTAGCAAACTAGACTGTTTTATTAAAGAATAATTTTTTTAATTCATAAAAATATTTTTAATTAATTTATTTTATTTTTTAAACTTTTATTTAATGAATATAAATTTCCAAAGTACAGCTTATGGATTACAATGGCTTCCCCCCCATACCATCCCTCCCACCTGCAACCCTCCCCTTTCCTACTCCCTCTCCCCTTCCATTCACATCATGATTCATTTTTGATTCTCTTTATATACAGAAGATCAGTTTAGCATACATTAAGTAAAGATTTCAACAGTTTGCTCCCACACAGAAACATAAAGTGAAAAATACTGTTTGAGTACTAGTTATAGCATTAAATCTCAATGTACAGCACACTAAGGACAAAGGTCCTACATGAGGAGTAAGTGCACAGTGACTCCTGTTGTTGACTTAACAAATTGACACTCTTGTTTATGGCCTCAGTAATCACCCTAGGCTCTTGTCATGAGCTGCCAAGGCTATGGAAGCCCCCTGAGTTCACCGACTCTGATCATATTTAGACAAGGCCATGGTCAAAGTGGAAGTTCTCTCCTCCCTTCAGAGAAAGGTACCTCCTTCTTTGATGACCCGTTCTTTCCACTGGGATCTCACTTGCGGAGATCTTTCATTTAGTTTTTTTTTTTCCCCCCAGAGTGTCTTGGCTTTCCATGCCTGAAATACTCTCATGGGCTCTTCAGCCGGATCTGCATGCCTTAAGGGCTGATTCTGAGGCCAGAATGCTGTTTAGGACATCTGCCATTCTATGGGTCTGCTGTGTATCTCACTTCCCATATTGGATCATTCTCTCCCTTTTTTATTCTATCAGCTAGTATTTGCAGACACTATTCTTGTTTATGTGATCCCTTTGGTTCTTAGTCCTATCATTATGATCAATTGTGAACAGAAATTGATCATTTGGACTAGGGAGATGGCATTGGTACATGCCACCTTGATGGGATTGAATTGGAATCCCCTGGTATGTTTCTAACTCTACCGTTTGAGAATAAATTTTTAAAACTTGAATACCACCCATGTCCAGTTACAGAAATAGTAAAAAATAATTTGGAGAATGGGTAATTCTTTATAACCCTAGTCTCTTCCATTGAGTAGTGATCTTTTGTTTAGTTTTGCTTTGTTTTGTTTTGTTTTCTTTCCCTTCATACTATTTGCTGAACTCCTCTACTTAGAGTAGGGCTAACTATATGATCACTAAGTGAAGCGATAATATTTCATTGTAAAAATTAAGAATGGGAATCAGGTGGAGGGAAGCGTTGAAAGGTGGCCAAGAGGGAGAGGAAACCTCACTTTGTTTCTAAATCTGTATATATGAAATATATAAAATTTGTATAATTTAAATAAAATAAAATATTCAAAACATCATAGTAGAAAATAATAAGAATATCATTGTAAAACATTAGGAACATATATAATGAGAAATGTGTGGGATCTCTCTGAAGATTACTGTAAAATTTAAGGGAATTTTTGAAAAAGATTGGAAGATATGAACATGTGTATAATGTTACAGTATTATACAGATGTTAATTCTTTTCCAATAAATACACATTTTAAGCCATTCCATGAAATCTTCCATTGGGATTTGATGCTGGCTATCTTCTGTTTGCCTCTTCACCCTATGACTTTCTGAACTTAGCCAACATGTCAATAGGTTCCCATTGATACTTCCAGTGGGTTCAAACAATGAAGAATCTTGGAGGAGATCTGGGGAAGGGGTGGAGTGATCTCACAGTTATTTTCCTTATAATCCCAGTCCTGTGGTATGTTTTTTTTTTAAAGATTTTTATTTATTTGAGAGGTAAAGTTATAGACAGTGAGAGGAAGAGACAGAGAGAGAGGTCTTCTTTCTGTTGCTTCACTCCCCAGATGGCCACAACGGCCGGAGCTGCACTGATCTGAAGCCAGGAACCAGGTGCTTCTTCCCGGTCTCCCACATGGGTGCAGGGGCCCAAGGACTTGGGCCATCTTTTACTGCTTTCCCAGGCCATAGCAGAGAAATGGATTGGAAGAGGAGCAGCCAGGACTAGAACCAGCACCCATATGGGATGCCGGCGCCGCAGGCAGAGGATTAACCTACTGAGCCATGGCGCCGGCTCCTGGTATGATCTTAAACTGGTTTTCAACCTATGGTCTGGTGCTAATAATGATGGCCCTGTACACAAGGGTCTTTGTGGACTCTTTTTCTTCTAGTTTCTGCTTCTCTCCCTTAGATCAGGGATGCTGACACTGAAACTATTGCTGGCCCTGAATTCATGTCCACACCATTATTCAGAGTCTAAGTTCAGTGGCATTTCCAACTAAGCACATAGTTCACTAAGCATTTTTGTAAATCTATGGGAGCCACTAGCAATTGGGAAATATTCACTTCTGTCAGGATAGCTTTTCCAATTCTTTCTTCTCAACACAAATTTGTTGTTATTTCTCTTCTAGGAAGTTATTACATCAATGGACTGTTTCAAAAGCTATAATCACATTTGGCAAAAGGAGAAAGAAGAAACCATTAGGACATTTATCATGAACAATCCCTTGCTTTCTGAGTTTGAATCCCAGATTCTCTATTTCCAGAACCTAGAGCAGGAGATTAATGCAGAGCCTGAGTACATCTCTGTGGGTTCCATTGCTCTGTATACAGGTTGGTTCCTTTTCTCTCAGTCACATCAATTCAACAGGGTTGCTTTGATTCTTTACCTAGACTAGTATCCCAGTGAATTCTAGCTCTCTTAAAGATTGATCGTGTTTTAATTATTTATTCTGCAGTATTTTGCATGCTTTGTGGCTAACCCTTGAAAAACAAAGGCCAATTCAGAGAAAAGGCATGAGTCTGTTATACTTTGAATTAAAACTTTATTTACCAACTGACAATAATAAACTTTGAGTCTTATCTTGGAAAGTTTTGATAGTATAACTTTTTTTCCTTGGCATTTTGTTGTTGGCATTTGAATGGTTATGACAAACAAGTTTTATAAAATGAACAAGTAAGGAAAAATGTTTCCGTTTCCAGTTTGCATTTTCATGGCTAGAGGGTAGTAAACTGTGAAGTAAGTACTATTAGTGAGCAATGTTCCTGTGTCTTTTCCCACTGGCTCAGGGTCTTCAAACTGAACTCTGGGCATTTGTGTTTTACAGCTGACTTGAAGTTTGCTCTGACTGCTGAGACAAAAGCCTGGATGGTTGTCATAGGGCGTCACTGTAATAAAAAATACAGGAATGAGATGGAAAACATTTTTACCCTTGTTGAAGAATTCAGTAAGAAACTGAATCGTCCAATTAAAGACCTAGATGATATTCGGATTGCAATGGCAACGCTGAAAGAAATCCGGGAGCAGCAAATCTTCATTGACTTTCAAGTGGGACCTATTGAGGTAACTGATTCTTACCTGGTCACTGCAGAAATAAGCCTACATAATGGATGATAAAATCTGAAGTGTTGGCCAGGTCTGGACTAGTGTGACAAATGGGTACTAAATCTAAGAGCCATGATTTCAGCAGTAGTGATGCCTAACACTTAACTTATGGGAGGTCTTCCAGGGTCCAATCCTCATCCTTAACATGTTACTTAAAGATCACAAGAGCAGAACCTGAGATGAGAGTGTCTATACAAGTGATTGATTGACAAGTGCTCATTGGAAAAGGGGACTGAAGGGAACAGGAACCTGGTCTCAGCCATACATTGATCTCAGCCTGATCCGTGGGAAACTCAATAACATGAATGGAACCACACAATTGGCCTAGCTTGAGGCCAGGGGTATTGCTCAGGGATTATGGACTATCATCTCCCCGTGACGAGACTGCCATCCATCTGAGGACAATTTTCGAAGGAAGGGAGCAGCTGTGGTTCTTACAGCCAACACCAAGAGGTGATGGATAGGAATGCCATCTGATGAACAGGAGCTGGATGGGCATCAACAGCGTTCATACATAACTCATTTCATCCTACAACAGCCCTTGCTTTCTATATAAGGAGACTGAGGGCTAATGAAGTCACGCATCTTGGTCAGTGTGGCATATCACTTTTTTAAAAAAATTACTTATTTATTTGAAAGTCAGAGTTACAGAGAGAGGAAAGGCAGAGAGAAAGAGAGAGGTCTTCCATCTGATGGTTCACTCCCCAATTGGCTGCAATGGCCACTGCTGTGCCGATCTGAAGCCAGGAACCAGGAGCTTCTTCCAGGTCTCTGACATAGGTGCAGGGGCCCAAGGACTTGGGCCATCTTCTATTGTTTTCCCAGGCCATGGCAGAGAGCTATATTGGAAGTGAAGCAGCCGGTACTCGAACCAGTGCCCATATGGGATGCTGGCACTTCAGGCCAGGGCATTAACCTGCTGCACCACAGCACTGGCCCCACACCACTTTTGTTTTTATATTGCCTGATACTATTTTATTAACAGATGAAAATGTCTTATCAGAAGTGGTTCACTATACAAAGGGTCTTTTAAAAGTTCATGAAAATGTGTATTATGAAAAAGCCATGCATGGATTTCAAAGTATTTTTGTAAAAAAAAAAAACCCACTTAATTGTTTGCCATGAACTTTGTGAAGAACTGTTGTAATAATTCTTTGAAGTGAAACTAGTATAATTGTAACATTGAAGAAATTCCAGATGTAAAGATGTCATCTCTCTGTTTCATCTTAATTCAAATACTTGGACTTAGACTCTGATGGTAAGGATCAGACTATAGCCTCACAGTTTCTGAGTCCCTCTTTGAATTTTGAAAAGCTTCTTTTTCTTTTAAGCTGGAAATGTTTTATTTAAGGTATACAAACTTCATGCAATTCATAAGTACAAATTTAGGAACAGTGATTCTTCCCACCCTACCCTCCCTCCCACCTTTACTCCTAACCCTTCTTTCTCCTCCCTCTCCTATTCCCATTCTTATTTTCTACTAAGATATATTTTTAATTAACTTTATGCACATAAGACTAATCATACACTAAGTAAAGAGTTTAACAAATAGTATGAAGACAAAAAACTGTTACTCAACAGTTGAGAGAAGGACTGTTCAAAGTCATTGCATCTCAAAGTATCAATTTCATTTCTATAGATTACCTTTTAGGTACTCTATTAGTTGCCAAAGATCAGGGAGAACATATGGTATTTGTCTTTTTTGGGACTGGCTTATTTCACAAAGTATAATATTTTCCAGTTGCATTTATTTTGTTGTGAAAAACAGGATTACATCATTTTTTTTTACCACTGTGTAGCATTCCATAGTGTACATATCCCATGGGATTGTGGGTAAAGCTTCCGCTTGCAGTTCTGGCATTCCATATGGGTGCCTGTTCAAGTCCTGGTTGCTTCAATTCCAATCCAGCTCCCTGCTAATGCACCTGGGAAAGTAGTTGATGATGGCCCAAATCCTTGGGCCCCTGCATCCATGTGGGAGACATGGAAGAAGCTCCTGGTTCCTCGTTATGGATCGGCCAAGCTCTGGCCATAGCTGCCATTTGGGGAGTGAACCAGTGGATAGAAGACCTCTCCCTTTCTCCGCCTCTGCCTCTCTCTAACTTTGCCTTTCAAATAAATAAGTAAATAAATAAAACTAAAAAAGAGAAAAGTTTCACATTACTGTGGAAATGGTATATATTGTCACATGTTTGTTGTGTTGGGCCAGGGGAATCACTGGTTCCATCATGCTTTTTTTTTTTAGCATTGAAACATCACAGAGCTCTTTCTTTGTGCAGGCTGAGGGGAGATCCTTGAGTTTGAAGAGGAGGTGCAGTAACTGATAATCTTGTTTTCTCCTACCTGGGAGTTAAGATAACATTAGAGAAAAAGGGTCAGTATCAAAATATGACCTTTATTACTGGTAGAACTTACTTGAGAGACTTGAATTAGTATACTTCTCCTTCTTCCTAGACAGGTGTGTTTGCATGTGTGTAGATGATGCACATGCACATGCACACACACACACACACACACACTATGGGTTTGTGAGTAGGAAATCCCAGGAATGTCATACTACAACATCCATCAGAGGCAACACTGGAAAACTACAAATGGCTCTGTTGCCCTGATCCTAATTGTGGTACTAAGGTGCAGACCACATGCATATCTCTATGGAGAAAGAAGGAAGAAAGGGAGGGGCACTGGGCTATGTTTTCCTAAATCAGTAGTTTCCCCCTCCCAAGTCAACGATCATATTACTCATTCCACCTCTATGAGGAGAAGCAATGGTGAGAAGAGAGGACATGAATGCTTAGGGAAAACCCTTTCTCATGAAAACCAAACTCTGCCTGATTTTAAATTTTAGCCATAAGAGTGATCCAAGATTTTTTCATGCTAAAGCCAATTACCTGGCCCAAACTTTGATCACAAGCACCCTGTTTTGTCTCAAAATTGAAACTTCTTGTCAACAAAGTGAAGTAGGACTGAATTAAAAACCCTGATTTATTTCATTATTCTCATATTAGGAGGCAAATTGCTTTATGTTTTTAATTTATGTAATTACACAGTCTTCAAATATAATTTGGGAGTCTGAGAAAAGATATCTTTTATTTGCAAAATGGTTTATGTTTTTCAAAATCCATTTAAAATTATAGTTTTTGATACAAAGTTCCTGTGAAACACCTAGAGAATTTTCTTATCTTACAGATGAGGAAACAAAAGCTGAGTGGCTTGGCTGCTCATTTAAACTCTTGCAGTTTTCAAGTGAAATAACTTGAATTCCCAGAGTAGTTTCACTGTCTTTCTGGCTCTCCAATCTAATGCTTTAATAAATGACCATGTGTGGATTTCTTCATCTGACTGGCAGAGATTAAGTTTTTCTTCTTTTGTGTAGGAATCTTATGCTCTGCTTAATAAATATGGACTTCTAATAGCAAAGGAAGAGATGGACAAAGTTGATACTCTGCATTATGCATGGGAAAAACTTCTGGCCCGTGCCAGTGAAGTACAGAATGAATTGGTCTCACTGCAGCCCAGTTTCAGAAAAGAACTTATTAGCACTGTAGAAGTCTTCCTGCAGGACTGTCACCAGTTTTATCTGGACTATGATTTGGTATGACTCTGGCTTTCTCTGTGTGTGTTTCCAGAATTTAATAGACTATGCAGATTATTATTGTTATTTAAAAATCTTGTCAAATTCCATGAAATTTCCTAAGAATTTCATAGGAATGGGCATTTTACTTTCATGACAGCAAAGACTTTTTCTTTCATAATCACTTTCCCTTAGAGTTCATACAGAACAATTTCAGCAGAAAATGAGGGATTTAAAATATCTGTTCCTATGATACCATTGATCTCTATGGAAGCTGTTGATTGTACAGTCCCCCTTTCCACAGCATTCCCTAATTCCACAAATAACAGAGCTCCCAGCCTGTGCCGGGTGCTGTCCTTGGTGCTGATGAGACAGTGCTAGACCAGACAGATGTTGCTCAGCCCCAGCTGTGTTCATCTTTTAATTATACTGATGGTTTTCAGGGAAGAATCACCTAGTGGGAACATGTTGCGTAAATAAATCCATTTAGAGTCTTAATGTGTTGCAGAATGGGACTATGTAGAATATATAATATAATTTGTACCTATAAACTAGTAGCAAAACAAAGCACAGAACTAAGAAAGTTAGGAGATTGGATCCATGTACTAACTTCATGGATGAAGAAACATAGAAATCCAGATGATTAAGGTGTTCTAATATGGAGAAACCTGGTTGTAATATTGACACTTTTTTCAAAAAGATATTAGAATGGCAAGATCTGTAAGTTATCAGATATACATGTTTTAGTTCAAAATTAAACATTATGAACACTTTTCATTGATCCATCTTTGCCTGTGTCACCTAAAAGGTAAATAGTAGTAAATATTTTTAATTTTCAAAATTTCTTAACTTTTGAAAGTTGTGGCATTAGCCTGATTTTTTAAACTTGAAAAATATTTCCAAATAAGTTCCTGAGGCCTTTTTTAGAAATGAAAAACTTTTTCCTATTATATTGTATGACATGGATAGAGACTAACTTTAATATTCAGATACTTTGTGTTCATGATATCTGTATGCAAACATTTTGTCTTATGTTATGTCAACCTTTTGCTTTAGAATGGTCCAATGGCTAGCGGCTTGAAACCACAGGAAGCCAATGATAGGCTTATCATATTTCAGGTAATCTTTTTGGTTTTTATGATCTGCTAAATAGTGAAAACCTTATTATATTTTAAATGCATATATACTTTCTTTTACAAAGAGAAATGTTTATTGCAGAATATATAATTTTACTTTTAAAAGTATGATTTGGTATGGTTACAATTAGAGATGTCTTCTAGGAATTATTTATTACCACTTAGTACTGCTGTTTGCATGTGTCCAGAGATCATACATGCTTACTTGTTTGCCAAGATTTTCTTTTCTTTTATTTTTTAAGAAATAGCTATTTATTTGGAAGGCAGAGTGACACACAGATATGTATATGTATATTTATATGTATATATATATATATATAGAGAGAGAGAGAGAGAGAGAGAGAGGGAGAGAGGGAGGGAGAGATATTGGTCTTCCCTCCAATGGTATATTGCCCAAATGCCAGTGACAGCTAGGCCTGGGCCAGGCAGATGCCGGGATCCAGGAACTCCATCCAGTTATCCCATGCAGGTGGCAGAAATCCAAGTATTTGGGCCATTTGTTGCTTCCCAGGCACATTAACAGGAAGTTGTATTGGAAGCACTGAGTAGCTAGGACTAAAACTGGTACTCTGGTATGGGAGGCAGACACCCCAACTGGTAGTTTAACCCTTTAGGTCATAATTCCCACCAATGATGTTTTATTTGCACTTATATATTTGTTTATGTACGAATCATTCTCAAGTGATGTCACTTGTGTTTATAATAGAATCAATTTGATAACATCTACCGGAAATATATCACCTATACTGGAGGAGAAGAACTTTTTGGCCTTCCTGTTACACAGTATCCTCAGCTTCTTGAAATAAAGAAGCAACTAAATCTTCTTCAGAAAATATACAGTCTGTATAACAGTGTCATAGAAACTGTAAACAGTTATCACGATGTTCTTTGGTCAGAAGTGAATATTGAAAAAATTAACAGTGAACTGTTAGAGTTCCAGAACAGGTGAGAACTTAAATGTTTAGACTCCTCCCCCTTCTCCAAGCTGTTTACCTTAAGATGCTGTCTTCTTTGACGTGCTGCCAAGGTATTTTTCACTCCAGATGTTTTGCAGTACATCTTGCTGCATTGTTGCTGTCTGTTGACATCATCCTTGTCAACAGCTTTCACTAATGACCCCCATGTGTACATGGTGAGACAGGAACATCCTTTAAACCTGGATGCGTGTCTTCAGGGGCTTTCCTGAAGCTCAGGGGGTGTTGCTGTTTACATTGTACTTATCAAACATTTCAAGTTTGAGTTAGATGATTTCCTGGAATGAAAGAAAGACCACAATGATTATTTTTAACATTGTTTTAAGTGTTGAATACAATGAAGATGGGGGGTCATTCATTGTATATTTTGGCTGAAAGTCTGAAAGTTGCCTATAATGTCTCCATCTGGGTAATTGTGAGAGGACAATGGAAAAATGATTACTATCTGGGAGAAGCAATGTCCTGTAATATGAAATTTCCCTTATGAGTCACTGTATTATATCAACATATAGCTGGGGTGAGGAAATTAAAAAATGAGAAGAGTATTTGAAGAGACTGTTTCTGACCCAAATGCTAGCAGTCAGTCTGGGACATGAGAGGGCTGGGCTCGGAACAGAGTGGCCGCTTACACTGGTTTCCCTGTATAGGTGTCGGAAGCTGCCCAGGGCCCTGAAGGACTGGCAGGCTTTCTTGGACCTGAAGAAGATGATCGATGATTTCAGCGAGTGTTGCCCACTGCTGGAGTACATGGCCAGTAAGGCCATGATGGAGCGGCACTGGCAGAGGATAGCTGCCATCACTGGGCACAGTCTGGATGTGGGGAGTGAAACCTTTAAGTTAAGGAATATCATGGAGGCCCCTCTTCTGAAATACAAAGAAGAAATAGAGGTAAAATTGATAGATGTCATGAAGTACTGGAATATGAGAAAGTCTCAGGGGTTTATTTTAGAACATTCCTATGTATGGAATGTTGAATAAATTATTTGAGGACAATTGAAACTCATTTCCTGGCATTCAGCATTAATTCCTCAACAAATATTTGTCAAGCACCTACTATGGGACAGGTTCTGTGTTGGAGACATAAAGATGCATTTCTGCATTCAGAGGCCATTAAATAATTAGTTCAGTTAAATAATCATACAAATAAAGGTATGCTTATACAATGTGGTAAGTATGATTGAAAGAAAATCATGCTGCTCCATGAGAGCCTGTGGGGTTGACTTGTCTGAGGGTGCTAAAGATAGGAAAGTCTAGGGTGAAGGTGCAGGGCTAGCTGGGTGCAGGGAGTGTGGTCCTGTGGTGAGGGCAAGGGGCCTGGAAAGTGCAAAGAAGGAAGATGAACGTCACATGTCAAGGGTGCAAAGTGTGAATGGGGAACTAGAAGACAAGCCATGCTGGAGTGTGGAAGATGGGTAGGCAAGACACAGATGAAGCCAGGGAGGTAGATTGGGCCAAGAGCATGTTAACACTTTTAATCTTCAAAACAACAGGAAATAACTGGGAAAACCAGTATAGAGGCCCAGGCAAGAGATAATGTTTGTTGGAGTTAGTGGGGTTGAAGAGGAGGAAAAATATTCAAGGGATTTTTTTAGGAAATGCAATTGGCCAAAATTTGATGATGAAGGAAACATTGTAAGAGAGAGATGGGGAGAGGTAAGGATGAACTCTATAGATTTCTTGTAGAGTGGTCTGGATGGATGATGGTGCAAATCACAGAGACTATTAGAAAGGATCAGATAAGGTGATGAGATACAAAGATCATGAACTTGATTTCAGGCATGAATTTCACATTTAACAGATGTGTTTGGGGTTTGCTTGGAGCTGTAAAAAGTTACTGAATTCTTGGGCACAGATGAGCTCACACAGAGAGAATGGAGTGTGAGAAAGAATGAGGGTGTAGGCAGTGCTAGACTAATGGTCCAGAAGATGAGGCTTCAGAGGGACTGGAGAAGTTACCAGTGAGATTGGGAAAAAATCATGGCTTTCATTTGACTTGAGGTAAATGAGGACAACACTAAAACTTCAGCCTGTGGATAAACTTTCAAAAATTTCAACAGTTATTACATACCTCTTCTGTCATCTTTCTGGAATAGTTTGCTGGGAAGTTTTATAATAAGTTTCTATTATTTAACTATTTTTTTATCCCCATTTTTGATCCTACATCTAAGTCTACATACACATATGCCATATGTTGTGTTGCATTTAAGATCTGAAAATATACATGTTCATACATACAAGGGGATCTTCAAAACATTCACAGAAAGTGCATGTTATGATAAGACTATGCACGGTTTTCAAAACTTTTTGGCACCAAAATAAACTTATCTTTTAGTTTCACTTTCCATGAAGTCTTTGAAGTCCCCTTGTACACGTGAAATAATAGTGAAGACAAGATCTCTGCTAAACCTAGACCATTAAAGAAGGATGTGTGACTTCATGTAACAGAATGAGAGCTTGCTGTTTTGTTAGGACATCTGTATCAGCGCAGTGAAAGAAAGAGACATCGAACAAAAGCTAAAGCAAGTGATTCATGAATGGGACAACAAAACATTCACATTTGGTGGCTTTAAAACCCGTGGAGAACTCCTCCTGCGAGGAGACAGCACCTCAGAAATCATTGCTAACATGGAGGACAGCTTGATGTTGCTGGGTTCCCTACTGAGCAACAGGTGAGGAGACCATCTATCCTTTCCTTAGATTTGATAACCATAACAAACATTTTCAAGGGAAATTAATAAAAAAGCCTGGTACCATTTATTCCAAGTTGAAAATATTTTCTTTTTTTAAAGATTTATTTATTTATTTTGAGCGGCAGGGTTACAGACAGAGAGAGGGAGAGACACAGAGAGAGGTCTTTCATCTGCTGGTCACTTCCCAAATGGCTGCAATGGCCAGAGATGGGTTGATCCAAAGCCAGGAGCCAGGAGCTTCTTTCAGGAATGTAGGGGCCCATGCTTGGGCCATCTTCCACTGCTTTCCCAGGCCATTCATTAGCAGAGAGCTGGATTGGAAGTGGGGCAGCCGGGACTCAAACCGGTACCCATATGGGATGCTGATGGCACAGGCAGAAGCTTAACCTACTATGTGACAATACTGGCCCCTAAAATACTTGTTTTAACTTCAGCCTTTGGTGCAGAATGTGTAACACTGGTTTTATTTCATCATTCTGTGTTTGTGGTATGTATTTGAGAAGTCAATTGGACCCAATAATGTGACATATAGTTAATCACTTAGATCTTGCTAAACATTTCAACTTTGTCACTGACAAGCTTCACTGCACAGCTAACAGCTCAACAGATCCCAGATTCCTGGGGGGGGGGGCATTATTCTGAGTTCCAGAATAATCATTGTGTGAGAAAACTTTTTGCCAACATCTGTGAACTAGAAACTCTTATTTGGGTACGTATTTGATTTAAACAATGAATCAGAATGGAGAATGAAGTTAACTCATAGATAGGAGAGACCTGGCATAGGCTGATAGCTGTCTAATGCTTGCTTTTGACATGCTCAACAAAATCATCACATTTGGAGATGCCAACCACAGACTCATGAATTTACGTTTCTTTCATTTATTGCTTTTCTTTTTCTTTTTCCAAAATAATCTTTTGTACACTAGGATCTTCTCAAATATGCAGTAATTGTGTAGAATGTGAATATCCTCATGATACAAATTAATTGTGCTAGTTTAGCTTTAAAATATCACTTGTTTCTCTGTATCAATACTTGTAGAGAGTACTACCTACTTATTACTGCCTCAATAAAACTTCATCTTCTTTCCATTTACTTGGTATGCCTAAGTGAGTTAATATGAGATATAAAATTAGGTCTTGGAGACTTAGACTGTTGGTAAGACTGAGTTTGGATTTCCCAGGATTTGATGAATTTTAATGAACCTGCTTACTATTCATACCTAACCAGAATGAAGGATAAATGAACAATAACCCACATTAGGAAGGTAGAAAAGGCACACATATGAATTAAATAAAAATTGTCTGCATTAGAGACCAAGAAAATTTACTTCCCAATGGCTTCTAGTCTATCAACTGGATTATAAATATTTTTATTGAGCATCTATTATGTGCATTTATTGGTGCCATGAGTGGAACACTGAGTATAAAGTTCTCTGTTTCTATGGAACTACATTCTAGTGAAAAATACAAAAAACTCAGAATTTGAGAGCATTGAAGCAACTTGGTTAACAGTGATTAACATGGTAGTTAAAATAGTATTCATTAATGTGACTAATATTAATGAACTAATATTCAAGTCCATATTATGTAGGGCTAGAGGAATGAATGAAGAGATAAGAAAGAGAAGAGGAAAAATAATGGCATGCTGTAAACTCATTTAGCATTAAATTTGCCCATACCACATTCAAAATCGCCTGTGCAATACCAAAATTTCTGTGTGTCTCATGTAAAAGCAGTGAATGCTTCAGGGTGAATGGGGGCTGCATCACACCAAGAAAAACGCAAGCTTCACTGCTATCTGCATCACTCTTCTGTCATTACTAGGTGTGACCTTCCTTTACACTCAAGGCTGTTTCTCACATCTCATGTAGAAGAAGCGTGGATTTTAGCCTTCACTTCACACAAGATAAACTCAGGAACATCTGAAAACCCCAATGCCTGGGCCACTTCTCACACATATGATTGGGACCCCAGCTTGCATCAATAACATCTAATGCTTGTTTATGCTTCCAAAATACAGCCAAATTTGAGAACTATTGGTGTGGAGCTTAAACTATATGTTGTTGCAAAGGAGGCTGGGGAATTCAGGGTTTTATGGGAGCAGACATAAACACATTTAATTGGGATTGAATATATAAAGAAGGAGGAAAAAAGGACATTGGGAGGCTGCTGGCAGTCTCTGTCTCAAGGGCCAAAAGGGAACTATAGATCAACCATGAAAGAGGCAGCAAAGTGACTGTTGGGTGTACAAGTCTCTATACATAAGGCCTTTTACACATATGTGCACAAATCTGAGTGAGTTGGACATAGGTGAGTGGAAAGTAAGAGAAAACAAGACTTGGCTGGCGCTGTGGCTCACTAGGCTAATCCTCTGCCTGCGGCGCCGGCATCCCAGGTTCTAGTCCCGGTCAGGGTGCAGGATTCTGTCCCAGTTGCTCCTCTTTCAGTCCAGCTCTCTGCTGTGGCCTGGGTGTGCAGTGGAGGATGGCCTAAGTCCTTGGGCCCTGCATCCGCATAGGAGACCAGGAGGAAGCACCTGGCTCCTGCCTTTGGATCAGCGTGGTGCGCTGGCCGCAGCGCGCCAGCCACAGCGGCCATTGGGGGGTGAATCAACGGAAAAGGAAGACCTTTCTATCTGTCCTCTCTCACTGTCCACTCTGCCTGTCTAAAAAAAAAAGAAAAAGACACTGAAGAGTCAGATATTATTGTATTTGAATATTGTATTAATTGTCTATTCCTACCAACGACTCTATACTTGCTCCATATATGAAAAACTGGAGACTCAAGGAACAGGCACAGAAGCCCTGGAGAGAGATTATTATTCTCTTGAATGTAGCAACAGTGACTAGAATGATTAAACTATGGAAGATGGGTGGAATCAAGTCTAGGGCCTGATTTGTTCCTTAGATTGCTGGTTTTTTCCCCTCTTTCCATGCTCTGGATGAAAAGGGGAAAAAGTTAGACTAAAAATTCCTAATAAGTTGTGATAAATAAATCACATAGTAGCATAATTTAAAAACCCAACAACATAATCAAATTTGTAAAAAAAATCAAGAGGTTGAAAATGAAGATTTTAAAAGCTTCTTTAATTTGAAAATAGCAACAACATTAGGACAGAAAATAACACAGCATACGTAACATATTTCTTATTTTAGGTACAATATGCCCTTCAAAGCTCAGATTCAAAAATGGGTGCAGTACCTTTCCAACTCGACAGACATCATCGAGAACTGGATGACAGTGCAAAACTTGTGGATTTATTTAGAAGCCGTCTTTGTGGGAGGGGACATTGCCAAGCAGTTGCCCAAGGTTTTGGAATTTTCTTTATGATTTCATCAAGTTTCTCAATTGAAGGAGTTTCTAAGAATGGATAATTTTTAAAAAATGCAGTAGTATTTTAATCTCTATTAAATTTATCCTCCAAATCTTTTTGTTGATGCTGTTACTAGTCAAAGGGAGTGTGAGATTGTTGAAAGGAAAGGGGTCACACTCAGTAAGAATCCTGCAAAATTGTGAGGTGTGATAGGAAACAGAGGGTTAACAAAACAAAGAAGATATGCCGGTATAAACCATATGCTTTTTCCCACAATTTGAAGGTAGAAATTGAAACAGTGTAGAATTATGGCATAGTTATCTTGACAATGGTAGGATAATTTGTTATTCCACTACTGACATTTTTAAATAATGCACACTATACAATATACCCAATTATATCTGTGCTGTCAAATTGAGGGGTGGAAATCTGAAGGAAAAAAAATCTCCAAAACAAAAAGGGCTTCTTCTCAAGATTTTGAGTGTATTTTTCTCATCAAATTATAAGCCTCTTACTAGGTATGTCTAGAGTATATTTTGAGATTTCCAAAATACATTTTAACCAAATCTCAAGAATTCTTATTCAATTACTTTAAGTTGTTTGCAAGATTATATCACTTTAACAATATAGCTGAGTTTTAGAAGCATAATTGAGTATTCTCTTCACTTGTTTCCTAACTTTCTTTTTGCTTAGTTTTTAGTTTAATTATAGAAGATTGATCTGTTATCTAGTTATAATGCAGACCATTTTTTTTGACTGACAGTGAATTTTAAGTTTTTTTTTTTAAATTTTGCTTTTGTATTTGTACTGGTTTTTTGCTTGATGAGTACAAAAAGAATTTAACATTGAACTTAATAATAGAAACTTTCACATAGACTATACCAGGAGCTAAGTGGAGTTTTTTGCTGACATATTTGATAGTATATCCTTATTGGTAACATATAGAAAGCTTTAGGGAGAAAATTAAAAAAAAAAGTATATTGCTACTTTCCACTTTTGCAATATACTCCAGTATATTGCATTTCTACTTTTTTCTGAAAAAATCTTTTTGAAACCTTTTGCAATATTAAAATTATACTGGAATCAATTTTGTATTCTTATTGAAATTGTTTTCTGAATACACAAACAACCTAATGTTCATGTTGAAAACCTGAAAGTAGAAAATTCACTCCATTTAGAGGTACCCATGAAAACTGTTTAGAGTTTCCTTGCCTCACAAGTTATGTTATATTGTATTGCTATTTTTCTGTGTTTAAAAGTATTTATTTGATAGAGAGGGAACACATTTCCATCTGCAGATTCAGTCCCCTGAATGCCTACAACATCCAGGACTGAGTCTGGGCTGAAGCTGGGAGTCAGGAACTCATTGCAGGTTTCCCATGTGGCTGGCAGCAACCCAATTACTGGAGCCATTATAGCTACCTTTCAGGATCTGCATTGGCAAGAAGTTTGAGGCAGGACCCAGAGCTGGAAACTGAACGTAGCTGCTCTGGTGTGGGATGTTGGTACCTTAACTGCTGTGTTAATTGCTAAGCTAAATGCCTACCTCTTTATCTGTCTTGTTTTTAGTGAGCATAATGGGAGAACCAGGATTGAACTAAAGATTCTTGATTAGTAAAGTGAGTGATATAGTTCAAGAGGCTCAAGGAGAATTAAATAGGATATATGTGATATTAGGCATATAAATGTGGGTCTCGACTTGTTGGAACTCTGGCTTCAGCTGGGGGTGTGTGAGATCCTCTCCTCTTCAGATTGCAGGTATGTTTAAGCAGTTTGTTACCTGATTCTTATAGGAGGCCAAGCGCTTTTCCAATATTGATAAATCTTGGGTGAAGATCATGACTCGGGCACATGAAATGCCAAATGTGGTTCAGTGTTGTGTTGGAGATGAGACCATGGGACAGCTATTACCACACTTGCTGGACCAGTTGGAAATATGCCAGAAATCCCTTACTGGGTAAGTTCTGTAGCTTTTCAAACTCTCAGTATCCTAGAGGTGAAAGGGAGAGACTAGCTAACAGTCAAATTTATCTTCTTTTTCTAAGACTTAATTCATGGATAAAACTGCTATACAAATAAAACTGCTAATGTAGAGCCTTACAGTCTCCCCATACACTTACCAGCTATGTCCTGATGTTGGACGTATAGGACTTCAGGCTGCTTCCACCACTGAAATAAGACCTTGTAAACATTCTTATAGTCCCTGCTTTTAAAAGTTATTCTTGTGTTCCCCCTAAATAAACATCTGTCAGACCAAAATAGTTCATTATACTCATTATATAAAACAGTGTATGCATATAAGTGGTTAGGATTACAGAGAAGTGAGTAGCTAATGTAAATCTGTCACACACACACACAAACTATGCACACATGTGTGTAGGTTTGGTAAATTTTGAGGATCATACATTTTATTGTTTTTTTCTTTACCTACTCAAAATCATAAAGTAGAAATAGATTAAATGACAATATTCTAAGTGTGTATTGCCATACCACATTTTTTTTTTTTAACAGGCAGAGTGGACAGTGAGAGAGAGAGAGAGAAAGGTCTTCCTTTGCCGTTGGTTCACCCTCCAATGGCCGCCGCGGCCGGCGCGCTGCGCTGATCCGATGGCAGGAGCCAGGAGCCAGGTGCTTTTCCTGGTCTCCCATGGGGTGCAGGGCCCAAGCACCTGGGCCATCCTCCACTGCACTCCCTGGCCACAGCAGAGAGCTGGCCTGGAAGAGAGGCAACCGGGACAGAATCCGGCGCCCCAACCGGGACTAGAACCCGGTGTGCGGCAGGCGGAGGATTAGCCTAGTGAGCCGCGGCGCCGGCCGCCATACCACATTTATTCTAAGCATTCAACTTAAATATTAATCTCCTTGCCCAACTCTGGAAGACAGATGACCTTGTCTCATTTATTTGACTCATGTCTCTGTGATCTGTAACAGTTTCCTGTGACTAAGAAGTTTTTCCTATGCGTTGATGAACCCAGACTAGTCATCTAAGTCAGGCTGCCCTTGTAGACACAGGTGATGCTTAAAATACTGGTCTTTGAATAGCACTTTGGAAGGATCCTTGTGAAGGGAATATAGGTTATCAAACTTCAACAAAAAAGTGACTAAACTAAAAATAAAAGAAATACCAGTATGATAACATGTAAGTAATATGAAGTATTTATTTTTGGCTGTCCCAAAAGTTTTGATATAGTGATTGAGAAATAATAAATTGATGAGAAAATTAAGGTCAAAGGAAAAGAAGGGATAGCAATGATAGTAAAATTGGTACAGAAAAAACTATAAATAAACCTCAGATTTAGAGATCAAAAGTACTTCTTAGGGATAAAAGAAGAGAGTTAGTCAATTAGGTATACTTTTCATAGGCTCCAAAATTATAAAGTACTGTTTGTATAGGAAAACATCACTTTTTTTTCTGTCCTTGAATCCATACTGTGAAAGAAGTTCTATTGTGTATCGTATTAAATTCTGAGCAGGGTCCTCACCTACTTTCTTTTCATGGTATAAGTCAAGCACGTGCTTTTCTAAAGGAATGACTCCATTCAGGGAAACAAGGGAATGGGATGACTGCATATGCTTCAACACATCTTTCATGAATATCTTTTAAATATCCATGTTGGTGGGAGGTGTTGGACCACATGAAATGTGAGCGTTTTAAACCCTGATAAGAATCCAGAGGATACATATTCTTCACTTCTGGTTTAAGGTTAATCTGTAAACTCTGGGATTCAGTTGAGGATATTTCGAGGTTTTTATCTGCGTAGGACAACTGAAGAATCTAAATAAGACTGTGCCTAAATGCATATCTATCATATTAACTATGGAGATGGTTTGGTAGCAGCTAGGGGTAGGGACAGATTTTTCCTTAGCAAATGTTTTCAAGTTTATTTTGGGTGGTGGGTATACTAAAGGCCTAGTCTACAGAGTATTGGCATAATTTGATAACTTTCCTTTTGAGGATCATGCTAAGCAGGCAGAATAAACCCTGAGATCATAGCCAATGCAGAATCATTGTCATCTTTTCTTCTTTAATGAAAACCACATGCAAGTGATCCCTCCAAAATACATTTTCAGAAAAAGACTCTCAGATATTAATACTTTGGTCTGCTTTATAAAATTGTTAGGTCAAGTTATGTGACCATTGAAGGATGTTTGACAAAGAGAAGGATTTTTGTTTTTCATGCTTTGCTATAATGATGATTATTTAGCATGTTGTCTCAGACCACACTAAGGGTTCTTGAACGTCAACCTGACATGATGATAAGCTCTTCACCAGCATCAGGACAGAGGGAAAGAGGATAGGGGGTTTACAATGTTTCCAGGGTTCCAGGGTTCTTCTCAGAAGGACTGAGGAGCAGGGATTGTTGGATCATATATGGGTTCTGAAAATCACACCAGTGTTCTACCTACCGCTGGGCTTTTAACTTTTTAAACTTTCTCTCTTTTCTTTATCTGCCACCATAAGGAGACACACACACACACACACACACACACACATCACCTCAGCTTTTCTTTTGTTGTTTTAATTCTCTTCTTTTATTATGGACTTATTCTACTCTATTACTTCACATTTTGGCATTGCAGTTTCTCAGAACAGCATCAGAAAAGGCTACTGTGAGGATAACAAATAAGGAGTAGGCATTGGGTATCTGCTTTTGTCCCACCTCCTCTTAGAGAGCAGGCTCAATGCTTTTCACACTGAAAGTAAATAAATCCTATTGCCGTAACATATCCTGTGCAGCAAATTTTCCTGACCATCCTATGGGTGTTGGAGAGGATGATTACCACTCACACACCAAGGCTTGTCTAGATCATCACTGTAGATATGGTCATTTCTTCTCCAGATTCCTCACTAACTATGAACCTCCCTTTCTATCTCCTCTTCTTCGCCTCTTTCTGAAGAAAGGTCTGAGGAATCTAGCTCTTGCCTCACTCTAGGCATTGTACTCAGCAAAACCTGCCCAGCACTGGACTCAACATGGACGTTGAGCATGTCTTCCTTGCATGCACTAGAAGATGGTAGGTTCTGACCCATGTGATTCTACAGTAAAATCTTTATTTTCCTAGCATGAGAATTCTGCTGCTGTGAAATAAGAATGTTTCCTCATAATTTTACATAAGAAACAAGTAGGTAATACAAATGACAAGGAAAGAATAGAAATGAAAAAAACCAAGTGAATCTAAAGTTTAAAGAAATTGGTAAAATTTCAGTAAGAAACTGTGATGAAAACTGCAATAATTCTAACAAATGCCAGAAAACAAAGCTATAGATAATAAAATAACAGTAACAAATAGGTCCACAACACCAGGAATCCTAGTAACATACAGCAAATCTAGAAGCTAAAGTATAATTAGAGCTGGTCAATGATAGGAACGCTCAGGGTTTTAGTAACTCCTGGAGGCAGTGAACAGCACAAAACCCCTTTCATGGAGCTTGCTCACAGCTGGATTTTCCTTCTTTTCTGATGTTGGATTCATTGGATTCTCTTTTAAGACACAATTTGCAGCACTATATGGAGTCTTTAGGTGATATGGAGCATTTCCCTTAGAAATGAAAAGATGTATTTTAGAGATGAAGCAAAACAACAAAAACAAAACCCAAAACTCACTGTGTATATTTTATCCAGTTCTCTGCAAAAAAAGTGCAAGATCTTACTCTTATGAAAAATGAAAAAATTCTACCACTACTTCTGTATAAAAGTCGTTTCTTCATAACAAAAATAATATAATTTGACAAAATCCAACAAGTCAGCAAACCAACAACATTGAGAAAACATATGGGAAGATTAATTTGTCACATAATCTTTCCTCTTTTCCATCCAGATTGATTTGTTCCTAAAAGGTTCGGCTCTGTGTGTTTGTAAAAGTTTGTCTGTTTCTTTCCTGCTTAGATACTTGGAGAAAAAACGTCTTTGCTTTCCTCGCTTCTTCTTCGTCTCGGATCCCGCTCTTCTGGAGATTCTGGGGCAGGCGTCGGACTCCCACACTATCCAAGCCCATTTACTGAATGTATTTGACAACATTAAATGCGTCAAGTTCCATGACAAGGTTTGCCTAACTCTAATTGCTGACCCCTAATCACTCCATTTTAGAATCTGAATTGTTTTTGTAAAGTGGTTCTCTGACACTGTTTTTGCAAAGGTTTCCTTTCTTGTTCACAAACCGTTGGCCAGTGACTAAAAGCAAACCATGGGATCCAATTTGCCTTCAGAACTGTATGATTTGTTAATACTCAAAGTGTAGATTTGAATAAGATGATAGTTAAATGTGACAAAGAATGCAAGTTATACTAATTTAACTGTTTAGAAATCTAATGATTTCCTACTTAGAAATCCAACAAGACAAATAAATCAGTTGCTCAGAAAATAGTGACTTGACTAACCAGTATTGTTGCAGTCATTTTATTGTTTTTAAAAAGGTTTTAGAAGTTTTAGCATGATTTGCTAAAAGCCCCTTATTTTTATACTCCCAATGTACTTATAGAATCTTGGGAGATTCAACTTAAGAGAGATTACATTTGAACAGCTGCCAAAAGATATTGTCTTGTCCATCCCTCCTTCCAAATTCTCTGGAAAAATGACTCTTCCCATAATATTATATTCAATTCCCCTTTGGTGCCTCACACAAAGCCTTAGTAGCATTCATTTATTAATCCTAACATGCAATTGACTTTTTTTTTTTTTTTGACAGGCAGAGTTAGACAGTGAGAGAGAGACAGAGAGAAAGATCTTCCTTCCGTTGGTTCACTCCCTAAATGGCCACCATGGCCGGCGCTTTGCCGATCCAAAGCCAGGAGCCAGGTGCTTCCTCCTGGTCTCCCATGCGGGTGCAGGGGCCCAAGCACATGGGCCATCCTCCACTGCCTTCCCGGGCCACAGCAGAGAGCTGGACTGGAAGAGGAGTAACCAGGACAGAATCCGGTGCCCCAAACGGGACTAGAACCTGGGTTTCCGGCGCTGCAGGAACCCTAGTGAGCCGTGGTGCCGGCCTACAATTTACTTTTACTGAGTAACTACTGTGTGCCAGATGTGCTTATCAGTGGGACTATACTAACCCTCAGGAAACTTGCGCTCTGCTGCAGAAGGCAAAGTAGTTGTAGCAATCATCTGCTGGGTGCAGTTACTGCAGTGATGCCATGGCAATTAAACGCCAGTCATTATGGTCATAGCCCTCATGTTATGTGTGGGGACTGATGCCAACCCCAGGCTCCCAAGGAAGAATGTAGCATAATCAACATGAAAGTCTCTTTTATGCAGTGTAACACTCAACAGAAATCTGGCAAGTAAAGTATGGCTAACTTGGGACTTGAATTATTAGTAGTATGTTTGCATTCAGCACAGGGAACATGGGAATGACTGTCAGTGAGCCCTCCCCTGAGTGTATGGGGGTGTCAGGAAAGAGTTCCTGCACAACAGGGACTTGAAGTGATTTTTGGAAGGTGAGTGAGACATTGTGAGGCAGGTGAAGAATGAAATTGTGTCGTCTGAGGGATGGGAAGCCCAGGGTGTCAGAGGTGTGGTTGTGTGAGAAAGTGTGCTATTTTCCTAGAGTTGCTGTGGGTGAAGACAACAAAAATGTGTTCTCTCATTATTCGGGAAACTAGAAGGTAGAAACAGGATGTTAGCCGAGTTGCCCCTACTGGAGTTACAGAGGGAGCCTATGTTCCGTGCCCCTGTCCTAGTTTCTGTGGCTGGTTTCAATTTGTGGTGTCCTTGGCTAATAAACACATCCCTTTAGTGTTTGCTTTGGCCTTCACATGGCATTCTCTATCCATGTCTATATTTTTGTGCCTAAATTCCTCTACTTCTTATTAGAATACTAACCCAGAATTACTCTTCTTAACTTAGTTATGTTGGCAAAGACTCTATTTCCAAATAATGTCACCTTCACAAATAATAGGGTATCATTTTGGGGGACACAATTCAATCCCCAAAGGGACCGATGGACAAAGGAAGAATGATCCACAGGCCAGGTTCCGAAGGCCAAGTGTATCACACTACAGAAATTCTATTTCATCCCCAAAGTGGCAAGAAGCCACCGGAGGCTTTTAAACAGGATGGTGATCTGATTTGTGCTTCAGAATGATTCTTTGCACAGTGTGGATGTGGAATTATAGGGACAAGTGAACCAGTATGGAAAACATTGCAAAATTAAGATGTAAAAGGATGAAGTAGTATAAAAAAACCTTGGCAGAGGGGACACAGAGGAAGGAAAGACAGGATGGATTTTAATGGTCAAAACTTCAGTGTTGCTTGTTAGTCTGTGGGGTGTGTGGACTGAAAGAAGGGATTAAATTACACAGCAAGTTCTGATGTTTTGCTTGCAGCCTTCTGATAAAGAACTCAGACTTCGCTCATATACATTTTTTTGTACTATGACCAAAATTGACATTTTGAGATTTGATTATTGTTTATAGTCCTTATTTGTATTCTTACTGCTGTTCAATTTTGAACTTACTGGAGGGTTAAGCTTGTAACTATAAAGAAAATTGAGAGTATGTCATTATAAAAATGAAAAGAAAAAAGTAAAGATGGAGAGAAGTTGGGAGTGAGGGAGAGTAGGGTGGGAAGTATTATGCTCTTTTTTTATTTTTTTTTTGACAGGCAAAGTGGATAGTGAGAGAGAGAGACAGAGAGAAAGGTTTTCCTTTTCCGTTGGTTCACCCTGCAGTGGCCGCTGTGGCCGGCGCACTGCAATGATCCAAAGCCAGGAGCCAGGTGCTTCTCCTGGTCTCCCATGGGGTGCAGGGCCCAAGCACTTGGGCCATCCTCCACTGCACTCCCTGGCCACAGCAGAGAGCTGGACTGGAAGAGCAGCGACTGGGACAGAATCCGGTGCCCCAACCGGGACTAGAACCCTGGGTGCCGGTGCTGCAGGGGGAGGATTAGCCTAGTGACCCGCAGTGCCGGCCCTATTATGCTCTTAAAACTGTATATACAAAATACATGGGGCCGGCGCCGCGGCTCACTAGGCTAATCCTCCGCCTGCCGCACACCGGGTTCTAGTCCCGGTCGGGGCGCCGGATTCTGTCCCGGTTGCCCCTCTTCCAGGCCAGCCCTCTGCTGTGGCCAGGGAGTGCAGTGGAGGATGGCCCAGGTGCTTGGGCCCTGCACCCCATGGGAGACCAGGATAAGTACCTGGCTCCTGCCATCGGATCAGCACAGTGCGCCGGCTGCAGCGCGCTGGCCGCGGCAGCCATTGGAGGGTGAACCAACGGCAAAGGAAGACCTTTCTCTCTGTCTCTCTCTCTCACTGTCCACTCTGCCTGTCAAAAAAAAAAATACATGAAGTTTGTTCCATATTTATAAATATTTTTTTTCTCGGCTGGCACCGCGGCTCACTAGGCTAATCCTCCGCCTTGCGGCGCCAGTACACTGGGTTCTAGTCCCGGTCGGGGTGCCGGATTCTGTCCCGGTTGCCTCTCTTCCAGGCCAGCTCTCTGCTGTGGCCAGGGAGTGCAGTGGAGGATGGCCCAAGTGCTTGGGCCCTGCACCCCATGGGAGACCAGGATAAGTACCTGGCTCCTGCCATCGGATCAGCACAGTGCGCCAACGGCCGTGGCGGCCATTGGAGGGTGAACCAACGGCAAAGGAAGACCTTTCACTCTGTCTCTCTCTGTCTCTCACTGTCCACTCTGCCTGTCAAAAAAAAAAAAAAAAAAAACCTTTTAAAAATATTTTTTTTTCTCAAAGGTTATTTATTTGAAAGGCTGAGTTACAAAGGCAGAGTTAGAGACACAGAGAGAGGGATTTTCCATCTGCTGTTCACTCCCCAAATGGCTGCAATGTCTAGAGCTGGGCGGATCTGAAGCCAGGAGCCAGGAGCCAGGAGCCAGGAGCCAGGAGCCAGGAGCTTCTTCCAGGTCTCCCATGTGGGTGCAGGGGACAAAGGACTTGGGCCATCTTCTACAGCTTTCCCAGGCCATAGCAGAGAGCCGGATTGGAAGAGGAGCAGCCGGAACTCGAACGAGTGCCCGTATGAGATACTAGCACTGCAGGTGGTGGCTTTACCTGCTATGCCACAGCACCAGCCCCAATAATTTTTTTTAGAAAATCCTAAGACTTCATGGTTCAGGAGTGAAGCTTCTCAGTGTCTTAAGTTGTACATTGAAGATAATTTAAACTTCTTCATTTGTCCACACGGTTTTAGCCTCTGGCCATTGCAGTTACTTAAGACAACATTGCACTTGCTTTTTTGTTATTCCTTCTATCAAGTTTCTATATCCAAGGGCACTACCTGAGTTTTTGTATTCTGAATCTTCTAACATTATAAATATAAATTTATTTTCAGGACTTGGAAAGGGTCAGTGCAAGTATAGGGCCCTGAACTTGAGACTCATTAGTTTCTTGGTAGAACACTTCTCTCTACAGCCAAGGAATACTTGATTACCATGGCACTGAATCTGATCCCAAAGGAACAGCATTCCATCTTGCCAAAGAACAGAAACAACAGCAAACATTTGTGTTTACTTTCCAATTTGTTTTATTTTGTTTAACTACTGTGTGTAGCCTGTGAGATGGGTAGGGAGGTAGGAAAGGCATGATTTTTTTTTAACTTTTATTTAATAAATATAAATTTCCAAAGTATAGCTTTTGGATTACAGTGGCTCCCCCCCGACCCATAACCTCCCTCCCACCCGCAACCCTCCCATCTTCCGCTCCCTCTCCCATCCCATTCACATCAAGATTCATTTTCAATTATCTTTATATACACGGAAGATCAATTTAGTATATACTAAGTAAAGATTTCAACGGTTTGCACCCACACAGAAACACAAAGTGTAAAGTACTGTTTGAGTACTAGTTATAGCATTAAATCACAATGTACAGCACATTAAGGACAGAGATCCTACATGGGGAGTAAGTGCACAGTGACTTCTGTTGTTGATTTAACAATTGACACTCTTGTTTATGGCATCAATAATCACCCGAGGCTCTTGTCATGAGTTGCCAAGACTATGGAAGCCTTTTGAGTTTGCCTACTCCAATCTTATTTAGACAAGGCCTTCAGAGAAAGGTACCTCCTTCTTTGATGGCCCATTCTTTCCGCTGGGATCTCACTTACAGAGATCTTTCATTTAGTTGTGTGTGTGTGTTTTTTTTTTTTTTTTTTTTTTTTTGACAGAGTTCTTGGCTTTCCATGCCCAAAATACTCTCATGGGCTTTTTTGCTGGATCCGAATAGAAAGGCATGATTTTTAATGATTAACTATGGATAACAAACTTGATCTCTGAGATGTTGTTCTGCAACATTACATGATGAGTGAGTGGAAGAGGGCCGTTGGTTCCTGTATCTGAGAAATGCAACTACCACACTGTCCTCATTAAGCTGGGCTGCATGGAGACTGAAGTGACCAGAATAGGAGCTAGGTTTGGATTAGAAAACTTGTATAACCAAGAGCTCCTCTGTCATGTTTGCTACAGAATTGGAATTTGTATGGCGTAGATCCTTGACAATGTCGACCAGATAATCTGATGGTATGGAATGACAGGTTCTTCAAGAGTCTGATTTCACTTAGGAAACTTTAGAGTTTTTTTTTTTTTCCCAATCATCACTTGTATATTAAATATTTCTATTAGAAAATAAATTTTTCTCCTAGAATATAGATTATTTGGAATTAGTTTGGCATTGTGTTAGATTTTATGGTTAACTTTTTATTGTTTTGAAATTGTTTTTATATATTTTGTCTTGTATTTCCTAATCTTAACTTTCTAATAGCTTAACTTTCTAAAAGAATGGTAACTGACACAAGGGGCATGGAGAAAGAGTAAAATTTTTTTTTCATTTTTTATACAAATTTTATTTTGTCTTCCGACATAGATCTACGACTGCATTCTGTCAGTTTCCTCCCGAGAGGGTGAGGTAATTGAATTGGACAAACCTGTGATGGCAGAGGGAAATGTAGAAGTTTGGCTTAATTCTCTCCTGGAGGAATCTCAGTCCTCGTTACATCATGTGATTCGTCAGGCAGCTGCAAATATTCAAGAAACAGGTTTCCAATTGATTGAATTTCTTTCTTCCTTCCCTGCTCAGGTCAGTGTATTGAAATGAGAAAATATTTTGGTAAAACATCATCTTAAATCTCAGAGATTGCCTCTTACAAGCCTCACAAATGAACTGACAGCTTAACTCTGGACCCTAAGATTTTCTTAAGGATCCATTAAATATAGATAAGCTTAAAGATTCCAACTGCAGATTATTTAATCATATATATTTATATCTTTATGTGACAATGTATATAAATCATGAAAACATACAGAATGGATGCTTTACTACAAATGTGAAAATGGATTTCAGCATTAAAATACAGGAAATAATGTTTTCTTAGTCATTGTGATCTACAAATATTTTTGAATATTTACTATGTGTAAATAATGTGCTAGTTTGAATAAAACAAATCTGAGGCATATTCTTTTCCTGTAAGTAACTTAAAAACTATTCAGGGAAATATGTGACAAATGTAATCATTTGAGATTTTGCGAAAAATATTGTAGATACATCATGAGGCTTTACATATTTAATTGCTAGATGAGTAATATGAATAGAGTTTTCATAGGTTTTGAGACCAGGTGTCAAGTTGATGTAACCATGACTCTCTATTTGTGTAATGATCACAAATATTCATTATATGGTGATTTCTGATTAAATAGATAAATATGCCTCACACTCATAAAGCTCTTATTTCCATAAGGTTGGGTTATTAGGAATTCAAATGATATGGACAAGAGATTCAGAAGAAGCCCTTAGAAATGCCAAATTTGATAAAAAAATCATGCAGAAAACCAATCAGTCTTTCCTGGAGCTACTGAACACACTGATAGACATCACCACAAAGGATCTGAGTTCCGTGGAGCGAGTTAAATTTGAGACTCTGATTACTATTCACGTGCACCAAAGGGATATCTTCGATGACCTGGTAAATTCTTTATAAATGCTGTGACATATACAGAAGAGTAAATATTAGACACTATCTGTGTTTACCTGCTGGAATTAGTTTGATTTAATTCAGAAAAGGTTAAATTCAGGCAAAGAATCATCTCAGGATTGGAGCTTGTTTGTCAGACTTTCTTTTCAGTCATTACCTGAAATTTCAGTCATATTCCGATGATCTATACTATGCTACAATTAGCATAGAGACAATTAGACTCTATTTTTAAAGTCCTTATGTGATTATTTTAATGCTAAAAAGTCATGTAGCAACCTGAAAGGCTTTCATTTATCTCATACTCCTTTTAGTTATTTATTGGAGAGCACTAGTTTCGTGCTGCAGAAATTAAGTAATATTGCTAGTAGAGCTATTTAGGGTTTCCCTTAAGGCTTTTGGTAAATCACATCCTTAACAAGTTTTTTACATTTTATGTCATTGATTGCAAATGGTCTTTCCTAATATAGCTTGTGACACTCAGGTGTCATGCAGATTTTTGCTTTTAAAGAAAAAGCAGTGTAGGAAAAAGGAGGGTTCAATAGTTACAAAAAATGGGAAATGTGAAAAGAAGTGAAATTTGTCCTTTACTATAAAATACAACATTAAATAAGAGACAAGAAGCTCTTATTTTCATAATAATTTTCTGGGTTGTGTCTTACCCATTATGTGAAAAGGATTATGAAAGATTGGTTCTGATGGAATGGCAATAAAAGACAGTACATTCCAGCTGTTTTGTGTTCATTTCCTTTCTTAATAGTTAAGCACACTGTTTGCTTCTCTGAGAAATAAAGAGGTCAAGGTAATTTTAGATTTCTTATTTGTCAAAGAAAAATGAGTAAAGTGCCTTAACATTTTGGTAAAAAAAATCCAGGCAAAAGCATTTGCTGGAAAGTAACCTGCCTTTTAGATGTTAAAAATTTGGGCCTGCTGCCATTTGTAGGAAAAATAATTAATGGATTAAAAAAAAGCCCAGCAATATAATTTGTCATAATCTTGAGATGTCTTTTTTCTTTTTTTTTCTTTTCTTTTTTTTTTTTTTTCTTTTTTGACAGGCAGAGTGGACAGTGAGAGAGAGAGACAGAGGGAAAGGTCTTCCTTTTGCCGTTGGTTCACCCTCCAATGGCCGCCGCGGCCAGCGCGCTGCGGCCGGCGCACCGCGCTGATCCGATGGCAGGAGCCAGGAGCCAGGTGCTTTTCCTGGTCTCCCATGGGGTGCAGGGCCCAAGCACCTGGGCCATCCTCCACTGCACTCCCTGGCCACAGCAGAGGGCTGGCCTGGAAGAGGGGCAACCGGGACAGAATCCGGCGCCCCGATCGGGACTAGAACCCGGTGTGCCGGTGCCGCTAGGCGGAGGATTAGCCTAGTGAGCCGCGGCGCCGGCCGAGATGTCTTTTTTCTAACATTGTTTATTTCTGTCTTTGCATGCCAGAACATGTTTTTATGCGTTATATTCTGGGGTTGGGACTATGTTATTGGGCATTTAAGGGTAAAATTTCAGAAAGAGGGATCTTATTTTTAAGATATGAAATGCCATTTAAATTAGAGGGCCATACATCAGGATTTCTCTTGAATTTTCCTATTCCCACATATTCTTTTTTTTTTTTTAAAGGTTTATTTATTTATTTGAAAGGCAGAGTTACAGAGAGAGAATTAGAGAGAGAAATGGCTGCAATGGCCGGAGATGCACCGATCTGAAGCCAGGAGCCAGGAGGTTCTTCCAAGTCACCCACGTGGGTGCAGGAGTCCAAGAACTTGGTCCATCTTTTACTGCTTTCCCAGTCCATAGCAAAGAGCTAGATTGGAAGAGGAGCAGCTGAGACTCAAACTGGCGCCCATATAGGATGCTGGCACTGCAGGTGGCAGCTTTGCCTGCTACCCCACAGTGCCGGCCCCTCCCATATCTTCTAAAGCTTCTTTTTTGTTGATGAATACTTGAGTGAACTGGATGGTGATAAAGCTGGCATCTCTGAACTAATTGGGTAGCCTTTGAGTTCCCTGTGTTTCACTGTATGGTCCACATGAATGCTTATATGTGTACTAAATAAATACTCCTAGTCTCATTTCCAACATTATGCCTTTTGCATTTCAGTGTCACATGCACATCAAGAGCCCAACAGACTTTGAGTGGCTGAAGCAGTGCAGATTTTATTTTAATGAAGATTCTGACAAGATGATGATTCACATCACTGATGTGGCTTTCATATACCAGAATGAATTTTTAGGCTGCACCGACAGACTTGTCATAACTCCTCTCACAGACAGGTGATGGAGGGATTCTGTGATTTTAACCCCTCAACACTCCACTTCAACATTTTTATTCTCACGAGTTGCTCAGGGGATTTTTGCTTAATGTTTCTTAAGGTTTATAGAGTCTTTTTATATCAAAGCCTTTGAAATTCAGTATTTTTAGCTTTACACCTGTGTCTTCACCTGGAATTTAGATTTGCTTCCTTTGCATTTAGTCTTACAGAGGCAAGGTTTAAATGCATCCATGGACATTGAATGGGCAAGAAAGGGAATTAATTGTTGTATGACACCAGGTGCAAATCACAGCAGGCTTTGAAGGCTGCTGGAGTCCCTTGTCACCACATAGAGACAATTAAGATGATCTTTTAGCAGGAGAGAAATGGAGCATCGGTGCAGGTGAAAGCAGTGGGGAGAAGCCTGGGCTATGCATGGGGAGTTGTCGATTCTGCTCTGTGCTGGTTGTGTTTGTTTGGGCCATCTTTGTCATCTCCCTAGACTTCATCACTTCATCTGTAAGTTGAACTGGGTTGTCCCTGGAGGGTCCTCCCAGGGCTAATGTTCTGTGATTTCTCAGTCTAATTTGAACTTTGTGATATGAGGCACATTGTATATTCTCTGGTCTGGATATGCTGAATACTTAAAATGTCCAAATGGCTTAGTTGAATCCTTCTACCCTGTATTCATAATACAGCATTGTGTGGCTCCTCATCATCAATCTTTGGCCTTAGCTGAAGCTGAACATGGGTCATTATCACAGAGTGATCCTTCAAGCTATAAGATTTAAAATGTTATCAGAGGCAATTTGAGTTTGATGTATTAACACTGTCATCTGCTAGGACTGATTGCCTGTTTGGTTCATTTATGATGCTCACAGCAGTGTCCACTGTCAGTTGAAGCTGGAGGAGCTGCAAGATATTTTGTGGGTCTCATCTTCCTCTTGCATTTAGCTCTTTTAGCTTTTCTTATTCTCTCTGAAGTCTGGGTTGAAGATGGCTTGCCGTAGCTGTGGCAGGACCTTGTGGGGAAGGAGATTATCCAATAAGTCAAACATAGAAAGATGAATACCACATGGCTTCATCAGAGGTGGAATCTAAGAAATCAGACTCGTGGATGTTCAGAGCTTGATGGTGGTTTCCAGAGCCTGAAGAGGGAGCAAATGAGGGGTTGTTGGTCAAAGGGTACCAAGGCTGAGATTAGCAGGAGGAATAAGTGTTAACATCTATTCCACAGTAGGGTGACTGTGGAAAATAATAATGTGTATTTCAAAATAACTGAGAGAGAGCAATTCAAATGTCTTCCCATAAAAAATGGTAAGTAGATGAGGTTAGGCATATGTTAAATCATTTGGCTGAATCCTTCCATATTGTATCCATGTAACAGAATTTCATATTATACCTTATAAATGTACACAATCAATCATGATTTGTGAGTTAAAGTAATGTTAATTTAAGAAACATGAAGAGTTCCCCAACAGGAAATCTATATGAAAAGTGTATGTGCTTGTCTCCTGCCTCCTCTCTTTCACCCTCCAGTGCCTCCTTACCTTCCTCTCTCTTTATTGAGAAGACAGATGCACTGATCTCCTGTGATCACATCCATAATGTGACCACCTGTCCTTGCATGATCTCTGTCTCTCCTGGTTCTTTGGATGCATCATACAGAGACAACATCTCCACTGACACTGGGATGTCCTCTCTGGGAGCAGCATCCGTTTCTACTTTCTGTGTATCGTGCTGATCAATGTGCAGCCCATACCCTGACCCCTCCAGTTTCCTTCTAATTTCTGTGCCCTCATCAAAACCCATCCAAAGCAGTTTCTCTCTTATTTTTGTCTTGAACTCATTCCATTCAGGCTCCTGGTGTTCATTTTCTATTGCTGCCTTAACAAATACCACACATTTAGAAGTTTAAACAGCTCAAATTTGTTATTTTTAGGATTCTGTATGTCAGAAATATGAGACAGTTCTCACTGGACTAAAATCAGGGCTCAGTGGGACTTGTGTTCCTTCCTGGAGACTCTACGGGAGGATCTATAATGCTCTTTCAGGTTGTTGGCTGAATTCTTTTACAAAAGAACACTCTTCACTAAGATGATTACTTTAACGAAGTAAGTACTGGAGACACAGATGCATTTGTGGTCAGCTTTTTGCTGATCCAGCTGGAAAAATTCAGTAACTGTGGCCGCTTTCTTGACTCTGGGGCATCATGCCATGTGGACAGAGCTGTGAACATTTCAGAGGCTCAAACAGCGATTATCATTCCATAAAAGCGTGTAGCACCTTTCTCCAAACACTCATGGTGTCTTTAATGACCAATCTTTCCTTCCACTTCTGAGCACACGTGGAGAAGACTGGAAGTACATACTACTGCTAGCACTTAATAGAGAGGGCAGAGGGAGTTGATGGCTGATGCAGCATCTTATCTGCTTGATAAGAAATGTAGACAAGCATAATGATGTGTCTTTCTCTGACATAGTCTTGCAATGTGTGAGACCACTCAGCTCTGCCCTTAGCATATCTGTAGTGTTGGGTCAGACACCTCACTTCTCTCATCCCCTTCTTTTGGAATCATTGTGGGGACTAGAAATGAAGCACACAGTAGTCTCCCCTTTTCCTTGGTGGATACATCTCAAAACCCCTAGAGGATGCCTGGAACCTCAGAGAGTACTGAAGTCTAGGTACATTATATTTTTCCTATACATCTATATATGCCTATGATAGTTTAATTTATAAATGAGGCATAGTAAGAGATTAATAGTAATAATAAAATAAAACAATTATAACTGTGTACTGTAATAAACCTTGTGTGAATGAACCCCCTCTCTGTTTCAAAAAATGTTCATCTAATATTTTTAGACCATGTTTACCACTAAGGGTAAATGAAACTGCAAAGAGTAAAACTGTGGATGAGAAGGGGCACCTAAATGTCCAGGCCAGAGCCCAGACATAATAAATGTTACTCTCATCACTATTTTTACTTTGAGCATTGATGTTTGTAATCATTGAATAATATACTCTTTTGCAACCTTTCTTCTCACTTCCTCTTAAGCAAGTACTGTAATCAAAGACTTTGTAACTAAACTAAGTTCTCAACAAAGTAAAGAGCCTTGTTGATATATTTGCCACTGTGATCTTTGGAAGCTTTTTAATGTTTTAGAATCCTAGGAGCCAAAACCACTTCTGGTTTACATGTTATGAAGTGCGTCTACAGAGTAATTACTACTTAATACTAATTCTGGTGACAGATTTGGTTAAAACAAAATATGGTGAACCTTGGGTCATGGGGTCTGTCATTTTTCGTTTGGCATCATGGTCATAGTCTGTGTCTAATTCCAGGAGCTGTTGGTGCAGGTGGAACCAATAGGAGTGTGCTATTGAGCATATAAAAGCCATTTATTTGCCATAAAGTCATAGTACACAAGGTATCAGGGTCTAGGCAAGCAGCTGGGGCGGGGTTACTGGTATGAATTTGATCCAGCTTCTGATAGCAGAATGTTTAATGTCGAGGCAAAAAACTGGAATAGAACTCGGAGAAGGCCACAGAAACACATAAAAGGTCCAATCTTATTTTTGAATGGAGAACTTTTGGAAATGACTTGGAGGAAGAAGATTGGAAAGGAAGACAGAGAAGCCAGGGGCAAGGTACACAAACCTGTCGAATTCCCTGAGAAGAGTCACATGACCCTGTGTCTCGAGATGCTCTGACAGTTCTTGCAGTCACTGCAAGGTGGTGTGGGTACCAGTCTAGCAGCTGGGCTGAAGCCTGCCTAGTGGAGAAAGTAAGGGATCAGTTGCTAAACATGCTGCCTACTTTTCAAATCAAAGAATGATTTCTTTGAGACAACAACTTGCTAAACAATCCCAGTTATGTAAAGAGGGTTTGTAAGACAGCAGCAGAGTGGCCAGAATTGAAAGGGGGTGCATTTCTTCCCCTGAGAAGGTGGATGTGTCCCAAGGCCAGGTAACAAGGGGGCATGGCTTGCAGACAGGCTGCCTTGAGTCTCAGGCCTCCCTGTGCACTCCTGAGAAGAGCTGCTCAATCTCCATGAGCCTCTTGCCCCATCTGTGAGATGGTTTCCCTTCAGGTCTCTCTGGGAATGCAATGAGAATCAAGGATGTGGCTGCATCATGCCAGCTATTGATGTTACATACTCTGCAAGGGCAGAAATGAGACCTTTGGTTAAAAGGCAAACCCTAGTACTCAAACAGTACTTTACACTTTGTGTTTCTGTGTGGGTGTAAACTGTTGAAATCTTTACTTAATATATACTAAATTGATTTTCTGTATATAAAGATAATTGAACATGAATCTTGATGTGAATGGGATGGGAAAGGGAGCGGGAGATGGGATGGTTGCGGGTGGGAGGAAGGTTATGGGGGGAAAAGCCACTGTAATCCAAAAGCTGTGCTTTGGAAATTTATATTTATTAAATAAAAGTTTAAAAAAGCAAACCCTAATGGAGAGAAGGGATCCTTTTCATCGCATACCTTTACCTTTTGATCCATATCCAGGCTTGGTATGCACTCAGGGCTGAGGCATTTACTGTCTCCTTCTCGAACCCATTCTAGTAGGATAGAGACCACAGAGGACTTCCCGTTTGTGTGCCCACTGTCCCTGTCTTTCCCTCATGCTGAATGAGCACATCCTTTTTTGGGAATCTTTTTCAAGTCATGGTGAATGCTTTATAGTTATGACATATGAAAATCCTGAACAGTAGCACTTTGTGAACTGTCTCCTTTGACAACACCAGGTGGTGCTGGGAATCAAGTAATTTGCAGGTGAAAATTTTTCCTTTATAGGCATTCTTGTATTCACCCACAAAATCTTTTACTTGCTAATCTAATAAGATGTACTAGAAAGGAAATGCAGGTATAGTGATGATCACAGAAATAGATTAAAGATGTGATTATTTAGCACTACACTATTTGAGTCCCAAGTATATCAAATGATCAACAGTTAGATTCAAAAGGGAATTAATCATTTAAATGGCTCCCAGTGAATTTCACAGACAGTTTTCTTTCTTTTTGTCTTTATTATATATTAGAAGGTTTCTTTATTTGAAAGGCAGAGTGATGGTTTGGGGTGGTGGGTGGGTAGAGAAAGAGAGAGAGAGGGAGAGATCTTCTATCACTGGTTCATTCCCCACATGGCCCAGATTAGGCCAGGCCAAAGCCAGGAGCCACGAGCTCCATCTGAGTTTTCTACCTGAGTGACAGGGGCCCCAGTGCTAGGGTCATCCTCCTCTGCTTTCCCAGGTATGTTACTAGGAACTGGCTTGTGAGAAGACCAGATGGGACTCAAATGGTTACTGTGGTGAAGCAAGCTAACATATCTATCATCAAACATAATTTTTGTTTGTTTTTTGTTACAAAACAACTAAAATATATTTATTTAACAAAAATTTCCAGTACAATACAGTTGTATTGACTGGTCTTCATGTTGCACTGTAGGTCTCTAGACTTGTCCATCTTCCATATCTGTTTTGTATCCTCTGACCTGACTCTTACCATTTCTTCCATATGCCCCTCTCCTGGTAACCACTGAGTTATTTTCTGTCACTATATATTTGATCTTTTTGTCTCCTTCTAGATTCCACATATAAATGAAATCGTGCAATGTTTGTCTCTCAGTGTCTGACTTTATTTCACTTAGCATAATGTCCTCCATATTCTCTATCTTGTGGCAAATGGCATGGTCTTCTTTTTTAGGGCTGAGTGATTTTCCATTGCACAAATGAATGTACCATGTTTTCTTTATCCATTTGTCCATTGATAGCTAAGTTGTTACTTGGCTTTGGGGAATAGTGCTGCAGTGAACATAGGCGTGCAGGTATCTTTACAAGGTGATGATTCTATCTGCTCTGGATATAGACCTAGAAGAGAGGTAGTTCCATTTTAATTTCCTTAGGAAGCTCCATACTGTTTTTCATGATGGCTGCACCAAGCTACATTTCTACCATAAGGGTACATGCTTCCTTTTTATCCACCCCCTCACCAACATTTGTTATTTCTTATCTTTTGGACAATAGCCATTTTGATGTATGTAAAGTGATGTCTCATAGTGGTTCTAGTTTGCATTTCCCTGGTGATTAGTGATGTTGAGTGAATATTATTCTTTTAGTGGATAGATTTCTGAGGAAAAATTGCTAAATAAATTTTGAAAATGCTGTGTACTATTTCTCATACTTGGAGATTCTCAGTATACATGATCATAAGAAGACTGAAAAGTTCAGCAGGAAAGAAATCTGTTTGACCTTTTAAAGAGTTTTCAAACTTATTTGACTAGAGAGTACCCCTCCTTGGTCTCAACACATGTTAACATCAATAAAGAAAAGTGTATTTTAGGTTTGAGTATTAGGAATGTCACATAGGATCTTCTGTTTTGTGATCTTGGGTGGGTTTCCTTACATTCTGGCTTGGTTGTGTTGATTGTTCTTCTCCAGGTGTTACATCACGCTGGCCCAAGCCCTGGGAATGAGCATGGGGGGAGCCCCTGCTGGACCTGCAGGAACAGGCAAAACAGAGACCACCAAAGATATGGGACGTTGTCTTGGGAAATATGTTGTGGTTTTCAACTGTTCAGATCAGATGGATTTTCGAGGACTTGGGAGGATTTTTAAAGGTGATGTTTATATATATTTTTTTAATTTAACAAGAAATTTTGGCTATGGTAGACTAGTTTGTTGAGATTTATTTTTCGATAATTTGTAATGTTAATTTCATTCTTCAACTATGTAAAACTTACTGGAAAACCATGAATCTCATTCATGTTGTGTGGACCCTGTGTTAAGTTTACTTGCCTTTTGTAATGTTCCTTTATTCCTGCAGGTTGGCGTTTATAGATAAAGTGCCAAATTGTCAGCTGTTTCGGGCCTCTTGATGCATGATCTATTTGTTCAGCTTTATTTTTTGAGCAAACCTTTCTCTGGTTCATTTTGGCAGCTGCATAATGTGCTTTTCCTGGGCTTTCCAAAATTACATAGTAATTGGATTTTCTGTTTAATTTGCTTTCTAAGGACTGGCACAATCTGGATCCTGGGGTTGTTTTGATGAATTCAACCGTATTGATCTACCAGTTCTCTCAGTTGCAGCCCAGCAAATTTCCATTATTCTCACCTGTAAAAAGGAACGTAAAAAATCTTTCATTTTTACTGATGGAGATAATGTGACTATGAACCCTGAATTTGGACTTTTTCTAACCATGGTAAGGAAGCTAGAAGAGTTACTGAATTTCAGCTGTCTTATCACACTCTTTATGTCTCTCCCTGGCCATATGTCATCTATTTTCCATGAATGGAAATTGGGATTGTAATTTTCACTCCTGTTTGAAAGCCTTTGGTGTTAAACAAAGATCATATTAATAACTCATGACTTAATTTGTCCAGGTGGAAGAAGAATGATATATGTAAATGAGTTCCTTGGTTGTCATTCTGGTTTTGTTGTGTGTACATTGCGAATCTTTTAATATCATGCTGATGTATGCTTGTTGCCCCCTGATCTTAGCATTTGTCCTTGCATTTTGTTTTCTATTTAGAATCCCGGCTATGCTGGGCGGCAGGAACTCCCTGAAAACTTGAAGATTAACTTCCGCTCAGTGGCCATGATGGTCCCCGACCGTCAGATTATCATAAGAGTGAAGTTGGCCAGTTGTGGCTTCATAGACAATGTTGTTTTGGCAAGGAAGTTTTTCACGCTCTACAAGCTGTGTGAGGAACAGCTTTCTAAGCAGGTGTGCCATTCTGCAGGTCTCTATGGGCTTACAAATGTTTCATCTTTCCTTTCGTGAAATGTTCTCATTTGAAAAACTGTAGATTGGGATTGTTGCTAAAGTGCCTTACAGATACTAAATAGAAAGATGTTGTATCATTACAAAAGTAATTTTATATGTACTGATAAAGCAATGAATATTTGTATGTACAGTTAAAGAAATGAATATTTATAGCATAGAAATGAAGTAAATACTATTTGAACTGATTTAAAACCAAAGAATTATGGCTATTAACATCTGTTTTTTATGCCACCTATATATTCATCATAATGTGTGTTGTGTTTTATTAGGGTTTTTAGGAACTTCTCATTTATTCTTCTCATTTCTAAGGCCACTCAGGTGTGGCCAAGCTCTGCTAATTGCCATCTTCTCTCTTGTGACCTTGCTAGTTTCTTCTACTCTTTGGAGTATTAGGTTCAAACATCATGAGGTTTCATAGTTGAGAGGCCTGGAATTAATCATATATTACATCTGCATTAGTTATCTGCTGCGGTGTAATAGCCCAACCACAAATTTAGTGGCTTAAAATCATTCACATTTATGATTTCACAGTGTCTGCAGGTCAAGAGTCATCTAAATAGGGTTCTTTGCTTAGTGTCTACAAGGTTGTAGTCAAGGTGTTGTCTAGGGCTTTGGTTTCATCTGATGCTTGACTGGGGAATGATCTACTTCCAAGCTCTTGCAGGATGTGGACAGAACCCTGTTCCTTGAGGTTGTAAGTTGAGAGATTCCATTTCTTACTCGCTGTGCCTGGAGATCGCCTTCAGTTCCTAGAGGCTATACATAGTTCTTTTGTTTGCTATGTGGGATTCCCCAACATGGCCACTTGGCTTCTCAAAGTCAGCAAAGAAAAATATCCAGCAAAATGAGTGTTATAATCCTATGTAATGGACCACATAATTGCCTACATGTAATTGCATTCAACATACTGTCTCTGCTGCGTTCCATTAGTTAGGAGCAAATGACAGGTCCTGCCCATAGTCAAGCTGATAAGATCACGAAAAGGAATGAATACGAGGAGGTAGGCATCACACTGCAGTTGTCTAGCACATAAGTAAAAACTACTAAAAATATGTTAAATAATGACACATTGCAATAAACATAAGACTATAACATGAACAGTGTCTCCTAACATACATTACACTTCAGTTCTTCTCCTTACCCCAACTTTCATTCCAAACTTCTTTGACTATAGATTAATTTTTTATACCCACATGTTAAACCAAATTACATTCTGCCCAAAAGTTCTTTTCCTATGTCAGAAACACACAGAATTTTGACCCTGGCCACAAACCCTCCTTGTTAGCCTGACCCTGACTCTGCTTTTCTGCCACCAACATTTCTAGTTTTGCCTGCTGTAATAACAACCTTACTCACTTATTCTGTTTCTTCCCTCTGTCAAAGAAATAGTGTTTGTGTGCTATTTACTGGATGTAGAAAACTTCCCACATGACTGATTTTTGCCTTTGTCTTTTGTTTTAAAAGATTTATTTATCTATTTGAAAGACTTACAGAGTGAGGGAGAGACAGTGAGAGATCTTCCATCCACTGGTTCACTCCCTGATGGCCTCAACAGCCAGGGTTTGGCCAGGCCGAATTCAGGAGTCAGAAGCTTCATCTGGTTCTCCCGTGTGGGTGGCAGGGGGCCCAAATACTCAGATCACCCTTTGAGGCTTTTCCCAGGCCATTAGCAGGGAGCTGGATTGAAAGTGGAATGATGTGGGCGTGAACTGGTGCCCATATGAGATGCTGGCATTGCAGGCTGTGGCTTTTCCTGCTACACCACAATACAAGCCCCTGCCCTTTTCTTAACTACTGCTTCACTTTTTGTGCCTTCACTCCCACAGACAAGGTCACTGTGGAATGAAATGTGTCAGTGTGTACAAAGTAGTTGGTCTCATGTGGATCTCTTGGTGAACATTCTGTGAATCTCTCTTTGTGCCCACAGATTTAACTCAAAGCCCAGTTCTGATAGGAAGTTTTCCTTAATTGTCACCCACTAGCAATTCCAAGTCATTGCTACTTTTATGCAAGTTTATTCATAATTATACTTTATTATCTTTATTAGAGTTTAAATTCCCTGACTATATGAACTCAATATGTGTGTTTTTGTGTCCTCCAACTAGTATTTAGTGAGGTACACTGCTCCCAGCTACTTTAGCAGATCACTGCTTTTTTGTTTTCCTGCATTTAACTTTTTTTTTAATGTGGTAACATATTCAGCACTAAATTTGCCATCTATTTTTTAATTATTTATTTGAAACACACACACACACACACAGAGAGAGAGACAGAGACAGAGAGAGACAGAGAGAGAAAGAAACAGAAAGAGCTATCTTCCATCCAATGGTTCACTCCCAGATGGCCCCAATGGCTGGAACTTGGCTGACATGGAGGCAGGAGCCAGGAGCTTCTACTGGGTCTCCCATGTGGGTACAGTGGCCCAAGTATTTGGTCTAACTTCCACTGCTTGCTTTCCTGGGCACATTAACAGGGAGCTGAATTGGAAATGGACTATCTGGGACTCAAGTGTGTGCCTGTATAGGATGCCGATATCACAGGTTGCGGCTTTACCCACTACGCCACAGTGCTGGCCCTACCATGTAACCATTTTGAACTGTGTAGTATTTTCTATGATGTAGTGAACAGATTTCCTGAACTTTCATAACTTTTTTCATCTTGAAAAACTGAAACTCTCAGGACCGGCGCTGTGGCATAGCAGATAAAGCTGCCACCTGCAGTGCTGGCATCCCATATGAACGCTGATTCGAGTCCCAGCTGATCCTCTTCCAATGCAGCTCTCTGCTATGGCCTGGGAAAGCAGTAGAAGATGGCCCAAGTCTACTGTGGCTGTGAGTGAGACCTGGAGGAAGCTCCTGGCTTCGGTCTGTCTCTCTCTGTCTGCCTCTGTCTTTCTGTAACTCTGCCTTTCAAATAAATAAACGAATAAATAAATAAATAAATACCCGAAACTCTACCCAACAAAACAAAAGAAAACAAAACAAAGCCTACCTTTTCTCCTTCTCTCTAGTCTATTGTAACTACCATTCTGCTGTCTGTTTCTATGAATTTGACTTCTTTGGATGCCCCATATAAGTGAAGTCATATAATGCATGTCTTTTTGTGACTGCAGGATTTTACTTAGCATAATACCCTCAAGGTTCATCCATGTTGTAGCATGTGATAAGATTTCCTTCTTTTAATGGTCAAATAATGTTCCACCATAGCTACATGCCACATTCTGTTTATCCATTCATCCCTTGATGGACATTTAAAGTGGGTGGCTTCTACCTATTGGCTGTTGTGAATACTGCTGTTATATGAACGTGGATATGAAACTATCTCTTGGATACCCAGCTTTCATGTCTGTTGGATGTGTACCCAGCAGTGAGATTTCTGGATTGAATGACACTTCTGTTTATCTTTCTGAGGAACTGACATTGTGTTTTTCACAGTGGTTGGATACTTGGGTTTTAATCATTCACTTTCTATGTGCTAAATGTGGAGTGGTTGAGCTTTTGTTGACAAGCTGGGCTTGGCCTTCTGATTGTCCTTCCTCTTCCTCTTGGTAATCCTGGAGCACAGCTGCCTCCCCCTTCTTTCTTATTTGTTAGTCAGAAGGCTTCATCTACATGGATGTGATGGTCATGACCGAGGTCCCAGTCTGGTATCAGATTTAAGTCTAATGACAGAAATAACTTTGCTGTGTAGGATTGATTAGGAAGAAGCTCACAAGATGTCTGTCATTCCCTTTTCCCTGTCAAGCTCTATCAGTGAGTTCTGATCTAAGGGCCTCAGCTAGTGATTGTCTATGGGAGAACTTTCTGGATTTTTTTTTTGACAAAGAAATGTAATGTATTGCTCCACTTTTTGAGTGACTTTTCTAAATGAAAATCAGAATTTGTTCATTATTGTGAATATGCCTCTGTCAAATAAATGTAGTTTCCATGGTAGGAAACATGGAGAATAAGCCCCATGTGTCTCAAATTCTTCAGGTACATTATGATTTTGGGCTGCGTAATATTCTGTCAGTCCTGCGGACTTTGGGGGCAGCAAAGAGAGCCAGCCCCACAGACACGGAATCCACAATTGTCATGCGTGTACTACGAGACATGAATCTTTCAAAACTGGTAAGATTCATGTATGGAAATGTTCTACCTGCTTAAATATCAGTTCAATTCACTGGGCACAAGTGAGATTTAGAAATATTGGCTTTAACTATGCTCATTTAAAATGCCTAATTATCAGATAAAGTGCTGAAGAGCAAAACTTTAAATTAGACTTTTCAGAAATTCTTTTAGTAATGACTCATCTCTAGTCTAAAATGTCTGTTCATATAGAATTGAAATGGATTTTTTGAAATCCACACATTAAAGCTCCAAATGCCTTGAATGACTTTTGTGTCTTAGAGCTAAAATCTCACCCTCTTTAAAGTCTGTAGAGCCTTACAGAAAATTATATGTAAATTATACAAATATGTGATAATTTCACTCTCTTATAGCAGACACTAGTAATCAATGTCTGGTCTCAGTGGGTCCATATATAGAGTGACAAAGTGATATATTTTTATTTCAAAGAAAAAGTATGATCCAAATTCTAATTCATGAATTTCTTACTATACCACATTAAAAAAAACTCTTTTAATTTAAATCAGGAATTGTAGTCTATTTAATATACTGCCAAATTGGCTATTTTGTGGAAAGATTGTCATGCAGGAGTATTTTCTTTCATTTCATTTCGTTTCTCCTTACTGTTATCCTCTTATTCTTTTTATAACTTAGAGGAAAGGCAAGAAAAATGTTATTAATTTCAGTGAAGGTGATATTTTATTATTGGTTGTACTGAAATAGTCTGGACTATATTGGGTGTTTTTAATTTGTACACTGCTGTGTTTGTGTCATAATGGGTTGTCTGCTTTCCTTTTTTCTTTTTTTAGATTGATGAAGATGAACCCTTATTTTTGAGTTTGATTGAAGATCTTTTCCCAAATATTCTTTTGGACAAGGCAGGTTACCCTGAACTGGAAGCAGCAATTAGTAGACAGGTAATGTTTCATAGGGCATCAAATGCTGTGTATGTTTGTCTGAATTTATTGGTGTGGCTTGCACCTGTGGATTCTGAGAAAGTCAAGCTAAAACTCTGATTTTAAGAGAGGTGATTGTACGGTAGTGAGAGAGTTCCTCTTGTCAGGGGATCTTCTACAGTGGCACAGCCACAGGTCCAGTGAATCTTGTACCAGGTGTCCCATTATTTATGGAAACCATCCCACACCAGGGTCAAGAGTGACATATGATTAGTGTGCAGGGTCCAGCTAGGGCTGTGACTGTCTCCTGCCTTGGTGTTTGGCACCTTGGTGTAATCTCTGGACTCCTATCTCTCAGTGTTATTTGCAGTGACCCCACATGGCTTCTCAGTTATCATTCTTTCCTCATTGTGACTTTTTTCTCAGGCTCCGGGATGAGTAGAGGGGTCCACATAATTATGTATATCTTATTAACTGTCTGGACTTTCCAGGATATATGCTGCAGCTTTAACTTTTCATAGCCATCCGAGAAAGGGGAATGAATTAGGTAAATCTTGTGCACCAAATTTCCTTTCCTGTGAAGAATTTGAGACAAATGCAGCTTTATAGCAGTGGTAGTTAGCTTATATTTATAAAAGTGCATTTCAGTTCCTCAAAAATGTCTGTAATAAAAATCAAATGTGTCAGTACTTATTGTATATTTTGCTTTAAAAATCACCATGTAAGTGTCTGAATTTCCTGATCAGGAAAGAGTGGTCATTAATTCTGCAAATGGTTTCTCCATCATTTGGCTAAATAAATTGGAGCACTATCTAAAAAGCTAGGTATTAAACAGCTTCTAAGATGATTTATTTTAGTAGCTTATAACATAAAAAATCTGAAGATTCTGCACGTGGAAATTCAATTTTCCCAGCACCATTTATTGAATAGACTGTCCTTGCTCCAGGAATTAGTTTTAGATCCTTGATCAAATATAAGTTGGCTGTAGATGTTTGGGTTGATTTCTGGTGTTTCAATTCTGTTCCATTGGTCTATCCATCTGTTTCTTAACCAGTACCATGCTGTTTTGATTACAACTGCCCTGTAGTATGTCCTGAAATCTGGTAGTGTGATGCCTCCGGCTTTGTTTTTGTTGTACAAGATTGCTTTAGCTATTCGAGGTCTCTTGTGCCTCCATATAAATTTCAGCACCATTTTTTCCAGATCTGAGAAGAAGGTCTTCGGTATCTTGATTGGTATTGCATTGAATCTATAAATTGCTTTTGGGAGAATGGACATTTTGATGATATTGATTCTTCCAATCCATGAGCATGGAAGATTTTTCTTTTTCTTGGTATCCTCTTCTATTTCTTTATTTAAGGTTTTGTAATTTTCATCGTAGAGATCTTTAACGTCCTTGGTTAAGTTTATTCCAAGGTATTTGATTGTTTTTGTAGCTATTGTGAATGGGATTGATCTTAGAAGTTCTTCCTCAGCCATGGCAAGACCCCTACCTTACACCTTACACAAAAATCCACTCAACATGGATTAAAGACCTAAATCTACGACCTGACACCATCAAGTTACTAGAGAACATTGGAGAAACCCTTCAAGATATTGGCACAGGCAAAGAATTTCTGGAAAAGACCCGGGAGGCACAGGCAGTCAAAGCCAAAATCAACTATTGGGATTGCATCAAATTGAGAAGTTTCTGTACTGCAAAAGAAACAGTCAGGAGAGTGAAGAGACAACCAACAGAATGGGAAAAAATATTTGCAAACTATGCAACAGATAAAGGGTTAATAACCAGAATCTACAAAGAGATCAAGAAACTCCACAGAAACAAAACCAACAACCCACTTAAGAGATGGGCCAAGGACCTCAATAGACATTTTTCAAAAGAGGAAATCCAAATGGCCAACAGGCACATGAAAAAATGTTCAAGGTCATTAGCAATCAGGGAAATGCAAATCAAAACCACAATGAGGTTTCACCTCACCCTGGTTAGAATGGCTCACATGCAGAAATCTACCAACAACAGATGCTGGCGAGGATGTGGGGAAAAAGGGACACTAACCCACTGTTGGTGGGAATGCAAACTGGTCAAGCCACTATGGAAGTCAGTCTGGAGATTCCTCAGAAACCTCAATATAACCCTACCATTCAACCCAGCCATCCCACTCCTTGGAATTTACCCAAAGGAATTTAAATTGGCAAACAAAAAGGCGGTCTGCAGCCTAATGTTTATTGCAGCTCAATTCACAATAGCTAAGACCTGGAACCAACCTAAATGCCCATCAACGGTAGACTGGATAAAGAAATTATGGGATATGTACTCTTTAGAATACTATACCGCAGTAAGAAACAACGAAATCCAGTCATTTGCAACAAAATGGAGGAATCTGGAACACATCATGCTGAGTGAAGGCATCAGGATTCAAACCTGGAAAAGACTCCCAAGCTCATGCTTCCAATGATTCTGTGCTGATTTCCTCAAGGACCTTATGGTATTGTGGGGAAGTAAACAGAGAGATGACCCAGCAATGATGGAAAGTACAAGATTGACCAAAAGTTCATCTGAACAGCAAAAATATTAAAAAAATGTGAAAGTTCATTTCCTGAAGCATAAAAATTCTAGGAGGGTAATTCAAAGTTTGTTTTAAACCACAGATGTTTGGTTTAGATTTCATGGATGTTGAGGTTTGTATGAGATCCTACCCATCATTAAATAATGTCTGATTCCAAAAAAAAATAAAAATAAAAAAATCTGAAGAGCACATACATAGCATAAAATGATGCATGATTATTATCAAAGTTATTTAAGTAAAATTTAAATTGCTTTTGACATTGAGTTCAAGTACAGCATAATGGTTAAGTTCATGGACAGTGAAACTCAACTTCTTGGGGAAAAAAACCCAATTCCACTAACATTTTTTAAAGATTTATTTTATTTATATGAAAGTCAGTGATAGAGGAAGACAAAATGAGAGAGATCTTCCATCTGTGGTTCATTCTGCGAATGGCCACAGTGGCCAGGACCAGCCAGGTCAAAGCCAGGAGCCTAGAATTCCATCATAATCTCCCACCTGGGTAGCAGGGGCCCAGGTACTTGGGCCATCTTCTGATGTTTACCTAGGTGCATTAGTAGGAAGCTAGATTGGAAGTTGAGCAGCCAAGTCTTGAACCAGCACTCTGATCTGGGCCACTGAAATCATAAGCATTGGCTTAACCCACTACACTACAACCCTGGCCCCCTAATTCTATAACTTTATAAATTGGGCATTTGGATAAATTTGCTTAGTCATTCTGTGCCTCAGTTTTCTCATCTGTAAAATGAAGATATTAATAGTACTAATTTTATGCATAGTAGCTTCCATATGTGTATTAGATAGATTAAAATTATGCAGTGATTTTATAAAGATAGCTTGAATTTTAACCAATCTAACATGCCATAATTTTTTTTCAGTTATAAGTATCATCTTTTAAAAATGTAAGATATATTTTGCCATTTGAGTCTTTATTCTTGAATTTTGCCTGACATATATTCAATAAAACATTAATATAAATGTGCTCAATTCTCAAAAGTAAAAACACTTGTTTATTCTTAATTTGTAATTGCATTTAAATAATCATGTATTTGAGAGAGACTGAGACATCGAGCGAGATTGCAAACACTCCTCTTTTCTGGCTTACTCTTTGAATGCCTGCAACCAGGACTGGACTTGGTGGAAATTGGGAGCCAGAACTCAATCCAGTTTTCCTGCGTGGGTGTCAGGAACCCAGTCACTTGAGTTATCACTGCTGCTTTCCCAGGGTCTACATTAGGAGGTAGCTGGGATAAAGAGCTAGAGCTGGAAATTGAACCCAGGTACTCCAATGTGGAACACAGATATCTTTGTTTTTCTTTTTAAAATTAATTTATTTATTTGAAAGTCAGAGTTACATGGAGCGAGGAGAGAGGGAGAGAGAGAGGTCTTCCATTTGCTGGTTCACTCCCCAATTGGCTCAATGGCTGGAGCTGTGCCAATCTGAAGCCAGGAGACAGGAGCTTCTTCCAGGTCCCCCATGCAGGTGCAGCGTCCCAAGGACTTGAGTCATCCTCTGCTGCCCTCCCGGGCCACAGCAGAGAGCTGGATCAGAAGTGGAGCAGCCAGGACTTGAACTGGCACCCATACGGGATGCCGGTTCTGCAGGTGATACCTGCTACGCCACATCACCGGCCCAAACACAGATATCTTAACCCACATCTTAAGAGATAGGCTGTCTGTCCCTGGAATGACATTTTTATTATGTTCAGCATGCTTTTTGTATATGTATGTAAAAATGTGCATATGTATATGTATATATATATTACAGTATTTTTATTGTGGTAAATATATAACATCAAGTTTACTATTTTAAATATTTCAAGGTATATAGTTCAGTGACATTAAGGATATTCACATTTGTGAATTGTTATCATTGTCCACTTTCAGAATTTTTTCATCTTTCCAAACTGAATTTTTGAACCTGTTAAACAATAATGTCTTATTCCCCTGCCCCTCCTACACCCCGTCTATACATGTTTTTAGCACAATAGTATGTCCGGATCATTGTTGATGTGGTCCAATGTGAGGGTTTGTTATGCTTTCAGGTTGAAGAAGCTGGCTTAGTTAACCATCCTCCTTGGAAACTGAAAGTCATCCAGCTGTTCGAGACACAGAGAGTGAGGCATGGAATGATGACCCTGGGGCCTAGTGGAGCAGGAAAAACCACCTGCATCCACACCTTGATGAAGGCCATGACAGGTACAGGGAAGCTGATTTCATTGCCCCGGGCAGTGCATTTAAATACTTGTAACACACTTGAATGCCCAAGAGGGACTTTATGGCAAATCTATGAATATATTTTTGTAGGAGGGAATGATGCTTTGCTTCTTTTTTATTTTTCATTTTTACTTTACTTCTTCATGGGTCTATTTTAGAAATAATAAATTGCATTAATATGCCAGAGAGAAAAACATTTTTAAGTGGCTTTATGCAGTTGTGCTATATGTATAACAATGCTGTCATTCAGTTTTCTTAATGATCTTGAGATGTGGCTATTATTATCCCCATTTTGTACAAAAACCAAGGTCTAAATTAAAAAATGCCCAAGGTCACTAAGAAAGCAAGTGATGAGACTGAGTTAAGATCAGAGCCCACTAATAAAAAATTCAGTTTCCATATATACTGTGCTACATACCAATAAATAGAAAATACAGTATTCTAGCTCCGAATAAATATGAAATAATTGCCATCTTAAAGCCTCAATTCTATGAGATAAGAACAATACTAATCATAAAACAATCTCCCACATGAAATCAGATATTTTTTTCTGGTAAAGTTAAATAAATGCATTTTATATTCAGATTTCTCTGTCTTATATCTGAGTTCTTCATCCTAGGATGTCAGAGGATAATGGTCACTGCTACATTTATGATTGTGTTTATATTTTGTGGTTCTTGTCAGATCTTGATGCCTCTCTTCCTTAGAATACCAGCAACCCTTACCCATGGCAGAGCTGAGTTCCTAAATTTCATAGAACATTGGCTGTTGGATTGCAACATCCATAATCTCATAGTGGAGAGATGCCAGTCAGCACATGAAGCTTGGATGCACTGACATTGGTGCAATACAGGAACACAGTTGGTAGGAGCTGGATGTTGCCAGTATTAACTCCAGGGACCTGAACATACTGGCTTTAGTCTCTGCTTCCTCAGTTATTGGGGGAAGTGAATTCTGTACATCAGATTGAGGTAGACTCTGCTCTTAGCCAGTACCTTCCTCCACTAAAACTGAGAACTCACATCTGCAGGACTGATCATGTGGTTTTTAATATAAGCTGTAAAGATTCTGTATGGGGATTATATTGTTTAAAAACGGTTGTATTTTCCCTCTCAAATTATGCTCAATAATATTATTGTTGCATTTATGAGCCTGCCTTCTATTAGCAGTGAACTACAAGTGCACCTGCTACAAGGATAAGCAAAATGAGTACTAAATATTAAGCAATTTAGATACATTATTCATAATGTATGTGTTATTTAACATACATAATGTTGGAGAAATTCCTCACAAGCGTGAATTAATCATTAGGCTGTTTCCTGTTTATTAACCTGCTCAGGTTTTTAACACCTTTGCTATCTTAAGCAACTCAATGTTTCTTGATGAAAATTTTATCCAAAAGATTGAGGAGATAATTGGATTGAACTTCAATAAAAGAAATGCAAGACCCATGTGTATTATTTTTTCCCTGATTCATGAAGTATTTGTTCATCAAATATCTTTAATATTCTGTCTTTTCATGTTCTACTAGATTCCATAATAGAATCTATGAAAAAAAAATGGCCATGTCTGTATGGAATTTTCAGGATAGCAGGCAAAACAGTCATGGATACTTATAACTCAATGTGGAATTGCTATGAGGAAGGCTTGAACAATCATGATGTGAGGAGAGGCATAGGTAATCAGAAACTTCTCTGAGGAATGTATAGAAAGGCTCTTGAAGCAGATGTTACTTCACCCAAGGCTTGAGCATTGAGTAGCAGTTGAATAAAAGGCATCTTAGCAGAATAAAGAGGCCATGCAAATCATAGGGACTGGATATACTCTGAGAGGCCTGAATAAAAGGAAGTTTGTGTTTGTGTTTGTATGAGGTGAGTGGAGGAGGTGAGACTGAATATGGAGGTATGAGTATAGCAGATTCTGTTGATGCAAAGTGGCACACTTCTTTGGCCCTCCCCTGCTATGGATGCGGATGTGTTGGACAGCTCCCCTTGATTCTCATGCTAGGTTGCAGTCTCCCAGCTTTTTAGTCTTAAGATTTTGATTCCAAGAAATGGCTCAGCTGGAGGTAGGACATCACATCTGTGACCTATCATTTATTAATTTTCTTTTTCTTTTCACTGTTTTACTTTCTCTGTCCCCTGTTCCACAATCTCAGCATCCAAGCCCTGTCTTAGGCTGTGTTTTCTGGGGAATCCAAATTAGGAGAGTAGGCATGGCATGAGGAGTTTTTTAAGTCACACCAAATACCTACGTTTTATTCTGTAGGTGACAGGAAAATATTGAGCTAGGGAGTGACACAATCTCTCCTACGAGTAGAAGACCACCTGGTGGCTACAGGAGACTGGGGGACAGGAGATTTTTCTCAAGTCCATAAAGAGGCAAGAGCAAGAAAATTATGTCTATGCTAGAGCAAAGACCATGGAGGCAGAGTGATCAGGTCAGAGTCCAGAAGTGTCTAGGGAGAGAATCAAGAGAAACTGGTTCAGCTAACATTGGGGGAGCGAAGCATTCTTTTCTTAGAGTGCTCCTATAAAAATGTTCTGGTATCTTAAATGAAAGTGATAAATGTGGAGATTTATTTTGTTGAGCAATTGGCTCTCACAGTTACGAAGGCCAAGATGTCCTCTGATCTGCCATCTGCAAGCTGGAGGCCTAGGGGAGCTGGTGGTGTAATTCAACCTGAGTCATAGGGCCCAAGAACCAGGACTGCTGATAATGGAAATCCTCCTCTGAGGGCTAGAGATGAGAGAAAATCTTTCAGCTCAAAAAGACAGGCAGGAGGAAAATGAACAACTTCCTCCTTCCCCTGGCTTTTGCTCCACTGGGTTCCCAGATAGTTAGGATGATGCTTAGTCAAACTGGAAGGACTACCTACTTTTCTGGGTCCACAGATTCAGATGTGAATTTCATCAGAAACACCCCGATAGACACACCTAAAAGCAATGTTTAATCTGGGCACCCCAAGAACAGACAAGTGGATGCTTAAAATTAACTATCACAAAGGCTTTTAATGAGCCATCTCTTTTAATGTGTGCATGTGAACAGGAGGGCTTGTTTTTGTTAATCTTTCACACAGAATGTCTTTTAGCATTGATTTTTATTATTTCATACTTTAAATATTATTCTTTGTTCATCTGCTGAATAATCGTAGTCTCCTATGGAGTTTTTTTTTTTTTTATTGTTTTTTTTTTATTGTTTATATCCGTGGGACAGGCAGAGTGGACAGTGAGAAGAGAGAAGACAGAGAGAAAAGGCCTTCCTTTTGCCGTTGGTTCACCCTCCAATGGCCGCCGCGGCCGGCGCGCTGCGGCCGGCGCACCGCGCTGATCCGATGGCAGGAGCCAGGAGCCAGGTGCTTATCCTGGTCTCCCATGGGGTGCAGGGCCCAAGCACCTGGGCCATCCTCCACTGCACTCCCTGGCCACAGCAGAGGGCTGGCCTGGAAGAGGGGCAACCGGGACAGAATCCGGCGCCCCGACTGGGACTAGAACCCGGTGTGCCGGCGCCGCTAGGCGGAGGATTAGCCTAGTGAGCCGCGGCGCCGGCCCGTAGTCTCCTATGTGCAAATTCCTTGCTCATTTAAGGGTTGTTTTAGGGTTTGAAAGATTGAAATAAGATTGAAATACATTTCTTCAGGTTGGCCACAAAAGCAAGTCCTTGATTCATGCTAAATTCATTTAGTTTATCTTTTCTAAGGTGAGCAAGAACACATATCAGCAAATCAAATCTGATAGTGGAGAGAATGAGGTATCTTCTAGGTGATATCTTAGGCACAAGATTTAATCTAGTACACCATAAACCAAAGATATTTTTGAGCTGTCAAATTTAGCGAACTTCCAAATTGTGTTAGTACCTTGATAAATTGCAACGTGGTGTCCTTTTTTCCCCTAAGGGATATACAATTTCCTTTTATAGAAGATGAAAAAAGTGCTTTAGTCAATAAAGTATAATGAGACAATTATGATAACTTGGAATGCCTTAAGATATATATTGTCAATGTAATTTTTCATTTTTCATGTTTTGAGTACCTGCTGACAGTATACCACAGATTAGTGCAATATTGCCTAATGATGGTACAGTCCACATCTGAGATGTTTAAAATTTACATTTACTTGGATAGATTGTGGAAAACCACACCGGGAAATGAGAATGAATCCCAAGGCAATTACTGCCCCACAGATGTTTGGTCGGCTTGACGTGGCCACAAATGACTGGACTGATGGAATATTTTCTACTCTTTGGAGGAAAACACTGAAGGCTAAGAAAGGTAGAAGATGAATTACAAGTATTATTTTTAACATGTATTTCTAAATAAATCACTGGTGACTGGATAGAATTAGAACTGTATTCTCCATGTAATATCCTAGCCAAGATAAAGAAGTCATAAATCAGCATGATACTTGTGAATGTTGAAATAATGAAATTATTGATTAATGTCCTTAAAACCTAATTTTTTGTAAAAAATATTTCTTCATCCTTGTGACATCTTAGAATAAAATGGATGGAAAAGTTGGTATAGAAATTTGATAGTATTAAATAAATTGATTTTGCAGTATGATTTCCACTGAATATTTTAAAAATGTTACTCTTATTTAAGTACATCCTGTTTAAAAAATGGATTATCCTATAAAGTCACAGGAGAAAATGGGATTTTTTTTGGAGAGAAAATTGTGCATATGAAAAATGAAGTCTATGCTCAAGTAAAAAGTCATTCTGTTTAGATGGACACGGGTGTTTGGTGGTTTGAGCAAACTAATTAAGGGTTAGTGATTGTGTCTGGGCTCTTTATGTTGAACCCAACATTCATAATATGAACTCAGATGGAGGAGGTGGTATCAGCTGTCCTCTCATTGTGTTTTCTCACTCCTGAGTGAGTACAGTAATGGCACTTTGAATATAATCACTTGGGGAAAGAAGGGCACAGGAGGAGGAGGAGAGGTTCAGGCTTACTTCCTGGGTCTAGACTTTGGGCAACAGTGTTGTGATTAAAAATGTTCAAGGAACATGATGAACCTAATGCCAGCTGTCAAAAGGGAAATTGAAACCTTCATAGGAATTCTTGATATTTTGCTGGAAAGAAATACAAATTTGTTTTTGATTTGTTCCAGTGTAAACAAGGAGACAATAACGACATATTACTGCCAAGAACTGGAGCTCAGAGAAAGTTTTTTTCCTTCTGGCATAAAAAAGGAGATGTGCTCTTTCTTTCAAAGTAACGCTGGTGCTTAGATTACCATTTTACTTGAATTGCCAGTTGAATGAGTTTAATTAAGACTTTTTTTTTTTATTTTTTTGACAGGCAGAGTGGACAGTGAGAGAGAGAGACAGATACACATAGATCTTCCTTTGCCGTTGGTTCACCCTCCAATGGCCGCCGCGGCCGGTGCGCTGCGGCCGGCGCACCGCGCTGATCCGATGGCAGGAGCCGGGAGCCAGGTGCTTTTCCTGGTCTCCCATGGGGTGCAGGGCCCAAGCACCTGGGCCATCCTCCACTGCACTCCCTGGCCACAGCAGAGGGCTGGCCTGGAAGAGGGGCAACCGGGACAGAATCCGGCGCCCCGACCGGGACTAGAACCTGGTGTGCTGGCGCCGCTAGGCGGAGGATTAGCCTAGTGAGCTGCGGCGCCGGCCTAAGACTTTCAAAGCATTTTATTTGAAGTAGACTATTCCACAATGGTTATGTATAGCAAAGAAAACTCAGAGCTATAAACTTGGTCATGGTGTTGATGACTATTAAGTTGAACAAGTAAATTTATAATAATATTGTTGAACATTCTGTGTTGTTTACTGATTTATATTTCTGAAAATATCTTCTTAAATGGATTCTTGTCAAGTTTTGTGCCCAGTTCTTTTTGAGACTACTTTGTTGAGGACACTTGGGACCTCCAACTTACCAATTACAGATCACCAGCTATCAGTCTATTCCTGCTCTTGGTGGTTTCTGCAAGAGTTGATCAGTTTCCTCCTTGAAACCTTTCTTACTCTAAGTTTATGACTTCTGCATTCTAATCTCTACCCCTGACGTCTCCCTGGATCTCCTAATTCAACAACTCTATTGGATGTCTACTGGGCACTAACACATGCAAACCATAAAAGATTCTCTAATTTTGTCTGTCTTTTCTGTTACACTCATATACCTCTTCCCCTTCTCCTGTTCATGCCAAGTGGGCTCAGCTTCTTACTGTTTCCAGAACATGGTCATCTCTTTTAGTTTATATTGCTATAACACAGTACCATAGAAAGAGTGATATTTGAATAACCAATATTTAATCTGTCAGGTGGGGTTCTGGGGATGGCGTTCTTCTGGACTGTAGACTGATAATTCTTCTGTTATGTCCTCATATGGTAGGAGGGACAGGGGAATCTATTGGGACAGGGGAATCTATTACACACACACACACACACACACACATAGAGAGAGAGAGAGAGATGCACTAATTCCACTTATGAGGGCACCAATTGGTAACTTAATCACTTCCAATGGGCCCCGCATTCTACATTCTAATCCCATCTACATGGGAGTTAGGATTTCAGTATGATAGTTTTAGAGGGATGCAAACATTCAGTCTGCTGCGTTAACCTGGGCTTATACCTGCTATGTGGACCTTATGCTTTTACTTCTGGGAAAATTTCTACTTCTAGGTTTTCTGTCACTTCATTTCCCTCCTGGAATATTTCCTTGACCACTATCCAAGATAGTGGTCCATTCCCTTATCCTGCTTCATTTTTCTTATCTTACATATTTCTTTGTTTACTTGTTTGATTGCCATTTCTGCCATTTTGAATGTAAGCTCTGTGAAGGCAGAACCTTGTCTTATTTACCATGACATACCCAGAATCTGCAGTAGTTCCAATACATAGAATGTGTTCAATGAATTTTTGTCTAATATACAAATGACTTTTTTATTTGATTATGGGCCTCATACAGCTGCTATGTAAAAAACTTACAAAATCCTATGTGCCAAAATAAAGTAACCATTTAGATCAGAGTTTAATTAAAAATTAATGAAATTACATCAAACTATAGTAGTTTGTGCTTTATAGTTATATACATATGCATCTAGCACATGTCTCTTCCCTTCTCCTTTGGTTGGGTATTCTAGGAGAACATATCTGGATAGTTCTTGATGGTCCAGTAGATGCCATCTGGATTGAAAATCTGAATTCTGTCTTGGATGATAACAAAACCCTAACCCTTGCCAATGGTGATCGGATTCCCATGGCTCCCAACTGCAAGATTGTTTTCGAACCTCACAACATTGACAATGCCTCTCCTGCTACTGTCTCAAGAAATGGCATGGTTTTCATGAGTTCTTCTGTCCTTGATTGGAGTCCTATTCTTGAGGTATGATTGAATCTTTCTTTTGCATAGTTAAAAAAGACAGCAGATCCTATAGTACTCTTGAGCTCATGTGCCAGTTCTCTGCAGTGGTCGTATAATTGCATTTTTATGCTAGTGTTTATGGAAGATCTTTGACTGCACTGGGACTTCCCAATCCTGATCGCCCTTGCAGATGTCTTCAGCACTCTTCTAATTATAGTGGAATTGTGATTTCCAGGTAATTGCCAGCCCACATGAGTCAATAATCCTACCAAATTGGGTCTCAGGACCAAATAACTAAAATTTAATTTACTCACATTGGCAAGTCATGACATTTCTAAAAGATGCTCATTCACATCAAATTTGGCAACAACTGTCTTAGAATATTAATTTAAAGATAATTTATTAGAATTACATATAAAGCATTTTTATGAGATTTAGTAGTCATAATATTAACTTTAAGTTTGTACTTGGAAATCATAGTCCAGATGAAAATCTCTTCAATTAATAATCAGGTATATTATTTTATTAAGGTAACATATCCTAGGATATGTTAATTATAATTAAATTATAGTTAATCCTTTGTATACTTATATATCTTACTAAATAAATACTACAATATAAGGGTTATTAGATAATTGATGTTGAAGAATTTTTTTGACCTGGCTGGTCAAATTTGTTATTCTCAGTTTCATAATTTTTTGAGGATTATTTTGCTTTAAAACTTTATAACTAAAAGAGCTGTTTATTGTATCTTATTATGTTATATACTTTTCTTTTTTATAAAGATTTCTTTATTTAATTGAAAGGCAATGTTAGAGAAGGACAGACAAAGAAAGAGCTTCCATCCACTGGTTCACTCCCCAAGTGCCACAGTGACTAGGACTGGCCAGTCCTAAGCCAGGAGCCAGGGTCTCCCACTTGGGTGCAAGGGCCCAAGGACTTGGGTCATCTTTCACGCTTTCCCAGGTACATCAGCAGGGAACTGGATCAGAAGTGGAGCAGCTGGGACTGGAACTTGCACCTATATGCTGGTGCTGCTAGTGGTGGCTTAACCCACTGTACCACAGTGCTGATCTCTGTACTTTAATTTCTGTTTGAGTATCTCTTAACTTTTGTTAATGTCTTTATAGAAATTAAAATGATTTAAGTTTGCAAAATGGTTTAAACTTGGTAAAGTATGAAGGTATGAAGAAGGGGGGTATTTACAACAAAATTATACTGATATATGGTTGAATGCATTACTAAAAACATTTCACAATTAAATTATCTACCCATTAAATAGAATAAAGAACAAGAAGCCTCAATTCTAGCTTTGAAAAAGTACTCATCAATGACAGTTTTTTTTTTCAGATACAGAGTATTGGGTCACATCCCCATCCTACGAAACTAGAATCTCTGGAGGAAGACTCAGGAAATTTTCAAATCACCAAAATAGATGTGTGTGTGTGTGTGTGTGTGTGTGTGTGTTTCTTTTCTGTATGGCCAGGCTTGATTACCACATTTTTAATATACTACAAGGAAACTGTATTGTCGCTCCCCCATTTGCGGAGGAACGACACCGGACCCTGCGCTGTTCTTTTTGTCCGGCCCTTGCCGGGTTTGCTGCTGTTCCCTCACTCGCGGAGGAACGACGCCATCCTGGGTTAGCTGCCGGCCCCTCCGCGGAGGCGATGGGGGCGGGGGGGGGTGGGGGGGGCGGGGGCAGCTAACCCGGGAAGGGCCGGGCAAAAAGAACAGCGCAGGGTCCGGTGTCGTTCCTCCGCGAATGGGGGAGCGACACTGTATGTACGTGGTTTTCCTAGAATATGTCATTTTCACAGAGATTTTTGAAAAATGCTTCTGTACTGCTAGCTATTGCATATTTAGAGTTTGTGACTTATAAAATAAGCTTCTATTATTGTCTGTCCATGTTGAGGCTGAGTAAGACCTTTCCATTAATGTTGCAACTACAAAATATTAGTTTTATATGCCTTGAATAATGCAGGTTTTTTTTTTTTGGGGGGGGGGGGTGGGGGGAGTGGTTAGGAAGAAGCAAGGCTCCAAAAGCATCAAACTAGAAGTATTTACAGCCCAGAGAGAGTTGTTAGAGGGGATAGAGTTGAGAAGTTGTCAGCGTCAGGCAATCAGCTGGTTGCCTGCCCTTGTCCATTTTAGTTTTATGATTCCACCACCCAGAAAGTACTGTGTTATGTTTCTGTACAGGTGGAATCATGCTAAATTCATGAATGAATGAATGGTTCAGAATCAACATTTTATTGCTTCTGTTCACAGACTCTAACTGTTTCTTGGACTACTGAGGTAAACAATGAGCTGATCTCTTGACCCAGAGAAGACTTACCTCACCTTAAGAAAAAGTGGGTTAAGTGGTAATTAGTTATGAATGACATACACATTCTTAATACTGGTTTTACACAAAAGATAAAATTCTCCATTTTCCTGAATATTCTTTGATAATTTCTATATTGTCTATTAATTAGAAGAAATTAAAGGAACTAAGTAATTGTGGTAAATTTTTTAAAATAGCAAAATGCTGATTTTATCCATTATCCAAACTCCTTCTATTCCCTATATCCATCCCAGCCTCTAGTAATAAACATTTTGTGTTCAGACATTTTTTCAAGATCCTACATTTAAGGGAAAAATGTGATATTTGTCTTTGTATTTCTGGCTTATTTCACTAAACATCATGTCCTCCAGTTCCATCCATTTTTGCTGCAAATGACAGAATTTCATTTTTTAAAAAGATTTATTTATGTATCTGAAAGGCAGAGTTGTAGAGAGACAGAGAAGACCAAGAAATCTTCCAATTGCTGGTTCACTCCTGAAATGGCTATAATAACCTGGGCTTGGCCAGGCCAAAGTCAGGAGCAAGAACTTCTTATGGGTTTCTAACATGGGTGGTGGGGGCCCAAGCACTGGGGCCATCCTCTGCTGCTTTCCCAGGCTCTTTAGCAGGGAGCTGGTGCAGATGTGGAGCAGTTGGGACTCAAACTGGTGCCCAAATGGGATCCTGACATTGCAGGCTATAGCTTAACTCACTGAGCCATAGCTCTGGCCCCAGGCATTTCATTCTTTCTCTGGCTGAATAGCATTCCATTATGCATATATTCACTTTATTTTTCTTTTTGTCTTGTTATTTTTATATCTTTGAGATAGCATATTTTTAATTTGTATCATAGTCAAAAGTTCATGCTTCAATAAATAAAGAGTTCAACAAATAAAAAATAAAAAGACCATACATAGTTCAGCAGGATCATAGGCAAGGACTATAAACAATATCAAATGAAAAGATGTCAATTTCACTCTTATGTAGTATATTTTTAAATAGTCACAGATTATTAAAGAACCATAGTAGTATACAGTTCTTAGCAATTTGACAAAGTTTGAAAGAATAGTGTATTTTCAGCAAAACTGATATACACGGGAATGTATTTTTTGCTTTTTTTTAAAGTTTTAGTTCCCCCATAAAAGGGGAGAACATTGTATTTCTGTGTCCTGCTTATTTAACTCAACATGGTGTTTTCCAGTTGCAACAATTTTGATGCAAATGGTAGAATTTCATTCTTTTTTATAACTGAATAATATTCTATTGTTTGTGTGTATATACACACACATACACATACGTACACATATATGTGTATATATACACATACCTATGCATACCTATGTGCATATACACATACATACGTATATACGCATACACACATGCACATACATGTGTATATACACATATGTATATATGCACACATACATATATGTATATACACATACATACATGCATGTATATGTGTATATATATACATACACGTACATACATACCACATTTCCTTTATCTATATATCTGGTGCTGAACTCCTTGGTTGATTCTATATTTCGGCTGTTGTGAACAGTGCGGCAGTAAATGCAGTGGAGCAGGTATCTGTTTAATACAGTGATTTCATGGCTTTTGGGTATATAGCCAGTAGTAGGATTGCTGGGTCATATGGCAGTTCTGTTTCCACCAGCAGTGTGTAAAAGTTCCCTTTTCTCCACATCCTTACCAAGATTTGTTACTTTCAGTTTTTTTGATGATAGCCATTCCAACAGGGGTGAGGTGATTTCCCTGATGACTAGTACTGTTGAGCATTTCCCCCCATATATTTGTTGGCCACATTTCTTTTGAGAACTGTCTATTCAGGTCCTCTGCCCATTTCTTAACTGGATTGGTTGTTTTTCAGTTAATGAGTTTTTGAGTTCCTTACATATTCTGGATTAACTGTTTGTTGGATAAGTAGCTTGCAAATATTATCTCCCATTACATCAGATATCTTTTCACAATGTTGATCATTTCCTTTGCTGTGTAGAAGCTTCTGAGTTTTATATAATCTCATTTGTCTAATTTTGCTTTCATTATCATATAGAACTACCCCTCTTTGGGGAATCTTCTCCAAGAAATCATCTCCTACACCAGTGTTGTGAAGTGTTTCTCATGGTTACTTCTGGAAATTATAGTTTAGGTCTTTTTAAAAATTTATTTGAGAGGCAGAGTTAGAGAGAAAGAGATACACACTCAGAGAGACATAGAGAGAAAGGTCTTTCATCCTCTGGTTACTCCTCAGATGGCTGCAATGGCCACAGCTGGGCTGATCTGAAGCCAGGAGCCAAGAGTTTCCTCTGGGTCTCCCGTATGGGTGCAGGGCCCAAGCACTTGGGCCATCTTCCACTGCTTTCTCAGGCCATAGGCAGAGAGCTGGATCAGAAGAGGAGCAGCCGGGACATGAACTGGTGTCCATATGGGAAGCTGACACCACAGGCAGAGGCTTAGCCTACTATGCCAAAGTGCTGGCCCTTATAGTTTTAGGTCTTACATTTAAGTCTCTGATTCATCTTGAGTTGATTTTTATATATGGTGAGAGGTAGGGATCTAGTTTTATTTTTCTATATGTATATAACCAAGTTTGCCAGCACCATTTATTAGAAAGACTATCATTTTTCCAATGTGTATTCTTGGTGCTTTTGTCAAAAATCAGTTGCTATACATA